GCAGCCCTTGTTACAGAGCAGATGCTCAGGTAGGGGGCCGGAAGTGCTTCGTTGAAGGTCAGGCAGGTTATAAATGAGAACACCAGACTCCAAACCCCTCTGTATTTGGTTCTTTTTTACCACAACATACCATAACATCGACAATTTAAAACATTGAAAATAACTCTGCCAGGCTGGATGGGGTGGTTCACGCCTGTAATCCCAGTGCTTTGGAAGGCCAAGGTGGGTGGATCATGAGGTCAGGAGTTTGGGACCAGTCGGATCGACATAGTGAAACTCCATCCCTACTAAAATTACAAAAATTAGCCAGATGTGGTGGTGAGTGCCTGTAGTCCCAGCTACTCAGGAGGCTGAGGCTGGAGAATTTGGTTGAACCCAGGAAGTAGAGGTTGCAGTGAGCTGAGATTGTGCCACTGCACTCCACCCTGGGCAACGAGAGCAAAACTCCTTTTCAAAACAAACAAACTCCTCTTTTAAACTGTATTATTCAGCTGTGAAAAACAATCAAAATAATGTCCATCAACACAGGATTAAATAATTCCTGGTTCACCAGTTACAAAAGCCCATGCAGCCATTAAAAAGTGTGAGATAAATCTGTATGTGCTGACAAAAAATCAGTGCAATATGAATTAAATGAAAAAGCGGCGTGATTCATTTACATTAAAAATTATGTATATGTGTGTGCTCAGGACCTTTTTAAAATAGCAAGTATGAATTACTTCATAATTTTTAAAAAGCCTAAAACATAAACTCTACTCACCAGCTGTCCCCATGGCCTGAATTATGTTGTAGAGATTAAGAAAGACCCAACATTTAGGCTGGCAAGGTGGCTCACTCCCAGCAGTTTGGGAGGCTGAGGTGGGGGACTACTTGATGCTAGGACTTGGAGACCAGCCTGGGCAACACAGGGAAAAATAATAATAATAAAGAGAGAGAGAGACTCAATGTTTTGAGGGAAAAGAAAATCATTTGTGGATGATTTTCAGCCAGGGAAAGCTTTCTGCCTATAATTTTTCTTTTCCCACATTTTCTCTTGGATCCCTAGTTTCTCATCTGGTTAAATACTCAAACAAAAGGGATTTTATTTTTTTCCTTTTTTTTTTCTCAGACTGGAGTGCAGTGGCACAAACTCAGCTCACTTCAACCTCCACCTCTCAGGTTCAAGAGATTCTCTTGCCTCAGCCTCCTGAGCAGCTGGGGTTACAGGCATGTACCACCACGCCTAGCTAACTTTTGTATTTTTAGTAGAGACAGGGTTTTACCATGTTGGCCACACTGGTCTTGAACTCCTGGTATCAGATGACTGGCCCGCCTGCTGAGATTACAGATGTGAGTCACCATGCCCAGCCCAAAAGGGCATTTTGATGCCTGAAATCTGCCTCTAGCTTGCTATATGGTTCCAGACACACACACACAGGTGTCTGCCACCCAGTCTTCCTCAAAGAAATAAAAATACACATGTGCAGCTTTAGGACAAGTAAAGAGGACCAGTGTCACGAAGTGGGAGAGGGGAGGGTTCCTAGGATATCCTATGCACGTTCTGGTATGGGGGTGCTAAGGGGCTGTATCCCCCAGTCCAAGCGAGTACTTTGGGAATCCTCAGAATTAAAACATGGAACAGCTCAGCTGAAATGACCCAACCGATTCCACTGGCCTTCGCTGCCAGAGCTGCCTGCTCTTCATGCTTTCTCATTATACCCATGAAAAAATGTCACCTCTTCTCTGAGGAGCAAAGAAAAACCAGCCTTGTTTGTTTCCAGCAGACTTGGCAGGTTCCCAGGCCAAGATTCAACACATTGGCTAAAGGCTCAAAGAGCTATATGGGAGCTGACTCTAAACTTGGAGTTTATCTAAGGCTCACCCTCCAGTGCTCAGCAGAGATGAGCCTCAAGTTGGGAAGATGGGGCTGGGCATGGTGGCTCACGCCTGTCATCTCAGCACTTTGGGAAGCCAAGGAGGGTGGATCATCTGAGGTCAGGAGCTCAAGACCAGACTGGCCAACATGGTGAAAACCCATCTCTATTAAAAATACAAAAATTAGCCAGGCATGGTGGTGGGTACCTATAATCCCAGCTACTTGGGAGGCTGAGGCAAGAGAAGCACTTGAACCCAGGAGATGGAGGTTGCAATGAGCCGAAATCGTGCCACTGCACTCCAGCCTCGGCAATACAGTGAGACTCTGTCTCAAAAAAATAATACAAAAAATAAGTTGGGGAGACAGCTACACCCACAGCACAGGAGTCGTCTTCCTTTGGCTGCATGGGTCTAGAACAGCCTCAGTGCTCCTATGGAGAAGCAGGAGATGCCAGAAATGCTTCCTCCCAGCCAGGGAGGGAGCGGGTTAGGAGCCAGCGGGAAGGAGGAGCTCCCAGCACCCACTGCGCTTCAAAGAGCTGTTCTCTATGCTATTGGCTTTATTTACCGACCTGGAGTCAGCGTAAGTTTGAAGGTATTACCTGTTTGAAAACCAGCCAAAACCAACCTTTTGCAGAGGAGAAAACTGAGGGCCAGAGATGGGAAGCGCCTTTGCCTACTCATTGCTTAGAGAATAGGTACCAGGCAGGCTGGCAGGAACCCCTGTTTCTCCTCCAGTCCCAGCTCTGTGCCTGCTGAGTGGCCCCAGGGGCTGGAAACAGCCCAACCTGGCTGCTGGGTATCTTAGTGGGAGGCATGGGCTTTGAAGTCAAACAAGCCTAGGTCAATATCCTGACCCACTGATGTACCTGGTCTTGGGCCGGTTGGGGTTAAGCCCTCTGAGCCTCTGTTTGCTTGGCTGAGAAGATAGGAGAGGATTCTTAGTGTTGCTGTGAAGATTAGAACCACCTGGCATCAGTGCTCAGAAACAGTTGTAGCTGCAACCCATTGACAGATGACTGGATTAAGAGAATGTGGTCTATACACACCATGGAAAAGTATTCAGCCTGAAAAAGGAAGGCAGTTCTGACCCACGCTACTACACTGGAGGCACCTCAAAGGCACAATGCTAAGTGAAAGAAACTACTCACAAAAGGACAAACACTGCATGTTTCCACTTACATGAGCCTCCTAGAGGAGTCAAAATCATGCAGAGAGGAAGCAGAGTGGTGGCTGCCGGGCTGGGAGGAGGGGGATGAGGAGTTAGTGTTTAATGGGCTTTGGTTGGGAAGATGGAGAAGTTCTGAAGATGGATGTGGTGACGGCTGCACAAGCGTGTACACGTGCTTAATGCCACAGAACTGCACACTTGCAACGAGGGAACATGGTCAATTCATGTTACATGTATTTGACCACAATTAAAAATATTTTCGGCCAGGGGTAGTAGCTCACACCTGTAATCCCAGACCTTTATGAGGCCAAGGCATGCAGATCACCTGAGCCCAGGAGTTTGAAACCAGTCTGCTTGACATGGTGAAACCCTGTCTCTATAAAAAAAATTAGCCAATTGGGGTGGCATGCACCCATAGTCTCAGTGCTCAGGAGGCTGGTGTGGGAGGATCATCTGGGCCTGGGGAGGTCGAAGCTGCAGTGAGCTATGATCACACCACTGCACTCCAGCCTGTGTGACACAGAGAGACCCTGTCTCAAAAAAAATTTTTTTTAATGAACTGAATACCATATGAGGATACAAGAAGAGGACTACCCACAAGCCAAGGAGAGAGGACTCAAGAGAAACCACTCTACAAATACCCTGATCTTGAACTTGCAGCCTCTAAAACTGTAAGAGAATGAATTTCTGTTGTTGAAGCGCCCAGTCTGTTGAGCGGCCAGGCCTTTGGTATGGCAGCCCCAGCAAAGTAATCCACCCTCTACACCATATACCATACCCACAGTCTCGCGATTGAGACCATCTCACACTAATGAAGGACACTGTGATTTCATTCAGGCCAATGGAAGCCCATGGGTTCCCACACATGACACGGCACAGCAGGGCCCTGGCCTCCCCATAGGATGTGGGATGTGACAGGTTTAGATTGCTTGAAATGCCACTGGAAGCTTTTGGTGAATGAGTCCAGTTATTGCCTGAATCGGAAAGATCCTCTCACATAGATGCTGTCTCATCAGTGAAAATCATTGTTGGAGAAGACTGACTCTCATTGAATCGAAACGGGGATAGTTGTGGTCTTGTCGGAAATGATACCTCCTAAGAGGAGCAGAGGTGGAGGCTGGGAGAGGGATGTGGAAGACAGTCTCACGTTCCTGATTAATTACTTCCTTCCATTCCTCTCTCTGGAGTGTGCAGGAAACACCTTTTATTCTCTCTGGATAATTCCTGAAAGTGGATGGAGGCAACTGCAGGTGCCTCCCACAGAAGAGGGCAGCCGCAGGGGGGCACCACATCAGGTGACATGGACTCCTGACGCTGCTCTCAGTGAACTGCAGTTAAGGGTGGCAGGGATGCCCCAATGCACATATTAGCCATGTCCAGGGGGCACCTCTGAAAGGCATCTTCATGGCACGTGGGTTGATACCTAGAAACTTTGCACATTCTTCAGAGCACACATGGGGTCTGCTGCAGAACTCTTAGACCCTGGTGCCTAATCACAAAGCTCAGCTGTCACCAATGAGAGAGGTGGCGTCCACCAGCTCAGCTGTCACCAATGAGAGAGGTGGATTCCGTGAGCTCAGCTGTCACCAATGAGAGAGGTGGGCCCACCAGCTCAGCTGTCACCAATGAGAGAGGGGGATTCCACCAGCCTCTCAGCCAGAGAACCAGGAGGGGCGGCTCTTGCCTGAGCACCAAACCCCCAAACTCTGCAACTGCAGAGACACCAAAGAAGCCATCTTCCCAGCATGCGACATCCCCCAGCCCTTCACCACCCAAACACACATGGAAATGTGCCACTGCCTGGGAAGGGTCAGCTGGGCATGGCAGCTGCTTTCACCTGAGCCCATCTGTAAAAATCGTTTCTGACTAATGCCACATAAAATTAAAGGGGACAGAGATAAAGCAAACAAGAAGGAGACAGGAAGGAGAAAGGCAACATTAACACTGTCATTGTTGCCCTTGGTGACACACTTACCGGTTCTTGGAAGTAGAGCTGGTAATCAAACACCGGGATGGCTTTGATACTCTCCATGGGGTGCACATTGGGATTTGCCGGTATGAAGGGAGTATTCAAACTGGCCACTGCCCTACAGAAATAAGAGGCAGCAAGACATGGCCCTGTAAGGAGACAGTCTACAAGAGCCAGAAAGGACTTTGCAGCTCAAAACTGAAGCTCACAGCGGGAACATTCTATGCACAAGGTCATCCGCTAGCAGTGAATGGGAGAATGGGATCAGAACTCAGGATTTTCTATTCCTAGCCCAGTGGGTTTTTTTCCCACTAAACTGCAGTATTTCTCACCAACTTGCCTTAGACACACAGGCATGCACGTGCACACACACACACACACACACACACACACACAAACAACTACATATATTATAGCAACCCTGAATAGAATATGGAGACACAAATCTCTCTAGTTTTAAAATATGCATTCATTTTTTTCCCTCACTTTATTCACTCATTGTGTCTCCTCTGGATTGAGCATAATTCTATGGTATATATCAGGGGAGAGAAAATGTAAAATGAATAAAATGTCATTTCTATCCTCAAGGAGCTCATAATTTAATAAATTAGAATAGAAAAACACACAATGTTCTTATGAGACGACCATGACATTAGCCAATAGCACACGATAGCATGGAGGTTGGAAGGAGATAAGGAATTCTGAACTGGGCATCATGGAGGACCTTGTGGAAAGGGAGCATTTGAACTTGGCTTTTCAGAGTGGGGAGAGTTGGGGAGGGCAACAAGACCTTCGAGGGGAACATCAAGAGGTAGCCTGAGCAAATTCTAGAAGCGGGCAAAGCTTGCAGCTGTGTTCAGTGGAGCAGAGTCTGCGTGGCTAGAGGCCAAACATGGAATGGGCTATGTTGGAAAATAACAACAGAAAGGAGTGGGAGGTCAGGCATGAAGGGCCCCGAGTCTGAATTTGATGCACTAAGAGCCAAGAAAACCATGAGGGCTTCTGAGAAGAGGGGAGGGTAGATCAGTTGCAATCAGGAAGATTAATCCAGCCCTGAGAGACCACACAGACATAGATGGAGAGGCCAGAAGCCGGGAATCCAGCCAGTAGACCATTCCATTATCACCCAAGAGGGAACAGGATGTTAGCAAAAGGAACAGAAAAGACAGCTGGTGGTGGTGGCTCACACCTGTGATCCCAGCACTTTGGGAGGCAGAGGCAGCTGGATCACTTGAGGCCAGGAGGTCGAGACCAGCCTGGCCTGTGTTGTGAAGCCCCACCTCTACTAAAAGTATAAAAATTAGCCAGGCACATTGGTGCACACCTGTGGTCCCAGCTACTCAGGAGGCTGAGGCAGGAGAATCACTTGAACCCAGGAGGCAGAGGTTGCAGTGAGCCAAGGTCACACCACTGCACTTCAGCCTGGGCAACAGAGTGAGACTCTGTTTCAAAAAAAAAAGGAAGGTATAGAAAAGGGGGTGAATTTGAGGGGCAAACACAGCTTGTTGTTATCTTCCCTTTAATCAGCATGTCATGCATGTTTTGGTGAACCCAATTCTTAAGAACCAAGCTTTTATTTCCATTTTGAATGAGAGACGGGACAGAGAAAGTGAGAGGGAGAAGTTAGAATATGTCTACTACGTACCCACAAGAAATTAAAAAATTTTTAAAGTTAGCGAGATGAGCAGAACAACAGCATGAAAACTTTAACAATATTTTAGGAAACATTTCTTTAGTTTTTGATATAATCCTATCATTTGAGCCAAGAGTGAAACAGAACAAAGTTTCCTCATAGTTCCAATCTCATAAACTTAGCCAAATACAAAATAACTGGATTAGTTAGAGAAATTCAGACACAGCTGAGGATGATGTTTCTCTAACTTCCCAAGACCAGAGGCCGAAATGGGAAGTCAGATAGGTTTTAACTGCCGCTCACCAGCTCAAACCACCAGGGACTGCAGTCTCTGGGCCCAAACCTGTCATCTGATAGCTCTCAAGCTGTGAAATGCTGGTCTAAGAACGAGTGACATGAAGGAAATGGTGGGGACCATGACATGCTGGGCTCACTGCACACTTGCACAGCATTTTCTGGTGTGTAGTCAGGCAGGAGTTACCATTACCACCTTGTTGCTGAGAAAGCCAAGGCCTAAGAAGTGAAGTGATGTGCCCCACAGCCGATCAGGGCAGAAAGGAAGGCCACTTTTTCTGATTCTCAGTCCAGCACTGAATACACACCTGTTGCCTCCCCTGCACCCCTCGAGCTCAGCCATGATCCTCGTGCATTACCACCAGCCACTCGGGCCCTGAATTATTTGTTCCATTGGCTGTAATTATAACAGGTGCTGCTTCCTAACACATTAGCTCATTAGATCCTGTTTTGTTTTGTTTTGTTTTTGAGATGGAATTTCACTTTTGTTGCCCAGGCTGGAGTGCAACGGCTTGATCTCACCTCACTGCAACCTCCACCTCCTGGGTTCAAGTGATTCTCCTGCCTCAGCCTCCCCAGTAGCTGGGATTACAAGTGCACATCACTATGCCCAGCTAATTTTTCTATTTTTAGTAGAGATAGGGTTTCACCATCTTGGCCAGGCTGGTCAAGCTCCTGACCTCGTGATCCATCCGTCTTGGCCTCCCGAAGAGCTGAGATTACAGGTGTGAGCCACCATGCCCAGTTACGCTCTCTTATTAATGTGTCACCAGACACTAAAGAGGGAAGGTATCACCTTCCCAGATCACCTACTTATTTTTGAGAAGTTTTGTAGGCTTAAAGATCTGAGGAACAATTCTCACAGGAGTTCAAGCCCAGCCTCCCCAAAATCCTTATTGCCCGAGGCCCCATTACCTCACTCTCTCGGGGTGGAAGAGAGCCATGTACCACACCAGCATGCCTCCCCAGTCATGGCCAATGAACACTGCTTGAGAGAGGCCCTAGAGAAGTAGAAAGAAGGGAGCTAAACGTGGGGAGGTTTCTGGAATGGGATGCTGGGAGGCTCAGCCCTCAGCCAGCCCCTTTACACCTGGGCCTCTTCTCCTGACCCACAGCAGCTTCCAAATGCCCGCCCTTCGAGCTTCTCCTCCCTGCACCAGCCAAAGACCCTCAACACAAATTGCTGGCCTTTTACATCTGCTTAGGAGGCCGGGGCCATAGGCCATGGGTTCCTTCTCCCTTCTACCTTCTCTCAAATCAAATTTTGTTTTGTCCTTTTCTTTTTTCCCTCCCTTCTATCTTAAAAGAAGTATAACTTACCTCTTCATGTCCCATGTGCATCTTTTTTCAAATGATTATGCTTCTACCCCCCCAATTCCACTTTTTTGGGAGCTCCCCTCCCTTAAACAACCGTTAAAGGTTCAAAAGCATCTTTAATCTCTCTCTGTTGCTGGCACTGATGACGTCAACTCCTCTTTATGGAGCAGCTATAGTCACGTGTCACTTAAGGAGGGGGACATGTTCTCAGAAATGTGTCAGGAGGTTTCATCATGCAAACATCACAGAATGAAACCTACATGGCAGAGCCCACCCCACACCTCCCTCCACACTGACCTCGCTGGTGGCAACCACACAGTCATTCTAGAGACAGAAGGCTGTACAGAATCAGGACTGGGTGGCTACTCTGGGCCATGCCCTGTTCCCTGTCCACATCACAACCAAAAGTTCCAAACCTAATCCTGTGAAACTGAGAATCTGCAGAGGGCAGGGACACCGATATCCTCATGGTGTTTTCCCCACTGTGTCAGGCACAGTGCCCTGCTGGCAAACCAGAGGTCAGCTGCCTAGATCCTCTCTGGCTCCCACATCCAATTAAGAGGCCCTAAGTCCCACTGCCCCATAGCCCTCCCCTGTCCTCCCCTGCTGCTGTCCTGGCTGAGCTGATCCCTCAGTCCATTCTGCCCCCGTGACCTCCCTTGGGGAAGGGGAGGCTGTTACACCATGGAGTCTTGGGAGTGGAAGTGTGTTCAGCCAAGGCACATTCTCAGCTCAGCACTGCTGATTCCCTTTCATTTGTTATCATTGATCTTGACATTCCCAACAATGTCAAATGCAAGCATTAGGTTTTAGGAGTGTCAGAGGGATGAAACTTTAAAGAGTTGGGAAATATTAGCCTATGGGATATTTTCCAAACTTCTCTACCTGATACTCAAGGCTGTCTTCCCTGGTTGCACTCCCTGGAACCGGCCCTTCATTAAAAGACAAAGAAACAAGCTCATATCCATCCTGTTCTCTTTGCCAGCCGTTTTTGTGATTTTCCCTGCCCATGCCCACCCCATCCTTAACTGCCCCAAAAATGTGCCCTCTCTGCACGTGTACCTCTGCTCCAGGCTGATGCCTTTTCTTTAACTACTCAGGCCCCAAAGAAATTCTCCAAAGATATCAGTTCAAAATAATGACTTACCAACTTATCCAGGAAGGTTACCATCTCCTAAGAAAGAAGACACACAGACAAAATCAGCCACCACCACTTTATGATGGGCTGAACTGCGTCCTCCCCAAAACTGCTATGTTGAAATCCTAACCCCCAAGGCCTCAGAATGGGACTGTTTTTGAAGATACAGCCTTTAAAGAGGTGATTAATGTAAAATGAGGTCATATGGGTGGGCCCTAATCCAATGTGTCTGGAGTCCTGTAAAAAGAGAAGATTAGGGCGCGGTGACTCACGCCTCCCAGCCCTTTGGGAGGCCAAGGTGGGTGGATCATGAGGTCAGGAGTTTGAGACCAGCCTGGCCAAGATGGTGAAACCCCCATCTCTACTAAAAATACAAAAATTAGCTGGGCTCAGTGGCAGGTGCCTATAATCCCAGCTATTCTGGAGGCTGAGGCAGGAGAATGGCTTGAACCCGGAAAGCAGAGGTTGCAGTGAGCTGAGATCGCGCCATTGCACTCCAGCCTGGTGACAGAGCGAGACTCTGTCTCAAAAAAAAAAAGAGATTAGACTGCGCACAGTGGCTTGCACCTGTAATTCTAGCACATTGGGAAACCAAGGGAGAAGAATTCCTTGAACCCAGAAGTTGGAGACTAGCCTGGGCAACACAGGGAGACCCTGTCTCTTATTAAAACAAAACAAAACAAAACAAAAAGAAGAGCAGGAGATTAGGACACAGACACGCACAGAGGGATAAGCATGTGAGGACACAGGAAGAAGGTGGCATCTACACGCCCAGGAGAGCTCTCTGGAGAACCAACTCTGCTGACACCTTGATCTTAGACTTCCAGCCTCCAGAACTGTGAGAAAATAAATGTCTATTGTTGAAGCTGCCTGGTCTCTGGCCCCTTATCACGGCAGCCAGGCTGAGCAGTGCAGCTGTCCATCACTCAGCAGCCTTCAGGACACCACCCTTCCCATTCCAGCATCCTCTCAGGACCCAGGCCGACTCCAAACATGCACAGTGAGTCATTCAGTGTCCACCAATACTTATCCCTCACTGTCCCATCGCCATTGTAAGACAGCAAGCCTGGGCTCCTCCCTGGAGGGGGATGGAGACAGCTGCCCTGTAGAGCTTGCTCACGTGCTGCTGCTGCAGGGGAGCAGTGAAAGGCTAGTTCTACCCCCGGGACAATGCATTCCTGCCCGACCACCCACTGTCCTGACACAGAAACTGGCTTCTTTTGCAGAGCATCGTCTTTTGAGGGTTCATTCCCGCTGAAGCTTGCACCAGCCCGTCATTCCTCTGTACGGCTGAACAGTGTCCCACTGTAGGGATGGGCCACATTTTCTTTATCCATTCGTCAGCTGATGGACATGTGGGCTGTCTCCACTTTTTGGCTATTAGGACTAATGCTGCTGTGAACATTCGTATCTGGGGTTTTTTTTTTTTTTTTGTGGACATACATCGATTTTCTTGGGTAAATACCTAGCTGTGGATGTACTCATGATTTTTCAAAGGTGGAACAGGAGGATACGAGCACCATCCTGTTTGTTTTTGGTAAAAGGACTTTGTTAAAGAGAACAGTTCTCCTAAGTGACCCAAGGTGACTATCCCAAGGTCCAGGTTAGAGGACAACAGCAGGATAGGGGCTCCCAGGGTCACTGATGAGACCTTGATAGGACTTCAGGGAGATATGTGGTGGGATCAGGAGCAGCAGAGTGCAAGAGGCAAAGACTGGGAAACTGAGGAAGGAGGAGCAGCCCTGCCTGGAAACAGAACTTTTACCCCTGATTGATTCTGATATGCCAAAGCAGCACATGTAGCTTGAGGGCACACCCGAGGGGGGAAAAGTCCTCCCAGGCTGTGCCTCAGAGATGGAGGCTTTTATAATCCTAGCGTGGCCAGCAGCACTGCTAGTTTCCCAGCCAAACTGGGGGCGGTTTCCTCCCCTGGGCTCCCCCAGCCTTTGCTTTTGCTCTTGAGCTGAGTGGAGGTTTGGGTCCCAGTCTCTCCTCATCTTGGCCTCAGCCCCCACTGCCAGCACTTACAGGATGGTGCTTACACCTGTCTTAGAGCAGGAACTCCATCCGTGCTGGTCACCAGTCCACAAAGGTCGGGCCTAGGTCTGGCCAATCACATCTTTACCAAAATAAAGTGACTTTCTCAATGCTCTAGATGGAGAGGCAAGAGAGTGCAGTACTGTGGGCTTCCAGCCCGGCTCTACCAGCTGCTGACCTCGGGCAATTACCTTTAACTTCTCATGACTCAGTTTTCTCTTCTGTCAATTGCTTAGAGGAAGACCTGACACAGTCAATGCTTCATACACGTTGGCTATCACTTGGAAATATTGTTCAACTTTCAGTAGGAATTTATAACCAGAGGCTATGAAATGATGCTTTCCTAAAATGTGAATGGGCAGCTTCGGGTTTATATCAGCAAAAAACAGAGATTACCCAAGATCCTTCTTACCTTACATAACACTTCCATGCAATATTCTTCTATTTCTGCAATTAAAAACAAAATACTCACGTTATATTGAACTCACGTTATTTAAAATATATCAACACATCAAAAGGGCCCTTTTGCAAAGAAAACCAAAAACAAAAAGAACAAAACCCCACAGGAACGTATGAAACTATTTGACTGAGGTGGAGCCCGGTGTTTATTTTTGCTTTTGCTGCCTGTGCTTTTGATGTCATATCTCCGGAATCATTGCCGAGACCGTCGTCAAGCTTTCCCCCTGTCTTCTTCTAGTAGTTGTAAAGTTTCAGGGCATACATCTAAGTCTTCCATCCATTTTGAGCTGATTTTTGTGTGTGGTGTAAGATAAAGTTCCAATTTCATTCTTTTTCATTTTTCCTCACCACTGTTTCTTTGAAGAGTGTGTCCTTTCTCCACTATTCTTGGTACCCTTGTCAAAGATCAGCTGACCACATACGTGTGGACTGACTCCTGGGCTCTGTATCCACTGAACTAGGTCTCTCTTTATATTTGTATCACACTGTTTGTGTCATACTATAGCTTTGTAATATAGTTTGAAATCAGAAAGTGTGCTTCAACTGCCTCCAGCTTCGTTATTCTTTTTGTCAAGATTGCTTTGTCGATTTGCGGTCTTTTGTGGGTCCATAAGAATTGCAGAATTGCTGGGTCTATTTTTGTGGAAAATGGCATTGGGATTTTGACAGGGATTGCATTGCGTCTGTAGATTGCTTCGGGTCGTATGAGTACCCAAATCAATGGGTAGTATAATTTCAACAATAATAGCAATTTTAACAATAACGGTATTTTAACAATAGCAATTCCAGAAAGCAAAAAGAAAAAGAACAATAAAAATAGAGAAAACAGGAGAAAAGATTATCAAAGAAATCATGCATGGAAAGTTCCAAGAACTGAAAGATAAATGTGTCCAGCAAAGTGGATGAGAAAAGACCCAGGTCAGAGCACAACATCATATAATTTCAGATAAAGAAAAGATACCCAAAGTGTTCAAAGTAAGGGAAAAGCAACAGCCACATAGAAAGGCTCAGGAATCAGAATGGCTGAGATTTCTCAACAGTAACAATGGAACCTAGAAAAGAGTGGACAAACCTTCAACATTTTAAGGGAAAATGATTTGCAACCTAAAATACAAACCTTCAACATTTTAAGGGAAAATGATTTGCAACCTAAAATCCATTGTCAAATCATAGGAAAGGTAGACATAAGCGATCTGAAATGTATATATTTAAATCATTATGCTTGGTTTTAAAATTCATTTTACATATGCTCTTTCAACAACAGTTTATATTACATTTTCCCTTAGACAAAGTTAGAGTTAGGGTAAGATCATAAATTTCAGGTTTTCTCCAGGGCGGTTCCAGTTTTTATGTTTTGTTTTTCTTTTTTTTTTTTTGTTTTTTTGAGATGGAGTCTTGCTCTGTTGCCCAGGCTGGAGTGCAGTGGCGCAATCTTGGCTCACTGCACCTCTGCCTCCCAGATTCAAGCAATTCTCTTGCTTCAGCCTCCTGAGTAGCTGAGATTACAGGTGCCCACCACCACACCCAGCTAATTTTTGTATTTTTAATAGAGAAGGGGTTTTACCATGGTGGTCAGGCTGGTCTCAAACTCCTAACCTTGTGATCTACCCACCTTGGCCTCCCAAAGTGCCTGGATTACAGGCGTGAGCCACTGCACCCGGCCCAGTTTGTATGGTTTTAATAGTGTCTCCCTTTTGAGAGTGCTCTGGTTTGAATGTTAAATGATGTTACTAAGTTACGCCTAGGGAATTCAGAGAAGACTACGGTATATGTGAACGAAAATTAAACATTTTAATAATTGCACTTAAAAATCAGAAGCCCTTAGCTGGCTTTCCCAGCTGTCTGAACAAAAGGCTTTTCTTTGTGTAACATGCTTTTACATCATTCAGGAAGCAGCAGCAGAGGCTAATTCAACAGCACAATATTCAGGGATTGACCACATGAGACGCCCCCTCTGTGACATGCTCAGTCCTCTGAGTGGACCCCTGCGTGACCAAGAGTCCCAGTCCATATCAGCTGGCTTTAAACCCCACAGCCAATCATGCTTGATATGATTATGGGGGAGCAGCCCAGAAAAGGGGTGAGCAGCCCTGCTGGGCTCACTCACTGCCAGCTGCATCACTGACACCTGGAGGACCAGGGCTGCTGCTCGCGCCTGGCTGCTTCCCATTCCTGCCTCCACACCCAAGGTTCTTAACAGTTCAGGACTGAGGACCCCTCTGAAACTGATGAAAAACAAGAGGCTCTACCCACCAGGAAAATGCTCATAAATCTACATGTTGTCTCAGAGGTTCTCAGGCCATCAGACGCCCATTCTGGATAGATTCCCACAGGGATCCACAGACACTGGGTTAAAAATCTGGCCTATGAATTAGCATACGACCCAGCAATTCTGCTCCCGGGTATATACCCCAAAGAACTGAAAGCAAGGATAGAGACAGCTATTTGCACATCCATGTTCACAGCAGCCAAAAGGTGGAGACCATCGAAGCATCCATTGGTGGATAAACGGTGAAGCAGAATGTAGTCTATCCATGCAATGGAATAGTATTCCGCCCTGAAGAGGAAGAAAATTGGCCAGGCCGCTCATGCCTCTAATCCCAGAACTTTGGGAGGCTGAGGCAGGTGGATCACCTCAGACAGGAGTTGCAGACCAGCCTGTTCAACATGTTGAAACCTTGTCTCCACTAAAAATAGAAAAATTAGCTGGGCATGTTGGTGAGCGCCTGTAATCCCAGCTACTCAGGAGGTTGAGGCAGGAGAACCATTTGAACCCAGGAAGCAGCAGTTGCAGTGAGCTGAGATCACGCCATTGCACTCCAGCCTGGGCAACAGAGCAACACTTAGTCTCCGGAAAAAAAAAAAAAAAAAAAAAAGGAAAGAAATTGTGGCGCCGTCTACAACATGGAAGGAAGTTCAGGACATTAGGCTAAGTGAAAGAAGCCAAGCAAAAAAGGACAAATGTTACATGATTCTATTTCTGTGAGGTCTTTAGAGGAGTCAGATTCATAGAGACAGAAAGTAGAATGGGGGTTGCCAGGGGCTGGGGGGAGGAAGAACTGAGGACTGAATACCGCCTTTCAGTTTTGCAAGATGAAGAATGTTCTGGAGATGAATGGTACATTCTATGTCCGCCACCCCCTATGACCAGTGGGAGATCCCTTGGAGCTTGGGCCTTTGGGGCTGCTGTATTCATTCAGAATGTTGGGGGTAGGCAGGGGCATCTGAAGCCCAAAGTGCAGAGACACAGGGCACTGCAGGAGAGGAGAGAGGTGAAGTCAGACCCCCTAAGGGGAAGGCTACTCTGATCTGGGACCAGGGAAAGCACCGAGGCGTGGAGTGCTCAGGCAAGTAGAAGGCAGGACTAACACAAGACAGCGCACCCACCGTGAGGAGCAGACGACTCTCCATAGCCTTTCATGTCCAGAGCTAGGACCCGGTAACCCGCCTGGGCCAGAGCAGGGATCTAGAAAACAAACAGGGGCACTCCAGCGTGGCCTCCTCAGTCCCAGGCAGACACTCCCTCTTTACTTCCCTCCATCTCCTTCTTCCTGTAAATGGCTCAAACCAAAGAGCCACCTGGTACTACCTGGTATCTTCACCATGGGGCTGCAATGAGCCCATTTATATAGGGCTCTGTGGACAGTGGTAGGGCTTGTGCATGGCAGAAATGCCACATCTAAGAGAGCATCTTCCCTGGCAAAGCTCTTGCAGATCTCCATACCCAGTACAGAGGCCTCCCAGCAGGGAGCATGGAGCGTCTTAAAGAATCTGCCCTTTTCTAATCTACAAAGGTACTTCATGCCCTAGTATAGCCCTGAGGTCTGGAGCCACCTTCTGCCCCAACTGGTCACATTTTTTTGTGTGTGTGATGGAGTCTCACTCTGTTGCCCAGGCTGGAGTGCAATGGTACGATCTCGGCTCACTGCAATCTCTGTCACCCAGGTTCAAGTGATTCTGCTCCCTCTGCCTCCCAAGTAGCTGGGATTACAGATGCGTGCCACCACAGCTAATTTTTTTTTTTTTTTTTTTTTTTTTTTTGAGACGGAGTTTCGCTCTTGTCACTCAGGCTGGAGTGCAATGGCGCGATCTTGGCTCACCGCAACCTCCGCCTCCTGGGTTCAGGTAATTCTCCTGCCTCAGCCTCCCGAGTAGCTGGGATTACAGGCGCGCGCCACCATGCCCAGCTAATTTTTTGTATTTTTAGTAGACACGGGGTTCCACCATGTTGACCAGGATGGTCTCGATCTCTTGACCTTGTGATCCACCCGCCTCGGCCTCCCAAAGTGCTGGGATTACAGGCGTGAGCCACCGCGCCCGGCCTAATTTTTGTATTTTTAGTAGAGATAAGGTTTCACCATGTTGGCCTTGATCTCCTGACCTCATGATCCGCCTACCTTGGCCTCCCAATGTGCTGGGATTATAGGCATGAGCCACCGTGCCCAGCCCCTGGTCACACTTTGGAGACAATGCTCCACTGTCAGGTTTCAGCTTCCTCATGGATGTCCATGTTGGGCCACACCATCTAGACTCCCCCAACCTCACCCTGACGGAGTATACCCTCCCCAGCTTTCCTCACCTGGTACCTCCAAGAATACCAGCTCTCAGGAAATCCATGGCAGAGGCACACAGCAGGGCCAGAGCCCAGCTCCACAAAATGCAGATGGACCCCAGGCTGTGGAAGGGAAAGAGGAGGGGGCAGTGACTAAGCACCAGGCACCGCAGCATCTGCAGAATGCCAGCAGCATTTCAGTCGGTTGCTGGATCGCGCATGACCTGGATTTCTCAGTGAAAAGCCCCAGTGTTAGAGGAAAATGGCTGAGAAGAGGCTCTGGCCAACCGACTCAATAACAACAGATGGCTCTCACCATAACCTAAGAACTCTAAAGACATTATGTTGGGAAAAAAACCAAAATAACAACGCACTTCTCCTTCCTCTCTACCAGGGCCCCATAGTCTCAGTTTCTGGTGCTGTTCTGATGTGTTTTCAGTATATTAAAGAGGGGGCTGATATTGTGCAGAGCGTAATGTTCATGGTCACGTGCCAAATACTGTTGCAAGACTTTTCCTTGGTTCAGCTCAAGACGGGGTCCTGGTCCCACGGTCATGAAAATATAGGCTTGCAGACAATTTGAAGTGTGAGTAAAGAGCAGGGTGTTATTAGGTGAAAAGGAAAAAGTGGGGAATAGGGACTCTCTGCAAGGCCAGAGTTCCCTACTGGTGCACTTCCGGCTCGCTGTTGGAATCCCAGGTTCCACGCAGGAAGAGGAGGGGCCAGGCTTCTCCCTGCTGCAAAGGGCAAGAACTCCACTCCAGTGCACAGGCTGTTTGGAGTTTCTCTGGGGACCCCTCCCACCTGGCTGTCTCAATACCATCAGTGTTTAATTAAGAGCTGTTTACTTCTTAAATATGAAATTTGTTCAAGCTTTGCACACCTGTAGTCTTTTGGGGGGCTATGGGTGTGGCAGAGACCGTGAGGGCTTGACAAGGTCTGTGTTCCCATCCTCTTCCAGGCACATGTCAGCAACTTGCAGAGCACCTCCCACTCCTACAGCAACGGAGCCCTGGCCAATGTCTCCCAAGCAGAGGAAAGGCGCTGCATCCAGGGCTCACAGGACCCTCTGTGTGCGGCCTCCCTCCCTTTGCCTATCTCTGCCTGAATGGCGTGGGCCTTGAGAAGGTGGAGGCAGCGGAGAGAAGGAGCCTGGTTGCTTGAATGGCTACGTGGACAGAGCCCACCACACATTGTGCTGTAGGTGAGAAACACACTTGGTGTGAAGCCACTGAAAGGGACAGGATGTTTGTTACAGCAGCTAATCAGCCCTGACTGTTATGGTGGGGTCCAGCCAAATGAACCAAATAATCAAGTGCCCTCTTCTTACCCCAATTACATATCACCAGTGTCCTAAGGGAAATGCAGGAGAACAATCAGAGTCATGTTATAGATATTCACATGGAACAATTCCACTTAGCTGTAAGATGACTCCAAGCTGTGCCCCACACTGGAAGTTTCTTTTTTGGGCAGTGAGGGAGACGTGGTCTCGCTCTGTTGCCCAGGCTGGAGGGCAGGGGCATGATCATAGCTCACTGCAGCCTCAAACTCCTAGGCTCTAGCAATCCTCCCACCTCAGTCTCCCAAGTAGCTGAGACCAGAGGTACATGCCACTACACCCAGCTAATTTTTACATTTTTTGTAGAGATGGGGTCTTTCTATGTTGCCCAGGCTGGTCTCATACTCCTGGCATTAAGTGATTCTCCTGCCTTGGACTCCCAAAGCGCTGGGATTACAGGCATGAGCCACCACACCTGGCTCCACAGGAAGTTTCCTTCATGATTCCTAAACAAGCTATTCTGCTCAAGAAAACATTAGGTGGGCATTTAGCAGACCCTCTCTGTGAGTGTTTATCAGAGTTTGTTCCATAGTCTTTCCTTTAACACTTGGCAAAAGTTCACTTTCAATTCGATTTACCTGACACTGAGAAATGTTTCACACTTACATCTGATCAAACGATCCTAGCTCGCCTGTGTTCTAGCAGGTGGGAAGGGTCCCCAGAGAAACTCCAAACGGCTTACTCTTGAGCTTTATCATCTCATTATAAAGCTGTGGATACTGAGGCTCACAGCTTCATATTGACTCAGCTGACTAGTCCCGCAAACACATGTCTTTTCCCATCCTCATTTTTTCTGTGTTAAAAAAAAGTCAATAAAGCCAGAACACAAAAAGATCTATTATCAACCCGGTTTAGGATTCAGTGGCAATCAATGCACCAGCCCCCTGAGAACCTGCTGCAGCTGGGACTCCCCAGAAGTTTGCTGCCAGCTCTTAAATATGGGGTGGGGGAAAGACAGGGTGGGGTAAAGCGATTCTAATCACACTCCTTCAAGGTCAAATAAAGAATCTCTTAAAACTGGATATGCAAACCCTAAGGGAATTACAAGAATAACCCTGTCCATAGTTAAAACCCAGCCCCCAGCCCTGCGTGAAAAGGCCCTCACTCCTCTTTACCACCAGACACATGAGACCTGAAGGCCCTGATGAAACATTCACCCTTCAGGAGAACCCAGAGTCACAGAAGGAATGTCTATCAGTGATGCTGACCAGTAGCTTTCAGTCCTAGAAAAGCCTTTTCTTACAATGCAAACCCACTCGTGCTTGGATGCCCACTTTACAACGTTTATGGTGGCTGCCTTCACCCTCACAGAACCCATTCTGAGCACAGATCCCGTTCTGGGCAGGGATCTCATCCTTGCTGTAACCAAACCAGAGTGGCTGTGAATGTAAAATCCCCGGGGTCATGGAAGACCCTCCATCCATCTCAGAATATTATTATACTGAGGTTTTCCTCCAGAACAGCAAGGTCCCCAAGGTCTCCAAGGCCAGCACAGCCACGGCCTCCAGCCCTCCTGTTTGTCAGCCACCATCTGTGGAGCAGTGGCTGTCGGGCACTACGTTCCGTGGTCTGTGTACAACATTTCATTTAATTCTTACAGAAACTGCATGGAGAGATAGTGTCATTTCATTATAAAGGTGCCGATATTGAGGCTCACAGGGGTAAGATGCTTGCCCAAGGCTGCAATCTCAGTTAAAGTTGCCACACCAAGATTCCAGCTGGGTCTACCTGGCTGCACAGTAGCTGTCTGGCCGTTTTTTGCAGATGAGTGGACCCACAGCTTTAGGTCCTTTTGTATTTAAATGAGTCCAGTGACAAATGAGGAAAGACCCCAGTGTGAATCCATGAGGATGTACTGAACCCCTACTGTGTGTCGGCAAGCCAAGTGACATCTCCCAGCCAGGTCATCAGCCAGCGGCCTCTGCATGTGGCCTTGGCCTTATGATAACCCTTTGAAACAGAAAGAACATCTGAATGACCCTTTCCATCTCCTTGCCCTCAGTGTGGGCTCCTTGAGGACAGGTCTGTCTTAATCATCACCGCACCCCTTCTATCTGGCCTGTGCCTGACACAGAGGAAGTGCTCTCCTATACCCCCCCCACCAAAAAAAATTAAAAATACCTGTTGAATGGAAACATCTTCTCCCCCAACACAGGCCAGCTGTGCACGTGCTTTAGCCCCAGGCTGGCCACACCTCCTAGCCTGCTGTTCTGCTGGGGTTTGGCCAAAGCTGTCATACTGCTTTACAGACTCTGAGACAGGGCTTGTGTCTTCCATCCATTACTAAGGAATGGGATTTGCAGGAAATTCCACTTCCTTATAAATAGAGGATGTTCTTCTTTTTTATTATTATACTTTAAGTTCTGGGGTACATGTGCAGAACGTGCAGGTTTGTTACATAGGTATACACATGCCATGGTGGTTTGTTGTACCCATTCCCCTATCATCTACATTAGGGATTTCTCCTAATGCTAACCCTCCCCAATCCCCCCAATAAAAAAAAAAATTAAAAATAAAAATAAATAGCAGATGTTCAACCACCCTCTATATTTAACAAATGTCTCTGCTGGCCACTTCTTTTTTAGACAGGGTCTCACTCCATCGCCCAAGCTGGAGTACAGTGGTGTGATCACAGCTCACTGCAGCCTCTGCCTCCTCCCAGGCTCAGGTGATCCTCCCAGCTCAGCCTCCTGGTTGTCTCTACTGGTCATTTTAGGTGACCTGGTTAGAGAGCACTCAGCGGACTGAGAGACAGAGCTGACTCACCTTTATTGTCACGTACCCGTGGCTCACGTCACTTGGATTGCAAGAGGTCAGCAGAGGCACCAGGGTATTGAGAAGCTGTAAGCAGGAAAGGCACTGTGAGAGAGACGACCGCAGCCTCCTTCCAAGAGAGGCTCTCCTGAGTACTAGTGCCAGAAGAGGCCTCCAAGACCCCATCCTGAGCCCTCCAGGTGACTGACCAGCCCATCTCCCTCTCCTGCCAGCACAGCCAGACTCCACTCTCCCTCCGGCTTTCCAGTTGAGTGGAGCTCCAAGACTGAATTCTGGCCAATGGAAGCAGAGGGAAGAGCACAGCCTCCTGCCTGGCACATTAAACCCCGACATGATTCTCTACATTTCTAAACTCTCCATCTTCTAGCCGGGTGTCCAATGTGACCTTGAAACTAAGAAGACAGTGGGTCCTCCAACATCCTGGGTCCCCGAATGACTGCATGAGGCAAAGTCCCTGGCCACTGCCCACTGAATGTCGTGTAAGCAAGAAGCAAAGATCCCTTGCTCTAAGCCACCGAGAATCTGGACTTCAGTGACTATTATTTGCTTCTGTGGCAGCTCCGCCAATGGTCGCCCAGGCTCATGTGGGACACCATGAGAAGCTCACACAGCAGTCACTCTGTCACTGCTCCCCTCTGTCGAAAGGTCACTCCTTCAAGTTGGCCAAAATCAAAGGTCACTCCTTCAAGTTGGCCTTTGTATTAGTTTGCTCTGGCTGCCACAAAATACCGGTTTATGTGGTTTCAGGAACAGATATTTATTTCCTCACAGTTCTGGAGGCTGGAAGTCCAAGGTCAAGGTGCTGGTGGGGCTGGTTTCTCCTGAGGCCTCTCTCCTTGGCTTGCAGACGGCCATCTTCTCCTTGTGTCTTCATGTGATCTTTCCCCGGCATCCTCAAGCCCCTGGTACCTTGCTGTGTGTGCCATGATCTCTGCCTATTCTCCCTTTTTTGGGGGTCTCCATTCTGTCATCCAGGCTGGCATGTACCGATGTAATCATAGCTCACTGCAGCCTTGACCTCCTTGGCTCAAGTGATCCTCCCACCTCAGCCTCCTAAGCAGCTAGAACATAGGTATGCACCACCATGCTCAGCTATTTTTTTTAAGCGACAGAATCTTACTATGTTGTCCAGGCTGGCCTTGAACTCCTGGCCTCAAGTGATCCTCTCACCCTGGCCTCCCAAAGTGCTGGGATTACAGGAGTGAGCCTGGCTTCTGTCCTTAATCTCTGCTTCTTCTAAAGAGACCAGTCAGATAAGATTAGGGACCAGTCTTGTGACCTCATTTTAACTTCATTATCTCCTTGAATGCCCTTTTGTCAGACCTAGTCACATCTTGAGGTATTAGAGGTTAGGACTTCACTGTATTAATTTTGGGGGACACAGTCTAGCCCGTAACAGCCTTCCACCGGCAGGTCCCAGGCCTGTTCTCAGGAGTCCTTGAGGGCTTACACTAACCTATCTCAGTAAACAGGAGATTCCTGAACAAGGAGTCCTTATGGAGGCTTCTGTCGCTTACTGGAATCAGTTTCCCTGGGAAGGAAATGACAAGGAGCCTGCTACTAAGCACATGTCGTGAATATTGTCTTATGCGTGATCCCTGCTGCTGGACACGCTGTGAATCCTACTGCTGGACTGGTCACTTTCAGTCCTAAGATGTAACTCAAGAAAAAAAATTCATCTTCTCAATGACTCAGTTTTGTGACCTCTAAAATGGGGATGTAAGCTAAGAAATCTATCTCCTTTATAACCATGAAAGACTCTACCTGCAGAGGGGGACAAAGGAGGTGAGTCCCCCAACCTCTGTGGCATCTGCAGAAGATCTGGGGGCAGGGACGGATTCAGTGTGATGGTGGAGGGCAGCCTGGTGTCCTCTGATGGCCATGAGTCCATGGTCAGGGGAGCCAAGGCCTGTGAGCAGAGCTGGTGCCCCTCAGGGCCCCTCCTCCTATGTGTCCTCAGTTTCCTAGGGCATGCCCCTGCTCTTGGGGTGGGGAAGGTGAGGAGTTCCTCCTTCATGATCCTCTTGTATGTTTGTGCAATTTACAAGGCCTGTTCGTGACTGATGCCTACTGCCTTCCTCTGAAAAAGAGACACAGGCTCCCCTGTTTAAAAGGGGTGATTTTTCTGTGGGAATATAAAAGGGTATAGCTGCTGTGCAAAACAGCACTGCATTTCCGCAAAACCTAAAAATAGAATTCTGGCTAGGCATGGTGGCTCATGTAATCCTAGCACTTTGAGAGGCCAAGGTGGGCGGATCACTTGAGGTCAGTTCAAGACCAGCCTGGCCTACATGGGGAAACCCCGTCTCTACTAAAAATACAAAATGAGCCAGAAATCTCTTGAACCTGGGAGGCAGAGGTTGCGGTGAGTCAAGATCATGCCACTGCCCTCCAGCCTGGGCAACAGAGCAAGACACCATCTCAAAATAATAATAATAATAAATAAAATAAAATAAAAATAGAATTTCCATATGATCCAGCAATTTCAATCCTAGGTACAGACCCAGAAGCATTGAAAACCAAGTCTCAAAGAGACACATGCACACCCACATTCATACTAGCACTATTCCCAATAGCCAAGAGGCGAAAGCAACCCAGGCGTCCTTGGATAGCTGAGTGGATAACCCAACGTGGTCTGGGTATACAGTGGAATAGTTAGTCTTCTACCCTAAAAAGTAAGGACATTCAGACTCCTGGGGCAATATGGGTGAACCTTGGAGACATTATGCTAAGTGAAATAAGCCAGTTACAAAAAAGGCAAATATTGTGATTCCACTTACATGAGGTCCCTAGAGGAGTCCAATTCATAGAGAAAAAAGCAGGATGGGGGTTGCCAGGGGCTGGGGCAGTGGGAATGGAGAGTTGGTGTTTAATGGGTGAGGAGTTTCATGTGGGGAAGATGAAAAAGTTCCAGAGGGGAAGGTGGTGACGGTTGTACAACAATGCGGTTGTTCCTAACATCACTGAACTGTATACACACACACACACACACACACAGATGGTAATTTTTTTTTTTTGAGGCGGAGTTTCACTCTGTTGCCCAGGAGGGAGTGCAATGGCGCAATCTCGGCTCACTGCAACCTCCGCCTCCCAGGTTCAAGCGATTCTTCTGTCTCAGCCTGCTGAGTAGCTGGGATTACGGCATGCGCCACCATACCCAGCTAATTTTTTTTTTGTATTTTTAGTGGAGATGGGGTTTCTCCATGTTGATCAGGCTGGTCTCGAACTCCCAACCTCAGGTGATCCACCTGCCTCAGCCTCCCAAAGTGCCAGGATTACAGGCATGAGCTACTGCACCTGGCAAAGATGGTAAATTTTATGTTACATGTATTTTTCCACAATTAAAAAAAAAAGACTAAAAAGGGGATGCTGTTCATTTTTCCTTCTATCTTCGTCTTCCTCCTACTCTGAGACAAAGAGAAATGAGCCATGATTGACCTTCCCAGTTTCACGGGACAGGGATCTGTGGCTCAGATACACTCAGGGCACAGACCTAGCAAGTGTCACAGGCACATGGGCTCCCTGACCTCAAGCCTGATGCGCTTTCTTCTCTGTGGCCTGGGATATGCAGGTTTGCAGAAGGATAAATGAACAAAGTGTGGGCAAGATGCTTTAAGCTTATGAAGTAATTGGGTGTATATTTTAATTTATTCATTAAAGACAAAAAATACAAATCAATCTTGTCATGGGTTGAACTGTATCATTCTCAAAATTTGCATGTTAAAGTCCAAGTTCCCAAAACTAATTTTTTTTTTTTTTTTTTTGTGACAGAGTCTTGCTCTTGTGGCCCAGGTTGGAGTGCAATGGTGTGATCCTGGATCACTACAACCTCTGCCTCCTGGGTTCAAGCTAGTCTCATGACTCAGCCTCCCGAGTAGCTAGGATTACAGGCACCCATCACTATGCTCGGCTAATTTTTTGTATTTTTAGTAGAGACGGGGTGTAGCCATGTTGGCCAGGTTGGTCTCAAACTCCTGATCTCAACTGATCTGTCCACCTTGGCCTCCAAAGGGCTGGGATTACAGGCATGAGCCACTGCACCAGGCCTTAGCCCCCAGTACCTTAGAATGTGACTGTATTGGGAGATGAGGCCTTTACAGAAGTAACTAAGGTTAAAGGAGGTCATTAGGCTGGGCCCTAGCACAATTTGACTGGTGTCCTCATAAAAAGAGGAGGTTAGGAAGCAGAAAGTCACAGGGAAAAGCCATGTGAGGACACAGGGAGAAGGTGGCTGTCTGCAAACCAAGGAGAGAGGCCTCAGGAGAAACCAACCCTGCTGGCACCTTGATCTTGGACTTCCAGCCTCCAGAAGAGTGAGAGAATATATATCTGTTGTTGAACCCACACAGTCTGTAGTGCTTTGTTACGGCAGCCTGAGCAAACTCACCCAGTTCTCTCTGAGGCAATGGCTGTGCATCCTTGGATGTGTGGCAGGCTCAGCTGACTACCAGCTCTCTCCTGCCTCCTCTCCCCTGCGCTCACAGGATGAGGGCACTGCACTCCTGCAGAAGGCTGTGGACTTGGTGAGGTCAGCGATCTTAGGTCAACCCAAAAAAAGAAAGGTGCCTCAGACGTGGAGGAGCAGGCTTATCCCCAGGCAGCCCCAGGGACATCATGACAGCTGTCTCATCCATCTCGTGAGGGAAAGGCTTTTCTTAAGAGGCTTTCCCCTGACTGCCAAGAGGGTGTGAGCTGGGTGGAACTAAAGGGCTGCATCTGAGTGCCAACAGGATGCTCGGGTATGCCAGGTAGGGGCCTTGATCCTTAGGGTAAACATTCTCCATTTACTCTCAAAAGTGAGGTCAAGATGGCCTTGAACATCCCACTCTTGCTGCCAGTTCCCCAGCCCTGAGCCAAGACTAGTATAAATTCTTGTTACCCTGTTCAGTGACTACAGAGAAAGAAGCGATGCTCCTTAGGGACATCATGCTGACTGCACAGTGGGTGACAGACTCCCAACCCTGGAGTGGCACCCAGGAGTCATTCATGGAGCAATGAACTCCACGGACAGCGGCTTCTCCGCTCAAGTCCAGAAACCACAGATGAGCACGGGAAGCTTGCTCGATTCGAAGTCAAGTTACCTGAGTTCTGGTCACTTTCTCCAGTTCCCTCAGGGCCGTGTCAGTGTCCTTGACCAGGATGGTGATCATTCCCAAGTCACGGGCTGGCTTCAGATTAGCCCCAATGTCATCCAAGAAAACGACCTGAGCCCAAAGCAGCATGGGAGAATCCCAGAAAGAAACTCACCAGAATGCAAACAGGGGCTACTTTATGATGAGATTAAAAACTCCTTTTCTTTCATAACCATCTACTCTTAAAATGGAAAGCATTTAATTCCATAACATACACATGAAAACACAGATACATATGACCCCACACAGACCTACTGGCTTCAGCTACTTCTGAAATTGCAAGAGGATTAGGAGAGGATACACATTTATCAAGGTGACACTAAAATTCATCTGGGAAAATCAACAGGCATAAGTAGACCAAAAAAATGTATCTGGGAAAAAAAAACTGTAGTGAGGACAAAGAGTCAAACAATTTAGGAAGTGACAAAAGGTAGAAATTTGGCACTAGAAAAGCAGCAGACATTGAAACAGACCCAAATGCAAATAAAAATTTAGTTTCTGAGAAAAGTTTCATGGCCAATTGGTAAGGAATATTGTTTAATGGTCTTGGTATGACTGGTTAACGGTTGGGGGAATAAAATGGATCCTTACTTTACATCTTACCCCCAAAGAGATTTTTTTTTTTTTTTTTTTGAGACTGAGTCTTGCTCTGTTGCTAGGCTGGAGTGCAGTGGTGCAATCTCAGCTCACTGCAACATCTGCCTCCTGGGTTCAAGTGATTCTCTTGCCTCAGTCTCCCAAGTAGCTGGGACTACAGGTGCACGCCACCACACCCAGCTCATTTTTGTGTTTTTATAGAGAAGGGGTTTCACCATGTTGGCCAAGATGATCTCGATCTCTTGACCTTGTGATCTGCCCACCTCGGCCTCCCAAAGTGCTGGGATTACAGGTGTGCACCACCACGCTCGGCCAGGTTCTCAATGAATCAACAATGTATATGTAGTAAGAAAGAAAGTGCTAGGCTTGGTGGCTCACACTTATAATCCCAGCACTTTAGGAGACTGGAAGGACTGGTTGACACCGGGAGTTCAAGACTAGCCTGGACAATACAGTGAGACCCTTGTCACAACAAAAAATAAAAAAATTAACCATGCATGATGGCATGAACCTGTGGTCCCAGCTACTTGGGAGGCTGAGGCAGGAGGATCACTTGAGCTCAGGAGTTTGAGGCTGCAGTGAGCTATGATCGCACCACTGCACTCCAGCCTGGGTGACAAAGTGAGACTCTGTCTCTAAGAAAAAATAATTAGTTAAACAATAAATAAATAAATATAGAGAAAAATCCTGGAATTCATCGTAGAAAGCATGGGTGCATGCATTTACCACCTTGGACAATGGAAGTCTAGAATTCTAAGCAGCTCATCCAACCTGGAAGCCATTGATAGGAAGACTGATATATTCTGGTGCAGGCTTGGATTTGGAGCCCTGCTCTGAGGCTGGCTCCAGGCACTGAGACGAGCAGAAGCCAAGTCCAGGAGGAGAAAAGGGAGGTCCCGGAATGGAGCATGGCGAGGACTCCAAGGCTAGAGTCCAGGGTTTGCTCTGATCAGTTTGTGGGGAGGTGGGGGTTGGAAATGTGAGGGAAAGCAATTTAACCTCGGTCCAATCACCTTTTGCAGATGAGAGTAGGGATACACAAGGAGAAAAGAGCTTTAGGATAAATGATCTCCGGGGACAGGCTCAGGGCACAGGGTGTCTGGTGCGAGATACCGTGGCAATACTGGAGCCTGTCCTCACCCACCTTTTGTGGGGATGAACCTGACTAGCCTCATGGCCTTGCAAGTCTCCCAGATCCCCATCTCTTTGTAAGTAAACTGAGGCAGCTGGGCTAAAACAGCTTTTGATGATGCCTGTTTTGACCAAAGTTCTATAAGAGCTATACAACGGGGCCAAATGCCCACCTCTGGGAGAATTTTCTAGACCAAAGAATGAGTAAAAATAGTTTAGGAGAAGCCCTGGTCTTGGAGAAGGGAACTCAGAGCTGTCCTGCCAGGCCCGAGATATGCCCCACCTGCCCACTCCTCAGTTTTTCCTCTGGTTGCAATATCTCTGAACATCCTTCTCTGCTATAGGGAAGTGTCTCCCTACCTCACTAGGGCTGGTCTTCAGGATGTCCAGTAGAAACTTGTAGATCTGAGGTTCAGGTTTGACCATTCCCACCTGACAGGACTCTATCAGGAAGTCAAAGTGTGTCTTCAGCTCACACATCAGCCGGGCCAAGCCGTCTCTCTCAGCACGGTCGTCCAGCCAGGTGTTGGTGAGGATGGCGGTTGTGAATCCTGAGCAAAAAGCCACCAGTGGATGGACCAGCTACAGAACTTTGCCCTGAGATGCTCCAGATGCCCCCAGGGAACCCTAATGATGGGCCAAGCAGGTCATGCTCACTTATAGCAATCCCTTATGCTCAGCTTTCAACCGACGAATTGGCAAAGAATCATCTTGACCCATAAACATCTCTGACACAGACACGAGCATGAGCTGAGTTCATTCAAGGCCTTCAGAGGCCCAGATGGGGACAGTACCCTCCTTCCTCCTTGACAACAGTGGAGCAGTGTTTTCACATTCATCAGCTCATTTGATCTCTACCACCTCTGGGGTGGGCAAGGTGATCCTACCCTCCCAGATTCACAGTCAGCAAACAGAAGTTCAGATAAGTTCCAAGCCGCCCAGAGCCACAGAGTGAAAATCCAGCATTCTTTCTAGTCCGTGCTATTGAAAACTCTGCTTAACTAAATTCCAGAATACTCGGTTTGGCTATCAGGGACTGGGTTCCCATTTCAAAACTAAAGAAGTAGACACAGAGATAGGATTATCCCCTGGCTTTATCTGCCTAACCAGTGAGGGTGAGAACCAGGCAGTTCTGAAAACAAAGCACTGAATAGTTGACGGTGAGACTCCTCCCATGTAATAGGAGGCAGGAATTACAGACATGGAATGGCTCAGCCACAGCTGGATAAATCTACTGATAAGAGGGTGGAATGTTTTCAAGTATGCCTATGACAAGAGTCAAGTGCTCACCCCAAGTCAACGCCTATGGATGAACTTGACCTCATGTCTTAGACTCTATGACATCATCTGATCCCACATCAGCCAACTCATAGCTCAGACACTCTGATACGCAAAGGCTGAGAAAATCACAGTTGCTAAAAAGGCCTTGTTGTTTAATCACGTGACAAAAGATTGTGTCATTCGGTCATTACTAAAGTGCTACTGAAGGGGAGAATGATGCCCACAAGGCAGTCACGGGCATCAATTGCTTTATTAAGTAAAATTCTGCTATTTTTCCAGCTATTCTATTTTAACCAGTGCTGCTTTTGTACTGGTTAAAACTTGCTTTGGAGCCATGTTTGAAGAATGGCTTTCCATCATGGCTCAAAAGATCTATGATGTCAAAACTCACTTCGCTGGATTCTGACCTGATGCTTCCGAGGGTTCTGTGTGGTCAGGCCTGAGAATGGCCAGCATCAGATCCTTACCTTTCTTCCTGAGCGTGAGAGCTGCCTGGAGCATGGGGCGGTTGATCTTTCTGGCTGAAATTGCCTTGCCAAAGATTTGATTTACAGAGAAATTCTCAGGGAGGGAGATTCCAGAGGTCTCGGAGCACTTCCTGCAGTTTTCTTCCATGAGTGGTATCCACTGTCAAAGTGAAGTGAGGGGACAATTGGTACAGCCACTCAGCAAAGCTCTGCAGGGTCTACTAAACCCAAACCTATGCATTCCCTGTGACCAAGCAATTCTATTCCTGGACACATACCCAATGAAATGCCAACTTATGTTCTCCAAAAGACATGGCCAAAAATGTTCATAGTTGTACTCTTCCTAGGAATCCCAAACCAGAAACGACCCACTAACAGCAGAATGAGTAGCATGTGTGATATTCACCCACAGTCATAGCAGTGCTATTCCTAAGAGCCCTGTCTTAGCCCATCTCAGCTGCTATAACGAAAGACCAGAGGCTGGGTGGCTCATAAACAGCAGAAATTTATTTCTCACAGTCCTGAAGGCTGGGAAGTTCAAGATCAAGACTCCAGCAGAATTTGGTGTCTGGTTAGGGCCTGCCTTCTATTTCACAGATGGCACCTTCTTGCTGTCCTCACATGTAGAAGGCACTCAACAGCTCTCTGGGATCTCTTTTATAAGGGCACTAATCTCACTCCTGAGGGGTCCACACTCATGACCTAATTACTTCCTGAAGGCCCCAGCTCCTAATATCATCACCTGTGAGGTTAAGATTTCAACTGAGGAATTTTTGGGGGGACACAAACACTTGGACCATAGCAAGCTCCAAACTGGAAACTACCCAAATGTGCACTGTTATGGGCTAAACTGTGTCCTCCCCAAATTCCTATGTTGAAGTCCTAACCCTCAGACCCTCACGATGTGACATCTTTGGAAATCAGGCCTTTAAAGAGGTACTGAAGGGAAAATGAAGTCATTACAATGAACCCTAATCCAATATGACTGGTGCCTACATAAGAAGAGATGAGGACACAGACACACATCGGCAGATGACCATGTAAAGACACAGGGAGAAGACAGCCAAGACTTGCTTTTTTTTCTCTCTCTCTGCTTTCTACCACGTAAGGACACAACAAGAAGGTGGCTATCTGCAAACCAAGAAGAGAGCCCTCACCAAACACTGAACCTGCCGGTACAGAACCTGCTGGACTTCCCAGCCTCCAGAACTGTGAGCTATAAATGTTTGCCGTTTAAGTCACACAGTCTATGGCATGTTTGTTGTAGGTAGCAGCCCAAGGTGCTATATAAGACACAGCCCTAGCAAACTGATACACTCACTAACAGCAGGATGGATTGTGGTACATACACATCATCATCGCAGCACTGTTTGTAATAGTGCCAAACTGAAAACTCCCCAGACCCCCAGCACTAGAAGAATGGATAGACTGGGGTATACGAACATGACGGAATGCCATGCAGCAATGAGAATAATAAAAGGATCTATGGCTGCATGCAACAGCTGGGAGTCTCACCCATAAATGCTGAGCAAGAGATGCCACACACAAAAGAGATGATCTGCACAAGTCCATTTACATAAAGCCCAAAACAAGTAAAAGCGATCTACTGGGATGGAAGTCAGAATGGTAATACTCTTGGAGGGATGGCGTCCAGAGTGCAGACACGTGGGTGCCTACAGTGCTGGGAATGTTTCATTTCTTGATCTGGGTGCTGGTGACACTGGTATATTCAGTATGTGAAAAGTCATCAAGTTGTACACTGTGTGTACTTTTCTGTTTGTATAGTATATATACATAAAAAGTTAAAAGATGATATTCAATCCCAAGTTAAGACATTTTTTTGAAGACAAGTCAAGAGTAAATAGCCCTTTGCATGATACAAATTAGTCTTCCAGGCTTCTTCCCTCTAGCCATGTCAGTTTCCTAGAAGTTACACATCTATCAGAAGCCACTCAAGGAGTCTGAATGAAATGCAGGATTTTCATAGCATTTACTAGAAATTTGCTCTAAAATCTGTATGTTCATTAAAAATATAGGCTGGGGCCAGGCACGGTGGCTCACGCCAGTAATCCCAGCACTTTGGGAGGCTGAGGCGGGTGGATCACGAGGTCAAGAGATTGAGACTATCCTGGTCAACATGGTGAAACCTGTCTCTACTAAAAATACAAAAAATTAGCTGGGCATGGTGGTGCATGCCTGTAATCCCAGCTACTCAGGAGGCTGAGGCAGGAGAATTGCCTGAACCCAGGAGGCGGAGGTTGCGGTGAGCCGAGATCGCACCATTGCACTCCAGCCTGGGTAACAAGAGCGAAACTGTCTCAAAAAAAAAAAAAAATATATATATATATATATATATAAAGGCTGGGCATGGTGGCTCATGTCTGTAATCCTAGCACTTTGGAACACCAAGGTGAGTGGATTGTTTGAGCCCAGGAGTTCAAGACCAGTCTAGGTAACATGGTGAAATCACATTTCTGACAATAATAATACAAAAAAACAGCTGGGCATGGTGATTTGTGCTTGTTGTCCCAGCTACTCGGGAGGCTGAGATGGGAGGATCACCACAGCCCAGGAGGTCAAGGCTGCAGGAGCCATGATCGTGCCACCACACTCCAGCCTAGGCAATAGAGTAAGACCCTGTCTCAAAAGGGGGGCGGGGGAGGGGGAAGAAAATATACAGCATTCCCTCTTTTTTACCTTCCAACAATATTACCGAGGTTTTTTAATGGATTAAATAAAAAGTCAATAATTCAGTAATGTTCTTCCCAATAGTCTCAGCACAGTTTTTGTTCACCAGTTGCCACAACATATTAGCATGGATGTTCTAAAGTGACTGCAACACTCCCATTAATACCACATTTGCCTCCACAGAAAAGATGAGTGTTTGCTGGTATGGCGGGCTCCAAGTTCTCTGACTGAATGAAGTCTGGCTGTAATTCATAGAAGTTTTTAAAAATACAGAATGTTTTAGCTGTGTGCTTATAAGTAGATTCTCAATAGCCTTTCTTCTTAGAGAGACATGAATTGGGAATTCCAGTGATGTTAGATCCTGATTATTTTGTTAAAAAATAATTGAGATTATACTAACCATAATAACTACTGTTTATTGAGCAATTACTATGTGCCAGGCATGGTGCTAAGCACTTTCCATGCTTCATAGCAGCTGATGAAATGGGTAGCATGATCATCTCTGTTGTAAAGTTGGCAAAACTGAGACTTGGAGAGTTAAGTAACTTGCTGTGCTCATACAGCCTGTAAGTGGGCGCTATGATTCAAACCCTGATTTCTGACTCCAAGTCAATCCATTATCTGGCTATTGAATGAACAGATCCAGCGGCCCTGCCCAAAAATAGTCACTCTGTCTGTAGCAGCTCCCTGGTGTACATCTTGGAGGAACTGGAAATTTCTCTCTGGTTGGTCAAAGAGATGACAAGCCAGGCTTAAATGCCTTTTTGTATGTCTCCAGGCCTTTTAGGTCAGTCTTGGGGGTTAGGCATTGTAAGGGGTAGATGGGTGAAGAAGACATGGCTCTGCCTTCACAGAGCTCCCAGTTAGTGGCGGAGAGAGGCATGCAGGCAGAAAATGTCCATCCAAAGGGCTCTGTGTGGTGATGTCCCCTCACCTGGGATAACGTGATCTCTCCTCTCATGAGGCGAGTAGTGGCACCCTCCAGGCCGCCTTTCTGGAAAGCGTCACTCAGAAGGCCTCTGGAAAACACAAAGCACATTAGGAAGGTTCTGTGAATTTCATCATGGCAGCGCATGGAGACAGACACTGTTCATATTCTTTGAGAAGCAGCCACTAGAAAGGCATGCTGCCAGCAACTAGAAAGTGCAAACACAGTTCAAATTGGGATCTTTGCCCGCAAGGAGCCATCCAGCTGAGGACATGAGACCATACAGTAATATGCTCCACGGAGAAGCTGTTCAGAGGAAACCACCTGATAGCAGCTTCAACTGGAGGTGCTTCCTACTTTACCACTTAAGAGTCAGAACCAAGAGTGGGCACATGGCCATCACTGTCCTCATGTGCACCAGGCATGGTCTCGAAGGGCTTTCTCATCAGTTCACCTTCTTCAGAAATAATGGAATATGTTTTTTTCTGGTTTCCATTCTGCCTATCTAGTTTCTATTTTATCTTAATCTCATCTTCTAACCTTTTAAAAGTTTCTCCTGTATTGGTCCGTGCTCACACTGCTATAAAGAAGTACCTAAGATCAGGTAATTTATAAAGAAAAGAGGTTTAATTGGTTCACGGTTCTGCATGCTATACAGGAAGCATGGCTGGGAGGCCTCAGGGAACTCACAGTCACGGTAGAAGGTGAAGGGGAAGCAAGGCACATCTTACATGGTTGGAGCAGGAGGAAGAGAGAGAAGGCGGAAGCATGACATACTTTTATAAACAACTAGATCTCATGAGAACTCACCATCACGAGAACAGCAAGGGGCTCTCCACCATGATCCAATCACCTCCCACCAAACCCCTCTTCCAACATTAGAAATTACAATTTGACATGAAATTTGGGTGGGGACACAAATACAAACCATATCACTGTGTTAAGGCTGAATTGTGTGCCCCCATCCCAAATTCATACATTGAAGTTCCAACTGCCAGTACCTCAGGATGTGACCATATTTGGAGAGCGGGTCTTTAAGAGGTAATTTAAGTTAAATAAGAGCATACAGGTGGGCTCTAATCCAACAAGAGCACTGGTGCCCTTATAAGATGAGAACACAGACACACACAGAGGGTCAACCATGTGAGGACACAGGGAGAAGAACACTGTTAACAAGCCAAGGAGAGAGGCCTCAGAAGGAACCCACCCTGCTGACATCTTGATCTTGGCCCAGACCAAGAAATGTGAGAGAAAACACTTCTACTGTTGACACCACCCAGTCTGTGTTTGCTGTTACATGAGCCCCAGTAAATAAATGCAGTGAGTCACAGACAAATATATTTATTTCTGTAAATGTATTTGTTCTGTTACTCAGGTGTGGTCATTTTAACTGGCTTGCCAATTCAACTGGAACTACCCATTCTCCATCTTGGCAGCTTTATTTCTGATAATAGTCAAGTATACCTTTTATCAGACACCCTCTTGCAGGTAACAGTGGTTGGCTCTGGACCAACTATAAGGAGACACATACCTAATATCGGTGGCCTTTCTCAACTTTTCAGTATTGGCAATCGTTTCCCCATAGCTCTGCCAACAGTTGTTGTTTTTTAACCGCTTTCTCAAGGTATAATTACTGCTATGGCTTGAGCGTTTGTCTCCTCTGAAGCTCATGTTGAAATGTAATCCCCAATGTGGCAATATTGAAAGGCGGGCCTTTAAGAAGTGGTTGGGTCATAAGGGTTCTGCCTTCATGAATGGAGTAATCCATCCATGGGCCAATGGGTTAATGAGTTAATGGACTGTGATGGCATTGGGACTAGTGGCTTCATAAGAAGTGGAAGAGAGGCCTGAGACAGCACATTGAGCCCCCTTTCAGATATCCAGTTATAAGCAACAGAAAATGGACTAAGACAATTGCATAGCATCAGATTCACATTGCAACGATTCCGTGATTTGCAGTAAATTTATGACCTTTCAAAATGAAATTGTTGAATCAAAAGACAAGAATATTTCCCAGAACAGAGAGTAAAATGCTAAAGCAACCAAAATGATGAACCAGAAGATAAGAACTGTTTGTTGACCTAGTGGAAGGAGCTAAGGCAAAATTAACATACTTTATTGAGGACTTGCAGCCCAGGATACACTTCCACCTCACCCGTGGGTACGCTCTCTTTGGCCTTTGTTACAAGCAAGATTTTAAAAATGAAAGGAAACTAGGAATGGTCTGATGGAAAGTTGTCTGACAGGAATTCTCTCTGGTTTACAGAAGTAATACTGGTTGGTGACTGGTAGGTGGCAGGCCACATTTCCATTAGCAACCAGAACAGGGTTTCCACTACCCCTTTACTATAATTTTGATAAATGCATAAGTTAAGCATTAAAGAACTGGAGAAACCAGTGTGTGAGTTCAAGGGCTGGAATTCGAAAACAAACCCATTAAGACCCCACCAGGGTTTTTTCCGACCCTAAAGTCTGATTAAGTAATCACATTCTTACACATACACCTCATGCCAGGGCCCACTAAGATTAAGAAAATTTCCAAGACTCTAGGGAAAGCTTTTCAGACCCTAGACCTTAAAGATTAGATAGAGATTGAAAGACTCCTGTTTGTAGGTACAATCCCACACGTAGCATGGAGCTTAAAATGTATATAAGCACTAGAAAATAACTTGCAACTTTGAGTCTTGTGAGTGACTCCAACCTTCTCCCACAATGGGTTGCAGAAATAAACTCCCTCTTTCCCAGTCTGTCTGCATCTTATTATTGGACCATGGGAACAAGCAAGCAGTTGGACCTTTTTCTGTCCAGGAACAGCCACCTATCTGTGGAAGCTGATCATCTGAATGGATTCTATACTCAATTAAAACAGAGTGGAGAAGCCAAGGGAAAAACATCCAAGGTTCAAAATATTGCTCTGTTGTTAAGAACAAATAGTTTCTCTTCAAAGGGTTTCAGTCTCTATTTCTTTATATTCTCTTCTGAAAAGTAATCTTATCCATTTATCCATCAGCCCTCCCTATCTCTGCTGTGACCAAACACGCCCAAGCATTACCTGTTTCCCAGTAACTGTCCTTCCAGTCAAAAGCCCACCCCTGCCCCCTTGATGATGTTGACAGTAGCCTATCAGAATCAGCCTAGATTGTGTGGTCCAACCCTAGCCCACAGAGGGAGGACACAGGAACAGGGTCTGCATTAGGGATAAAAATTGCTGCTCTCCTTTGTTCTGCGCACTCTCCCATGCCTCTTCCTTGCATGCAGGAGACGCCCTTCTATAGAAGTAAATTGTTTTGCTGAGAAAACTTTTGCCTGAGTGTTGGTTCTACTTTGCAGCACTGAGCATTTTTAGCTCCAAGAACGTAATTCTGAGAGAGGAGAAAGGAAGAAACTAGTCAGGCAGACAGTTAGGGTGAGTCCTCCATTAAATTCTTTCAAACAAAAGAACGGCCAGAGAAATCAAGCCACAGGCACAAATAAGGGAACTTGCCCAGGAGGCTGCCCTAAGACAGACAAGAACAGCTTCACAGGTGACTTGGCCAGATGTGACTGCAATGGAAAATTCCATCCCCTGACACAGGTACAGTAAGGGAAACAAAGCAGCATAGAGTAACCCAAGCTAAGAGCCTGCATGTGTACCAGGAGGATGGGGTGGAACTACCAGAAATGCATGCCTTGTGCAAATGAGACACCCAGCCCCATATGGGTTTCTTACAGAAGCCTCTGCATCGAAACTGTGAATCAGCAACCCATTTTTCCAGGATCCCTCTCTGTGGCCGAGAGCTTTCTTCTTTTGCTTATTAAACTTTCTCTCCAACCTCACTCTTCGTGTCCACATTCCTTAACTTTCTTGGTCATCAGACAAAGAACTTAGGGTAGGCCTCAGGGTACTACCTGAGGCAACACGAGACTGCTACACTGTGGTGCACTGGCGAGCCTGTAACCATTCTCTGCAAACCCACCTGCTGAAACTGCTTGTTGTAACTGGAAACCAGTTTTATCTCTAGCCTGACTTTTATACTGCACTATGATAGGGGCCCAACCACCTTCTCTGCGTCCCTCTCTTGGGCTACATCTGGCAAGACTGGAATAGTCGGCATTCTTGTGCATGCTCCATGCTTCCTACCTCCCCAGCCTTTGTACACGTTCTTCCCTGTACACCTGGAAAGCTCTCCCTGCATGTCTCCCTAGCAACCTTTCAGCAATCTTCCTCCATTAGGCCTTCCCTCATTCTGCTGATCAGACAGACCCACCACTCCCTCCTTGAACCACCTTAGAACTTCGTACACCTATGGCACTGACTTCATCTTGAACTTTGGCTCTCTGTGGACGTGTGAGGGGTTTGTTTTTGTTTGAGACTGGGTTGTGCTTTGTAGCCCAGGCTGAAAAGCAGTGGCACAATCATGGCTCACTGCAGCCTCGAACACCTGGGATATTGCCTTGCATTAGCTGCTTGAAGAGGCAGACCTAGGCCTGGACCTTCCTGGAAAGGGCTGACAGCTCCCTGTGAACTTGCCGAACTTGGAATGTCTGGGAAAAAGGCCACAGACCATGTGTATGTTGGCATATCCAGTGACTTTTCTAGATTCAGAACGTAGGATCACAGATCCCTCCTATTCTGACCACTCCTCAAGCAATCCCCCTCCCTTAGCCTCCCAGGCTGGTCTTGAACTCTCTGCCTCAAGTGATCCTCCCACCTTAGCCTCCCAAAGCACAGAGATTACAGGCCTTTCCCTCAACCTGCTTGCTATCTCATCTTCCTTACTATATTAAAAGCAAGGGCTCTGGCCATAAACTGCTGAGGTTGGATTTCTGGCTCTGCTCTTTAACAGCTATGCTATCTGGACAGCCGGTCTCTTTCTGTGCCTCTGTTTCCTCATATGTAAAAGGAGGATATGAACAATGGCTTCCATGTCTGGCCTTCTTTTTTTCACTTTACAAATAAGTATACTTCTCTCCTGTTTGAATGTTTGTAAATTTAAAAGTTGAAAACTGCAAAAAAAAAATTAAAGAAAATTAAATTATCCCAATCTCATTTGGGGTACTTGGGCATATTTCTTCCAGGCATTTTTCTGCATGTAGCTTTTTTTCATAGTTGAAACCATATTATACAAACAGCTTCACATTCTGGTGGGCTGGTTTTTCAGGCAGTAGAGCAGGTATTTCCCCAAGTCTCTGAACTCTCACTGTGCACACCGCACCTACTATTTCCCAGTGATGTGGCTGTGGCCGGTTGCTGCAGTTTGCTATTACAAGTAAACCTGCAATCCACACCCTGGGAGAGAACTTTCTTCTCCTGAATCTCAGTGCGCATTTTAACCCCCACCCCGTTAGACAGGACGCAGCCGCAGCAGAAAGCGAGTAACTCCTCTCGGTTTTGGAAAAGTTCAACACAGAAAGCAACTTTGGAGTCCTTGGCAAGGTTTAATCATGAGCATTCAGAAAGATAACGGATTTTTACACACGTACGGGGATTTCAGGGCTGCAAGCCCAGCCCCGGCACCCTGCAGCTGGGGCCTGCCTCCTGCCGCCCCGACCCACGGCGGCGGCGCCCGGCCCCCTTACCTGGGCAGCGCCAGGGCCTCCTCCGTGTGGCCGAGGACGCCGACGACCGCGGGCAGCGCCAGCACCCCGTCAAGGTCGAACACGGCCGCGCGCAGAGCCATCGTGGCGGAGCCGCAGCTAACCCGGGAGACGCGCGCGGAGGCTGGTAGGCAGGACCCTCCCAGCTTGGCCCAGCCTCGCCCCTGCCCTGGCCCCGCCTCCTCCCCGCCCTGCCTCAACCTGGCTCCGCCCCCCTTCCGGGTCCTGGCAGGACCAAGTCCGGCCCGGAAAGAGTCCGGGGAAGGGCATGGGCGGCGGAAAGGGTGTCAAAGGGAGAGGCAGGGGAGGCCAGGGAGACGGGAACCCCAGGCTAGAATCTCGCCTCTGGATATCGCCTTCCACTGTCTCAAAGGAAAGTCCAGAGACTCCTATGCCCCCTCCCAATGCCCCTGCAGAAGCTGCTTGAAGAGGCAGACCCAGGCCCGGGCCTTCCTGGACTGGCGGGCAGCTCCCTGCGAACTGACCAGACTTGAAATACCTGGGAAAGAGGCCGCAGACCGTGTGTGTGTGCGTGTGTGTGTGTGTGCATATGTGTGTGCGCGTGTTGGTACATCCAGAGACTTTTCTAGATTTAGAACACAGGATCACAGATCCCTCACTATCTGACCACTCCTCTAGGCACGCTCTTCTTTGCCCGGGCAAATGTGTTTCTAGAATAAAATACGATGTTCCAGCTATGGCGTGCCAGCCCGGAATACTTCGATTTCAATCTCTTGAGTACTGAGGCTTAGAAGAACTATATGTGGGCTATTATTTTCCTTTTGTGCATACTACTTGTAATAATTCTGTCTAAACGTGTGTTTGTTTTTAATCATCGATTTCCACACTATTGGCTCATTTATGTTCCTAGAAAAACTAAAACTTTTGGAGTCCTTGAGCAGTGGAGCTCCGTGAATTAAAAACCATGTCTTTGGGTGGAGACCAAATAGAGTGAGTGAGGTCTCCAACAGCGGAGACTTCACTCTTGAATGTGTCTCTGTGGATTTATCCAAGATGCCCTCCACCACGGAGCTTCGAGAACCTTATGAGAGGTTGTCAGATACCTCACTGTAGCTGGGAGGTCTACACCAATCTCTGGATCTAGCAATCAACAAGTAGATTGACAAGAGCCGTGGGTTTCCTCTGGGCTATTTGCTCTTAGCCAGCTATGCTGTTGTTTTCTCCCCTAGCTTTGCAACCTCTTGTAGGCTTCTGCCTAGAGCAGTTTTCTGAGATTCTTGCCCAAAAGCAGAGTAGCCAACAATGCCAAATGTTACAGAAAGAACTGAAAAAAAAAAAAAAAAAAAAGCTGTCCAATTTTGGACTTGGATGACACTGGGTTGTTTCAGGACATTTTCCGTGGGCCCGTTGGTGGTAGACAATAGATTGCTCTGGATTTGAAGACTGAAAGATCAGTAGAGAAGGGAATACAGCAAACTACTTTCTCAGGAAGTTGGTTGATCTCAAAGGTAGAACTGAATTAAGAAAATAGAAAACAAATTGCAAGCTGAACTGTATAGTCTGAAACCTCTTAAATCTCCAGGTTGGACATGATGGCACACACCCATAATCCCAGCACTTTGGGAGGCCGAGGCAGATGGATCACTGTCAGGAGAAAACCCCACAAGAGCCAAGGCAAGGGTCTGAAGCCTCAGCATGTTCTCCTATAAACATAGAAACAAGTTAGAGATATAGTTACATAGTTATTCCTATACATAATCATATATAATCACATAGTTCTTCATATGTAATCACAACCGTATACACATATATAATCATCTAATCTTTAATCTTACTAATAAGCCTCAGGTCAAGAAGTATGGGACTGAAGTGGCATTGGAAAAGAGATGACCCTAAGACAGGATGCTCTGAGTCCTCTGTCACACTCGCATAAGGGCTGCTGGAGGACGCCATGGCTGGGCGACAGTGTCAGCACTGGGAAAGCTCCTGCTGTTTAGCCAGCCAGGGAAGGAGACATCCAAGATGGCCGAGACATCTCTTTCCCCCAGAGAAGGAGAAAACTCCACTTCTCCAAGCTCTTGTGGGAGGCCTGATGGCTGTCAGGGAGACCCACAGACATCTGGGGACTTAATTGTCTCCATGTGGTGCTGTGATTCAGCGGTCACGTTCCATGGCTACTTTCAAGTTCTGCTTCTGCACCTGGTTCCTCTTTTCCTTGGAAGATAAGAATTAGTAATAGTAACATAAATCATAGTGACCTTGACATTCTTGACAAGTATGGAAAAAGTGCAGACGACTTAGGTTTTCTCCTCCCCTGGGCTTCTTCAAAGTCTTGGGCCCCCTAACTCCAAGACATGTGCTTTACCTGACCCTATCACTGACCACCATTACCTCATCCTACCTGCCTTTCCCCAGCTTTGTACTCAATAAAAGTCAGAGTGTCCAGGCACTTGGGGCCACTGCTGGTCTCCATGCTTTTGGGTAGCAGTGGACCCATGGGCCCAAACTCTCTTTTCTCTATCTTGGTGTATAGTGTGTCTTTATTTCTAATTTCTCATCTCCACACCAGCAGGGAGGGACTGACTGGACCCTATAGGGCTGGACCCTATAGATCACCTGAGGTCAGGAAATAGAGACCAGCCTGACCAACATGGCAAAATCCCGACTCTACTAAATAAAAAAAATTAGCCAGGCACGGTGGTGCATGCCTGTAATCCCAGCTACTCAGGAGGCTGAGGTGGGAGAATTGCTTGAACCCAGGAGGAGGAAGTTGCAGTGAGCCGCGATCACACCACTGCGCTCCAGCATGGGTGACAGAGTGAGACTCTATCAAAAACAAAACAAAACAAAGCAGCTACAGTAATTTCTGTTGCCTGTGTTCTGCATTCTGCATCTAGCACAGTATTGCTTATGAATACATAAGTATGTTTATAAAAGCAGTAAAGTGAGGAGGAACGACATACCTCCTACAGAACTAGATTTCATAAAGTCCTGTTTGAGAAGAAAAATTTTAAAATGTAGCAATATGTGTTTCACATTCCTCTTTGGTTAAGAGAAAGCTATGAAGCTATCCCATGGACTTTTATTTATTCAGGAGGGGTTAACTAGTAAATTGCTCTGGTCTGGAATATTTTATAATGCCTGTGAGTTACAGAACTTTCTGGCTGAATTGCTTAAGCAAAGATTAAAGGTCTCAGTTGCATTTCACTGCGCTTTGCCCTTTTCCATGGGTCATGCTTCTCCTGTGTTTTCTGCTACTAAGGTACAGAGAGATAAGGGCTTACCCAGCAGGGCTATGGGAACTGGATAGCTTTTTGAAATGTAAATCCTAACCCCTATGTCTGCTAATTTTAGTGTTTATGAAATATGTTTTAGGCGATAGCATGAATCATAAAAGATGGCTAATGTAGTAGTGAAAATTTATAAATTATACCTGATTTCAATCACTAAATTCATAACGAACTTACAATGACCTCATTAGGGTTTATTGTGTTTTCCTGCCTTTCCTATGCCTTCCCCACTTCCTGCTAGTCCTTGATTGCCCAGCTGTATTTTATAAAATCTGTTTAATCACTAGGGGTTTACACTGCTGCTTCTCTCTGCTGTAGATACTTCAATCGAGTTCAAAGTAAAGTTAGACTCGGGCTGTTTCCTAAACCTACAATCCCCTTGGAGTTTTGTCCTTTATTTAATGCAGCAAACAAATGTTTTTAATTCCATCAACAAATACGTATAGAGTACTTTCTATGTGCCAGGCGCCGTTCCAGGCACTTACAATCAATTGTTAAATAAATTGGACAAATACAGAGGCCGTCAAGGATCTTCCATTTTAGTGGAATGAATTCAAAGAGTAGTGGCTCGTGGCTTCTGGGGCTGTGAGAGGAATGGGGTTGGGAACAGTTGTGGCGGCTACTTGCCATTTCTCTCCTTTGCCATCTTCCAGTTTCCCAACATCTATAACCTTTTCTTACATACAGAAGATTCAGGCCAGGCACAGTGGCTCACACCTGTAATCCCAGCACTTTGGGGGACTGATGCGGTTGGATCCTCTGAGGTCAGGAGTTCGAGACCAGCTGGCCAACATGGCAAACCCCTATCTCTACTAAACATACACAAATTATCTGGGTGTGGTGGCGCATGCCTGTAATCCCAGCTACTAGGGAGGCTGAGGCAGGAGAATTGCTTGAACCTGGGAGGCAGAGGTTGTAGTGAGCTGAGATCATGCCACTGCACTCCATCCTGGGCAATAGAACAAGACTCTGTCTCAGAAAAAAAAAAGAAAGAAAGAAAGAAAAGAAAATTCCACCTGTTAACGATGAACTCTGTCTTCAGAGAGACACAGCATCCTTTTAATGTCTTCTCTCAGTTTTGATAGTTCTTGCTGCTTGAGAACTACCCCTGTTTTGAGTTCTACCTTCTCACAGTAGAATTCACAAACAATATACTGCCCAGTTACTCTTAACGCTGGCCAGGTGCATGGGCTCTGCCAACTGGGTGCACTTGCCAGGGATTTGAGGATGGGGATGGGCAGCCCAAACCACAGCTGTGTGAGTGGGAACTTTCAGCGAAGGCAGAATCAGCAGCATGTCGTTTTTTTGAGGAGGCTGCAATGGAGCTTCTCCACTCCAATCCTGAGTGTACTTGGTGCCCATGCTGGGGGACAGCAGTGGCTTTGTTAAAATTGCACCGAGGTGTGGCCTGTGGTCACTGTGCCGTTCTTGGCTATATTGTTTCCGAAGCTGCCTCTCTTGTCCTCCCTGAGACTCTGTGAGCTGTTAATGTCCTGTTATAAGCCCCTTTCTGCTTATATGACCGAGAGGAAGCACTATGGTTGTAATAACAACTCCATAACGCAAACCCGCCTTATGAATGTTGGTAGAAGGAAGAACCATGTCGACTGTAGAATTTGGAAATGCCCAGTGCCCACTCCCCAGCCTGCCTGGAAGTGAGGGTGAAAGCCTGTGAGATCAACTCAGCAACTTGGGCACACCAACCCAGCCAGCATTTACAGTGGGAGCAGGAGAGGGAAACAGGCCAGAGGAGAAGGGTGTTGGTCAGCAGTTTCAAGGGCAGCAGGAACAGCAGCAGCAGCAGGGTCCCCCGCTGGAAGGGACAGTGCAGGCCCTGAGGCCCTCAGCGCCCAGCTGCAGCAGCAGTGTCTTCACAAGTCCAGTTCTGTACTATGAGTTTGGCAATGGCCTTGCTCTTATTTTCCAGGCTTAGTTCTCCAAGCTCCCAGGGGCCCTCACTGATATCCTGCCCTCCAATTCTGTGCTTAAGTCAGCCAGAGTAGGCATTTCTCACTCTTCACCAACTCCAAAAACCCTTCTATTGTACCATCTGGAACTTTCTAGAACTCACCTTCTGGAACTTGGGTTTATCATCAGCAAATTCACCATTTCCTCAACCTCTTTTCCATTCTCTTCCCCTCTTGCTGCACCTGAAACCTGCCTCTACCCTGAGGAACCTGCTTTCACTTCAGTCTTTTGCTTATTTATTTATTTATTTATTTATTTTTGAGACAGGGTCTCCCTCTGTTACCCAGGCTGGAGTGCACTGGCATGATCCCAGCTCGCTGTTGAGAGCAGCAGGAGGCAGCCACATGCATAGGCAGATAGGGGCAGGTCCCTGGTGAAACCCCACCTCCAAGCTGAAGATAGCTTAAAGCCTGAACACCAAACTACAAACGAAATCCCCAGAACCGATTGAGAATTTGTCTTTCTTCTTGGCGTGCTTTCCTCCGATTGATCCCACCCTGCACCTGTTTGACCTATACCTTCCCTTTCCTAATTAGTTTCCCACACCGTCATGCCCACCTTTGAGTGGTGTCTTCGCTTTAACCTCTTTTGCATACTCACAAACCAATCAGCACACACTCCACATCCTCAATCTTAACCTTTTTTGCATACTCAAGAGTCCATCATTTGTAGATATATTTGTGATCACAATCTGGCAAACATACATAGAAAAGGACTCCTGAGTTCTTAGACCAAGGACAGAAAGTTGAAGTAGAGTTTGGAACACAATGTGCTTTCTAAAGATTTGGGTCTAGTCTACAAAGTTGAACCGCTGGAGGAAGTCCTCCGTTTGCTCAACTGGTAGTCCATGCAAAGTGAAGATGAGATACCAGAAATTAGTTCAATGTAATGGGAGACTTGGAGGAGCAGGAATAATGGAATGGGCTTCTTAATACATGACCTGCTCGCCTTCCTCCTGATGCAGAAGCACTCATCAGAGACTTCTTCTTCCAAGGCCTTGAGAGGTGCATTGGTGAGGAAGAAGCATTATCTCAGTTACAGGGAATTTCGGGAAGTGGTTTGGACCTCGGGTCCCAAGGTTAGCGTTAGGGAAACTTCTCAGTACATGACTGTCTTAGTCTATTCTCACACTGCTATAAAGAAATACCTGAGACTGGGTAATTTATACAGAAAAGAGGTTTAATTGGCTCATGGTTCTGCAGGCTGTACAAGAAGCATGGCTGGGGAGGCCTCAGGAAACTTACAGTTATGGCGGACAGCAAAGGGGAAGCAGGCGTGTCTTCACATTGCTGAAGCAGGAGGAAGGAGAGAAAGGGGAGATTCTACACTCTTAAACAGCTGATCTTGTGAGAACTCACTATCACGAGATGAGCGACGGAGAAATCCACCCTCATGATCCAATCACCTCTCACCACTCCCCACCTCCAACACTGGGGATACAATTTGACATGAGATTTAGGTGGCAACACAAATCCAAACCATATCAATGGCACACGTCCATCATGCCTCTGCTGAAGGAGGAAGCAAGTGGAAGCTGTGTGGTGCCCCCTACCTAACAAAACCATAAATACAATTAATACCACGTTTTTAGAGGAATCCCAAGGATTAGGGCCTCCAGCAAGGGCTGTAAGGATGCAGAAGTGGCAATTTTGATGACCACCAAATGCTACCTTAGGTAGATGGGTCTCACAGAATGTCAGTGGCTCATTGTAAGCTTAAGTGATTCCGATTACAGATGCTGTTCCCAATGTGGCTCAAGTGCTCATGTTCGCAGCAGCAGTGGCAAACCCTGGTCTCTAGATGTGCTGGCAGAGCCCAGAGGTTCAAATTACTCAGTTGCTGGCAAGCTGATTATACTGAATGCCTTACATGCTTGAGAAGGCAGCAGTCTGGCTCTTATCAAATACGGTAGATGCTTATTCTGGAGAACAGTTGGAGAGGAAAGCAATACGTACCGACTCTGACCTCATGACCTATTACTGCCTTGAGCACTGCACCTGTCTGTATTTTCTTCCCAACTTTGCTAATTTATTTCATTTTCTGCCCGCCTCATTACTTTCTATGCAGTGTGTTTTAGATGACCAATATCATTTACTTTATAGAAAACAGAATTTCAAGATGGTGCGCTGTCTAGTCAAAACTAGAGCGAGAATAGAATTAGAGCAGGAGGCTGGACTTGGAGCTGGATGGTCACTGGTGAGACTTGGGGCTCTATCCCTGTGGAGTTAGGGTGGGGTTTGGGGGGCCTTTTTGCTTGTGTGAGGAATGGTTGCATTCTGTTAGATTCTGTATTCGTCTGTTTGGCATCTACTGTGTGTGGGGCCAAACTAACAGCAACGTTGCCTACATCTCTCCTGCAGCCAGCTTTTTCAGGTGCACTAAAGTCATAGTACAAGCCCTCTGCCCAGTCTTGACTCAGTATCCACAACAGCCCTGATTGTCTAACTCTCACACACCAAGCCAGTGCTTCTCCTGCCTCAAATCACCTCAGAGCCAGGTACTGGGCAATCAGAGGCCACCCCTATAGCCCAGAACCCACCAAGAGTATTCAGACTATCTCATCAAAAGCTGCTTCCTTGCTGGGCCCTGGCTTTCCCGGGAAACCCCATGCAGGCTGGGGGCCAGGCTTCCCCCACTGTGGCCTCTACCTCCTGACACTCCCTGGTACTGCTCCTTGTGGCCCTATGCGGCGTTGCGGGGATGTGCCACCCCTTCTGATTCAAGGGATCTGGGAGTACAGACTCCTTCCATTATGACAGTCACTTCTGTGCCTGCATGTCTTACCATACCTGATTAAAACAAATTCTGGGTACAAATTTTAGGACAATTAGGTGTAAATATATTTTTTTTTTTTCAAAATGTGGTGATGGAAAGTTAAGTGTGCATTGATGTTAGGAGCCAAAGAGCTAGATTTTTTTGAGGGGGTGGTGCGGGTTTCCAGCATTAAAACAACCTTCAAATATTTAGGAATGTTCCCCCTCTTGAAGTAGGCAGAGGCCACCTTCCACGTAGAAGCTCAAAGCCCCAGATTCCTGCTTCCTTGGCCTTCCTGTCATCTGGTTTGGCAGCACATGTTTTAATCAGATGCATCTGTCCTGACCTTTGTATGCAGAGCTAGTGACACAAAGGAGCAGGGCTGGAGAAGAATTAACCATGGCAGCAGCGGCAGGAGCAGGGACTGATGCTTCCCGAGACAGCAGTGACAGCAGCACCCGAGATGGTGCTGCTCTGTAGCAGCAGGGCCCACCACGCTGGCCATGGGACAGAGGCCTCCCTCTTCTCCCTGCTCTTCAAGCAGCACCTCCAGCTTTCTAGGTGCTTCTGTGATCCCCCCTTTCTCCCTCAATAGAACGATTCTTCACTTAAAGTAATTAGTAGGTTTTTATTGCTTGCAACCAAGAATCCTGATAGATACAATTTGTGATATTCTCCTTCCTCCCTCCCTCCCTCTCTTTTCCCTCCTTCCCTCCTTCCTTCCCTCCCTTCCTTCCTTCCTTCCTTCCATCTCCAGATGGAAAATATATACATCTAACTTTATATATATATAGACACACACACACACACATACACACACATACTCTCTCTCTCTCTCTATATATATATATACTCTCTCTATATATATATATAGAGAGAGAGTGTGTGTGTGTGTGCGCGTGTGTGTGTTAATATGGTAAAGTATTAACATTTGTTAATTATGGGTAGTGGAAATATGAATGTTCATGGTTTTTTGGTATTTTATGTCTTTTAAGGCTCTCGAAAGATGATGCTAGCAATCGTATGCACACACGTACGCACAATGCATGTGTGTGTTTGTGTTTATTTGTGCTAATTGTCTCCTCCTAGTAAGCCTATGAATCAGGAGCCATTGCCCACATCCTCTTTTTACATCTGAGGAAACTGAGGCACAGGAAGCTGAGGCCGGTCCAGGGTCACGCAGCTGTTCAAGAGCAGAGCTAGAAATCCAGCCTCAGCAGTCTGCGGCCAGGTCATGTCCAGGGCCCTTGCTTTTAACAAAGTAAGGGAGATGAGCTAGCAAGTAGCTTGCGGGAAAGGCTGAAACTGAGGAGTGTTTTTAGGATGGGGAATGAGCTTAGTTAGGGGCTGAGGGGAAGGAACAAGTCGGGAGGGGAGGGAGGGTCTGAGAAAGCCTGGGCTGTAAATAGAGGGGGTGCTGTCAAGATCACAGCGGGCAGGATTCGCCAAGCACGGAAAGAGGCAGGAGTCCTGACCTGACGCTAGAGAAAAGGAGGCTTCTTCGGAAAATCAAAGGCAAGGTCACCTGCAAGGAGGCTGAGGAGGTGACAGGGAAGCAGCCACACCGGGTGAGTGGCTGTGTGAGTGACCTCCGGTTCTCTAGGCTGGTCGGGGGAGGGGTCCCACAGGGGACGAGGGGAAGGGGAGAACAGTGGGCTGGCTGACAGCTCTGTCCTCACTCCAAGTTTGCTGAAAACTCTACTGCTGTTTTGACAGACAGACCCGGGACCCAGGACCCAGAACCTGTGGGTGCACTCAGGGGCCCCGGTCAGTGATCCTGAAGCCTAGGGGTCCACAGAGCAGGGAAGGGAGCATCGTGTCCACGCAGCAGGGAAGGGAGCATTGTCGTGACTGGACAGTGGTGACTGGACAGAGGGAGGGAGAACTGCATCTGTCCCCACCGGACACAGGCTGGAGAGTCACAGGCTCCTCCTCCTTACCCTCCAGAGAGGGTGTGTGTGTGTGTTTGTGAGAGAGAGAGAGAGAGAGAGAGAGAGAGAGAGAGAGAGAGATTGAGAGAGGGAGAGGGCAGCGTGAGCCTGTGTGCTTGCGAGCTGAGCCCTCATTCCTTCCTGGGGTCAGGCTTAGGTTTCAGCTGCAGAATCGCTTGAGCTGGGCTGCCTGCGCTGCCCTCCTTAGTGACACTTGCGTGAAGCCTCTCTGGCTGCCAGAGCTGGGCAGTCCCAGAAAAGGCGACCTCTCTGCAGAGCTTGCCCAGCCATCCCCGGGAAGCCAACTGCCTCTCACTAAAGTCCTCCTCTTGACGGGGTGTCTCCTAAACCCTCACGCTTCAGCCCCTGTTTGACCATGAAATGAAGTGACTGAGCTCTATTCTGTACCTGCCACTCTATTTCTGGGGTGGCTTTTGTCAGCTTCCCAGAATCTCCAAGCCAGGCTGGTTCTCTGCATCCTTTGAGCGACCTGTCTTCTGTAACCACAGGTAAGAAAGGTGCCCAAGGCTTACTCTGGGGGTGGCGTGCATGTGGAGAGATTGTGGATGTGGGGTCAAAGAAACATTACCAGTTTCTGGGTACTCAAGAGGGGGTTATGTCTGAATGCTGAATGTCACCTGCTCCCGGAAATATTGTCATCTCCTGGTTGTCCCTGTTGGGGCTGTCCACAGCCAGGTAACGACGAACACCTCCTGGCTAGAATGGCCAGCCCAGTCTCAGGAATAGTGGCTTTATTATACTGTATCTGCTCCAATGTCTTTATTACTGCTGTCCATTCTTTTGTTTATTTATTTATTTAATCATTCAGTAAATTGACTATGTGCTTTAAAAAGGCTAACAGACACCGATGCTATTTACTGGCTTAGAAGGTAAATACCTTCCAGGGCTCTTCAAGTTCTTCACAGCTGGGCTTGTCCCAATGCTGGAATTTGTGAAGTGGATTCCTCCTTCCGCTGGTGTGGTAGTTCAGATGACCTTCAAGATCCCACCCAACCACGAGATGTTAAACTTCTGCAATTAAGCAAAGCAGATATCAAAGCTAGAAATGTGCTCCCTGGCCCCTAAGCACCTCTAGTGAGCTTACTTGGATAGAAACAGTACTGTTTTATCCAATGCAGGGGCTTCTTTGGGAGTGTAGGGTTGCCAGCCGTGAAAAAGCAGAGACCTGTATGCTTGGGGAGGTTGTGATGGCAGAACTCTCCTTTGGGGGATGGCAGGGAGGAACCAGGTGGGATGGAAGAGGGCTTTTGGGAGAAGGAAGTGTTAGTGAAAAGAGGAGAGTGTGGCTTGATGTGTGGGAAGCTGGAAACAGCAGAACCACGGACAGGGAAGGGAGCTCAAATCACCTCGACCTCCATGGAGCCAGGATTCAGGCGGGCTGGAGGTGCTGCGTGAGTGTGGGGGTGGGGTGGGGGTGGGCTGGCACTGGTGTGCAGGAGCAGCGACACAAGTGCAATGGGGACACTGACGTCTCAGCACTTTACGTGTGCAATCTCTTTTACACAGGCTTCTCTGTGCACCCCATTCACCCAGTGAGGTCCCTTTACAGTTAGGGACCTCAGCCCACTGTCTCCTCTTCCGCAAATCTGACAATCCAGCCACTGAGAAGGTCAAAGCCTGCAGCTGTTTTTCTTTTGACACCTTCCTAACCAGAGGTGGAAGCTTCCTCTAATTACTGTTAATCGCCTGGAAAATTCCTCCTTTGGTTTCCAGTGACAAATGAAATGACATGATATAGTGGGCTCCTCGTAGGGGTGCAGATTTGAGGCATCTCCCTGGGAATACACCCTCCAGAGTCACTGGGTCTTATGTGCACATTCTTCTGGAGGGTCTCGGGTGGCTCTTTTTGGTTCTCTAGATGACGCAATTTTAGCATGCCTGGATTCCTATTCTCAGTATTGGAGAAAAAAAAAATCCTTTTTAAAAAATGCACTTGGTTAAAAGGTGAAACAGATGATAGTCTTGGAGTCTGCAGCTGTGACATTGGCTGGCTGGGTGAGAATGTGAATCTGCACTACAGGGACCTCCCAGAACCTGGGATCCAGGTGGGCCTGCCTTTGGGGTGAGCTGCCTATGCCCTCTCCTCACTTGTCCTCAATTGACCTTAGTCCTGATGGTGGCTTAGCAATGACAGACACAGTGCTAGGGTCTACAGAACACAGGAGGGTAGTGGTTGAGTTGGTTATACAAAATCGCCCTTCTTCTTCACACCACATCATCGTTTATCACGTTGTAGTTTAGAAGCTAAAGACCTTAGTTTGAATCTCAGCTTCATCGCTTTTTATCTGTATGGCTCTGGTCAACTTCGCAGAACATCAGTTTTTTTACTTACATAAAAGGGATAATATCTCTCCCCCACAGCCTCCTAGGGGTCATGTGAGGCCCAAATGAGGTCGAGGCTGCAAAAGTGCCGCGTAAACCTGAAAACTACATAAATGCAGGTGTTCTTAAGAAGACCTTTTAGGAATTAACATCAAGGGGGATTCTGAAACGCTCGTTCCCTGAAATGAATCAGCCTCATGTTCTAATATCTAGCAAAAACATCAAGCCTGGATGAAAGCAGATGTAGGCAATGGAATTTCACAACTCTTCTTTATTTTAACTAGCAAATGAAGCTTCTAGATGGCAGTGAGCCACAGGTAAATGGGAGAGGGCATGGAATCTTTGAGGATGTTAAATCCTCCAGGATGGAAAGGATTAAAGAGGGACAAGGAACCAGAAAGGCAGCTTTGTGACTGTCGGGTGTTTGGATGATTGCGGAGAGCGGAGAAAAAGCTTCACCTGCTCTGCAGTTGCCCCTGGATATGAGTGAAATTCAACCTCTGGTGTCAAGACAAGTGTCTCTAAACTCAAGTCAAGTCAACTCAAGCATCCCTCAGATGCTTACGCAGATTCAGACTCAGGGAAGAACTTCCCAATGCGGAGAGTTGTAAAAGCCTGGAAAGCCCCCCCGCCCCACGATAATGGGGCTAAATGAATAAAGTCATGCCCACATTAGGGGTGGACACGTGGATGAGACTCTAGCATTTCCCTTCCTTTTGGTTCTTCCCTCCTCAAGCTCACTCAGTCCCTTGTCCCTGGTGCCCGGCACACTGTTGGCCCTGATGAAGAATGAGGTAGTGCCATTCTCTAACAGTCCAAGCAAAAACAACGACAACAAAACGAACGAGGTTAGTGGAAAAATAAAAGAATAAACGATCCCGCCCTAAGTGCAAACGTTTGACGCAGTGCTTCTCCCCAAATTGACAAGCCTTGGTCTCCTTCAGCAGGCTCTTGGAGCCCTCGTCCTCCCCTGGGTATCTTTGGCAGGTGGCTCTGCACACCTGGAACCCACAGAGTGAGCTGCGGCTGCGCTTGGGGCCGGAGGGAGGAGGTGAATAAGAGACAGTGGTCACCCCTAAGGAGCAACCTCACGACAGGGATTTCCACGTTTCTCTGAAAGCCCCATTTGACCTTTCAGATCAGTGTGGTGATCCCATTTCCTGGGCCTCAGCCCTATGGTGATTCCAGTTGAACACAGCTGACTTAAAAAAAATTATTACCATAGTAAAATATACATAATTTACCACTGTAACCATTATTAAGTGTATATAGTTCATCACATTAAGAAGATCCACATTGTTGTGTAGACATCACCACCGTCCATCTGCAGACCTTTTTCATCATCCTAACCTGAAACTCTGTACCCAATGAACAATAACTCCCCACTCCCCACCCCTAGCTCCTGGCAGCCACCATTCTACTTTCTGTCTCCAGGAATTTGACTATTCTGGGAACCTCCTATAAGTGGAATCATACTGTCTTTGTCTTGTAACTGGCTTATTTTACTTAGCATAATGCCCTCACGGTTCATCCTTGTTGTAGCATGGGTCAGAGTTTCTGTCCTTTTTGAGGATCAATGATATTCCATTGTAAGGACAGACCACATTTGTTTAGCCATTCATCTGTCGCTGGAGACCTGAGTTGCTTCCACTTTGTACACAGCTGATTGAGGAACTGAACTCCATTGCGATGGAAGAGTGGAGTCAAATCTACACAAAGTTTGGGTGAGCTCCTGCTGCTGTGAGATGAGGGGAGGCCGTGTAAAACACACTGCAGATATTGCTACCCACTTGAAAATTCTTTAATATTAAGTAACGGATACATCCTAATAGTGGGAAATTTGGAAAATGCAGAAAACTGTCAAAAAGAGTAACAATCACCTCTAATCTCTGTGCCCAGAGATAACACAGGTGATCTATTTGTGTGAAGAAAAGAGATTAAAAGAGAAAAGGGCAAGATGGTAATGCCAGCTCTCTCTGGAAATCGTTAGCTGTGCTCTTTCCTTTGCAATGCCTGCTTGGGGGAAGTCCCCTGGGGACAAGCCCCTACGCCTTTGAGGGCCAGAGATCCCGGATCCCGCCACTGCGGTTCACCTGAGTCACAGAAGCGGCCGATGCCCAGGCTGGGGTGGGTGCTGTACAAACATTCTGCATAATTTGCAGGGCAATGTGAGTTTACTTACACATGATATAAAGCTGCAGGGTTTGCTGTGTGGACATGGCAGCTCTAGCCCAGTGTACTAGGCCTATCTATGGAGGAGCTTCCCACTGCCGGGACCCCCTGCTCCTATCCCGTGGAGGGGCACCGTTCTGGGAGGGCTGCGGGATGCTTTCTTGGGCAGCTCACTTCATGTACCGGGAACCACCGGCCTTTTCCACCTGCCAGCTGGGGATTTTCGGAGCCAGGAAGGAATCAGGAACCTCTAAGTGCTGGGGCAAAGGGAGGAATCCCAGGTAGCGGGTGGACGGGTCAATATCATCCTGAAGGAACAGGAGAGAAATGTAATCCTCTATTTCCAATGAGTCTTTGAATTGAAACTTCATTCAGTGTGGGCCCCTTTCCCCAAAAACACTGGCGTCTGTGCTGTAGTCAGTATTTGCCAGCAACTCCAACACATTAAAATTCACATTCCTTCCCACCTTCCTCTTCTCCTACTTGGCATAAAGCATCACTGTGCAATGGCACTGGGTCATGGGCCCTGACAACCGGAAGAGCAACCTGCTCCCTGCCCAGCCCTCTGAAGTTCCCTGGGGGCTTTCATGGGTACAAGTGATCTCATTTGCTCCTGTCACTCCTCCCGCAGAGCAGAAAGTATTCTGTCTTTATCTTAAGACAGAATCCCAGGGGGATTGACCGGCCTTACTCAGATCATACCTGGTGGTTTACTTTTATTTTTATTTTCCTTTTGAGATGGGATCTTGCTCTGTCGCCCAGGCTGGAGTGCAGTGGCATGATCAGAGGTAATTGCAGCCTTGACTTTCCCAGGCTCATGCCATCTTCCCATCTTAGCCTCCTCAGTAGCTGAGATCACAGGCACATGCCACCACACCCACCTAATTTTTAAAATTTTTTATAGAGACAGAGGTCTCATTATGTTCCCCAGGCTGGTCTTGAACTGCCGAACTCACACACTCCTCCCATCTTGGCCTCCAAAAGTGCTGGAATTACAGGCATGTGCTACTGTGCCCACCCTTGGTTTATATTTTTCAAGCCACTTTTACCCTTATTATTTTTTTAAAGTTGTGGCAAAATACACATAACATAAAATTGATTGTTAGTGGCGTTTCGCACAATTGGGACATGGTGCAGCCATCGCCACTATCTAATTCCAGAACATTCTCATCCTCTGAAAGGAAATCCGCACCCGCTATCTGTACCGAGAGCCATTATTCTCTCTTTAGGCCACATACGCGATGCGTCCCTGAACACGAGGACTCGCTCTTCTCCCCATCGGGGTGCTGTTTCAGAAAATGCTGATTTGAATGTATAAGCTTTTAAGGCAATCATGTTATTTTAGTGATACACACACACACACACATATATATACATACATATATACATAATACACATATATACATATAAATATACATTAAAACATATACATATATGTTTTAAATCACATACTGTGTAAAAGAACATTTAAAAATACTGCTTTCCCCAACTCTCCCATTTATGAAATATTCATTTCATGCGAAACATCATGTTTACCCTCATCTTTGACATCCGCGTTCTTCCGGTCACTAGAACTCTTTGCGTCTTGGTTCTCCATCTTTGGCAAATATCACTGTTCCCACAGTCAAGAGAGTTAGTTGCTGCTTCTTAATCCAGGAGGCGTTCGTTTAGTTTTTTGATAATAGCTTTTCTTGAGATATAATTCAAATACCATAAAATGCACCCGTTTAAAGCGTGCAATTTGCTGAATGTTAGTTGATCCCCGCATCTGTGCTACATCACATCACCTAGCCCCAGAGCTGTCTTATCCCCGCTAAGGGAAACTCAGTGATCATTAAGCAGTCACTCCCCATCCCTCCTTCCCGCCACCCCTGCAACCACTAATCTGTGTTCTGTCTCTGTAGATTTACCTATTCTGCATATCCCGTATCAATGGGATCATACAATGTGTAGGAAAAAACTGCAAACTGTTTTTCTCTGCTCTCACTCCACAACAATCGACATGGAAGACTTCTGTGACCCCCAAAGATATGGGGATTTCTCCACCCAGAAGCCAGCAGTCAATTCTGCAGCAGAGACCAGCTGGGTGCCTTCTGATTCAATTCAGACACCATCCACCTTGAGACAGCTCAGATCCCACAGGCCGAGGGCTCAGTCCCCAACACTGCCCTCAGTTTCAATGCCAATCACAAGTCCCAGGTTGTTTTACTGGTGCTTCTAACCCACTGGCTATACGTTGGGTTTCTCATGATCCCCTCTCTGGGTTCGATTAACTTCCTAGAGTGCGTCACAGAACTCAGGGAAACACTGGCTTATAAGAGACAGTGTAAGTTATAGGTAAGGTACAGGAAGGCATACGGAGCTTCCGTGCCCTCCCTGGGCTCATCACCCCTCAGGAACCTCCAATGTTCTGCCATTTAGAAGCTCTTCAAAACCTGTCCTTTGGGGTTTTTATGGAGGCTTCATTATGCAGCATGAATGATTAATCCAGGGGCCACTGGTGATCAACTTAACCTTCAGCTCCTCTCCTGTCCCTGGAGATTTGAGGGGCGGGACTGAAAGTCCCAACCCTTTAAATCCTGCCTTGGTCTCCCTGTGACCAGCCCCATCCTGCTGCTACGTAGGGGTTTTCAGCCACCAGTCATTCAAAAGGAAATGGTTTTGGAGATTCCAGCTATCTTAGGAGTTGTATTCCAGGAAACAGGATCGAAGACCAAATCGATATTTCACAGTATCACCTTCAGTGTGTGGCTTTTTGCGACTGGCTTCTAGTACTTTGCACCGTGCTTTCAAGGTTCCTCCACGCTGTAGCATGCGTTAGTGCCTCAGTCCTTTTTATGGTGGCAACATGTTCTGTTGTAAGGATTTACTGCCTTTGTCCATCCATTCAGCTGATGGACATTTGTTTGGACAAAAGGCTGTTTCCACCCTTCGAATCTTGTGAAGAGTACTGAATACTACCATGATTCTTTTATTAACCACCCTTTGCAGTATGATTATCCACATTTTACAGAGGAGCACTGAGGCAAAGCAATGGGGACCTGGGTCTTATCTTGTGCCCTTCTCTGTCCAGCATGTCTGGGCTGCTCTTAGGGCAGAGTCCCTGGCTGATTCCTCAATAAGCCAGGGAGAGCCCAGGTGCACTTAACTGCTGAGAGGCCTGTTGAGGGCCTTTTGCTCACTTTCATGCCTGTGTAAAGCATGAGAAACAGAAATATGTCTATGTCAAGAGTACATGTCCCTAAGGGCCCTTTCTTGGGCTTACTCAGGTTTGGTGGTGACAGGAAGGCTCGAAGAATCCAGCAGCAGCTCTGCTGGGGACACGTTCTAAGGTGCAACCACAGCAAAGCCCTGATCTGATTTCCTGATGCTCATGGGCCCCTCCTGTCCTGCGCTTTTGTCCTTCATGAAGCTTAGCCTGTGGTGGCTCCTTCTGATCCCAGCAGGTGAGTGCCTGTCACCTGTCATTGTAAGACTTCATCTCACACCTGTCAACTCACAAAAAAATTGTAGGGAGGAGTCTGCCGGTGGACTCCTTGCAACTGTCAATGCTGCAGGGGATTTCAGAGGCCGTCAGCCAGGTGGCTGGTTCCACTGGGAGAGGTGGAGGGGCAGTCACAGCTCTGACATTAGCGTCCCTGTCACCTTAAATGTCTTCAAGCTTCACTGTCCTCAGCTGCAAAATGCAAATAATGTTGTGGACCTCCCAGGCCTATTGTGAGGATTAAATAAAAGTTTGTGACCAGCATCTGGGATACAGGAGGCACTGGGGACACAGCGTTCTGTCACAGATGGTGCTGACATGTTTTTCTGGGATTTGGAGCTGTAGTTCTCGGCTTGCTTAAATAGCAGAGCCCTGAAAGGGGGAAGCTGTTTGCTGAACACAGTGAAAACTGACATGAGCGATGTCATAGAAACATTTTGAAATGCTTTGTTTATCTGATAGCAAGTAGCAAATATCCACAGTTTAAGAAAAACTTGGGGAGGTTCCCAAAGCAGTCAGTTTCCACGTTAGCATGACTGGTTCATTAGACAAGTGGGTGGGAATGGGAGACTGCTTCCCCTGGTCAGGTTCACTGCAATGCTGAATCTCTTCTACCTGCAGCCCCCCCACCTAGACTAGGTGTCTCCCACACTTCCCCATCCCTGCCCCCACGGGACTCCTCCATGTGGAGCTGAATCTTGTCTCTAGATTCAGCTTTCCCCACTTCCCTGCCTCTGCTCTTCCTCTTGCCGCCCCCCCAAACCCGGCAGTACTATTTCCCACTCTTTTCTTCTCTGACACCGCAAAGCAGCTGACCTTTCCTGAGCTCCGACCCCACAGCCTGCTCATGCTGTGCTCAGCTCTGATAGACACCATCCTCTGCCATCCTCAACGGTGTTTTGAGATAGGTTCTGGAGTAGCAGCTCCATTTTACAGATGAGCAAACTGAGGCTCAGGGAGGCTAAACGGCTCTGATTTGTGGCAGGTGGAGAGGAAGCCAAACACCCACCTTCCAGGGCTCCCGTAGACCCCCTCTCCTCTCCCAGCCCCACGGCATTGCCACAGGGTGGCTCCCACACCCAGGCTGAGGACCGGCTCTTCAAACACCTCTTTCGGGGCTACAACCGCTGGGCGCGCCCTGTGCCCAACACCTCGGATGTGGTGATCGTGCGCTTCGGACTGTCCATCGCTCAGCTCATCGACGTGGTGCGCCTGTCCTCCCATCCCTGGCCCCGGGGAAAAGAGATCCCAGATCACCCACTGCTTCCTCGGCCCCTTTGTCTCTCCCATCCGGGCCCTCATGCACAGCAGTGACCCGGGGTCGCGGTGGGGATGGCTCTTCCCAGGGCTGCTACGCCCTCCCCTCTACCAGCTCTGGAGCCCCCTTCTAGGAGGACGTTGATTGGAAGCAGTGTCCGCGTGACCCCAGAGAATCTGAGTAAGGGTGGGGTGTCAGAGTGGGTGTCAGGTGGGCTGGGCTTGGGGTGTCCGACTTATCAGAGGGTCTGAAACAGCCCACCCCACTCCACTCTGTCTTCTGGGCACACCCCTCTAATTGCTCTTCTTTCTTTCTGGGCCAGGATGAGAAGAACCAAATGATGACCACCAATGTCTGGCTAAAGCAGGTGAGGGGCCCCTCCTCCAGTCCAGGCGGGAGGGGACTGGGAACCCGTGGACCCCAGAGTCCCCCAGGACTTCTTCGCTAGTGAGATACCAGGGAACAGCAAGACCCTGAACTCACAATTTACCAAGCAGGTGCCACGTGGGATGTTCCCAAAGCCGACTTTTCCCCGGGGCCTCTGCTCTGTGACTGGTCTTGAGTCTAGTGCCTGAGAAGGTGGCCTGCAAGAGCCAGGCGGCGCTTTCCTGGGAGCAGGCATCTGTTCATCCCTTCTGCGTGGGAATCCTCCCCAGAGCATCACGGGGGTTCATTCTGCCCCTTTTATAGCTCAGGAAGCAGAGAGCAGATGGGCTGGAAAAGGGGGCCCAGCTGTTCCTGACTGCAAGCCCCAGGCTCCTCCTACGGGAGAATGCTGAGTGCTTAACGTCTGTGCTGCCACCCAAATACCCCAAACTTACAGGCTCCCAGCAGCTGCCAGCTCACTGGATCTCATGGCTTTATGGCCAGGAGTATGGGTGGTTTCTTCTGCTTTATATGGCAACCACTAGGATTACTTGGTGCTGTATGACTGAGGGTTCGTCTGCTCTGGAGGGTCTAAGACAGCTTAATTCACACATCTGTCGCGTAGCAGGGATGTCTGGAAGGCTCTGGAAGGTTCTGGAAGGCTGAACTCAGATGGGCCCCTTGCCCTCTTCAGGCACCCTCAGGGTCTCTCCAGCAGGGGAGTCGGACTTCTTGGTTCTTGGCTCAGGGATTCCAGAGTAAGGGACCCAAGAGACAGGGAGTAAAAGAAACTCAGACAGCATTAATCTTGTTGTATACTACTGGTCAAGACGGTCTTGGAGCCCAGTTAGATTCAGGAAAGGGAGCATGGATCCGACTTAGGTTGGAGGCTTCTCTCCCTCTGAGGCCGTCACCTAGGAGCTGTTAGGGGTCACTTGGCTCATCTTACGGATGTGCCAGCTGAGAACCAGAGGGAAGCAGGAACTTGGAAGCCACCCAGTCATGCTGTGTGTGTATGCAGGGAGGCAGGCCTAGAACCTGGTTGCCACAATTGTCCCCAGAGGCTGGTCGCCTGGGCTTCAGGGTTGCGGTGGCAGGGCAAGGAAGGAGTGCTGGAGTTGAGTCAGGCCAATCAGCAATGCCTCTGATTGGCCAGTGATACTGGGTGAGCTAGGTAACTGCTCAGAGCGTCAGTTTCCTCATCTGCAAAATGGGGATAACACATTCTACTGCCACATGCCTGGGAGTATTAATGTATCCCAGTGTGGTATGGGTGCCTCGAAATGCTGGTTGGACCTGAAAACTTGACAGATGGACTATGGAGACAGAATAGGAACCTGATGGAGGTAGGGGCACTGCCTAGGACCTGCCTTGGTGGAGGCGGGGTGAGGCCCAGTCTGGTGGGACCCCTGTGGGGCATTTGGGAGTACAGCTTGAAAGTCCTCGAGTAACCCCTGCCTCAATGTATCCCTCTGGCAGGTTGATTCTCCTGTCTCTCGTCCTCGGTTTGCTCATCTGCTAAATGGGGAGATGCTTTCACCCACTCTGCATTCCCTGCTTGGCTCTGCCATGGAGGCTTTTCATAGATGGAGAGTGTAAAACAAACCATAAACTGTGATGCACTAAAAATGAGAGACTTCACTCGAGATGAGTGAGGTGGCTCGCCGGGGTTCTCCAGCTGGGATAGGCAGCACGGGGACTAGAGGCAGGACCAGGGTGAACTGCCTGTGCCCGGGACCTGAACGGTTAAAGTCCAGGCAAAGCGAGAAGGTTGGTTCCTTGTTCAGAGCCCTTTCCCAGCACTGCAGCTCCCTCCACTCTTCTGGGCTGGATGGGGAGCCGCTGGCTGCTCTCAGGGGGCCGCTCGGTCCAGTTCTGCGCATCTCCAAGCTGCGCTAGCGTTGCCCTAGGATGCTCCCAGGAAGCGAGGTTGACACAAGTCCCTCCCCACACACAGGAGTGGAGTGACCACAAACTGCGCTGGAACCCCGCAGATTTCGGCAACATCACATCCCTCCGGGTCCCTTCCGAGATGATCTGGATCCCAGACATTGTCCTCTACAACAAGTAGGAAGCCACTGGGGTCCTGGGGAAGGACGGGAGGACCCCTGCCCGGGGTGCACCCCTGGAGTCAGCTTCCTCGCCTCCCTCATGACTGCTCTGTGGAGGTTTTTCCCGCTCCCCATTCCTTCATTTATTTCCTTTTGTTCTCACTGTACACCAGAATGAGTGGCAGCTGAGCACCTGTTAGGTATCAGCACCTGCCACTGTGTTAGAGGGACAGAGATTTGTCAATACTGAGTATTCTTTGAAAAATGTGGTGCAGGCTCAAAAAACAATCCCGTGGGGTTGGAGTTGTGAGGGCGGCCCTGTTGTGCAGGCAGCAGCAGGCAGATACTCAAAGGGCATGCGCTCACTGCTCTGTGGTTTTCTGTCTCCCAATCATGTTATTTTACAGTTGTCTTCAAAACTAAAAAGGAGTAATCTTTGAGCACAGTGACAAGAGGTTGGTAGAAGGCAGAGGAATCTGAAGAGAGTCCCAGTGGACAAAAATAAATGAATAAAAAAGTTTTGGGCCGGACGTGGTGGCTCATGCCTGTAATCCCAGCACTTTGGGAGGCTGAGGAGGGCAGATCCCAAGGTCAAGAGATCAAGACCATCCTGGCCATCACGGTGAAGCCCTGTTTCTACTAAAAATACAAAAATTATCTGGGTGTGGTGATGTGTGCCTGTAGTCCCAGCTACTTGGGAGGCTAAGGCAGGAGAATCGCTTGAAGCCAGGAGGCGGAGGTTGCAGTGAGCCGAGATCACGCCACTGCCCTCCAGCCTGTCGACGGAGTGAGACTCCATCTCAAAAAAAAAAAAAGTTTTGATAGAATAAATAGACATCTATAATTTCATTTCTGTGTTTGGTATCAGGCAATTCTTCCCTTAGAAGTTAAGAAGTTAGTATGAAAAGATGATTGGTGTTATGTTCATCTAAAAATGTTTTCTAAGGCGGGGCTGGAAGGAGGATGGCTTCTTTGAGTTATTAATAGGTGTGAAAAAGGGCTCTGTGGTCAGATAATTTAGGATAAGGTTGTATGTCATAACACCCACCCCCATCCCTGCCTAAGGCCTTTGGAAAATGGCAGAGCACAGCAGCATTGAAAAGAATGCTATTAGAAGTTCAGCAGCAAAGACACTCACCTAGTCCAGCACTTCCCAATTCATTTGATCCTACTTTGGAAATGCTATTTTTAAAGAATGAAATAAAAGGAAAAACGACCCATTTCTGGATTGTGCGTCTTCAGATGGGTCAGATGGTTTTTTACACTGTCCAGTTCTGGTCAGAACTAGGCCCTTTCACTGAAGCCATTTTGTCAAACACATGTTCGTCACGGGTTCTCACACTGGCAGCTCTCACACTGCGGGTACCTAGTGTTTTCGGCTCCTGCGGGACTCACGAACTCCCCACCCCATGTTAGCTCTGTGCCCATAGCTGGCACCCAGGATCCTTCTAGTTTCTGCTTCCTGTGCATGTGGCAGAGGTCAGGAGCAAAGTCCTACATCAAACATGACTTTGAGTTTGAGGATTAACAGTAAGACCTCAGCCAGTGTTACTTGATTATTACAAGAAATTCTTGGGGGGGACAAAATTCCGAGCCAAAGTCTGCTGACATTTAGAGAAGGGTCCTCTCCACCCAGATACCCCACTCAGGGTTAACTGGAAGGCCTCAAAGAATTTGCAACGTTCCTTCCCCAAAATGAGCACATGTTGCCATCTAGCGGTCATTGTGTGTGAAAACCAAAATGTTTAGAACACATTTTTTTTGGCCGGGTGCTGTGGTTCACGCGGGTAATCCCATCACTTTAGGAGGCACAGACGGGCGGATCATGAGGTCAAGAATCGAGACCATCCCGGCCAACATGGTGAAACCCAGCCTCTACTAAAAATACAAAAATTAGCAGGGTGTGGTGGCTCACGCCTCTACTCCCAGGTACTTGGGAGGCTGAGGCAGGAGAATCACTTGAACCCGTAAGATGGAGGTTGCAGTGAGCAGAGATCGCTCCACTGCACTGCAGCCTGGTGACAGAGTTGGACTCTCTCAGAAAAAAAAAAAAATTAACTTTTTTTTTTTAAAACAAGGTATTTGTTACTCTCTTTCAAAGTTCCTATTTCCAGCCTGCGTATATTCTCTACCATGGAACTACTCCACGGGTGGGGGGGGGGAAGCCCCGTGTTTCCAAGCACTCTTCTGATTTCTTGGAGTTTAGGATTGACTGTGGGAATCGGAGGCGGAGGGAGGATGGTTAAGACTAAAGCAGGAGCCTACGCCACCTCCTGGCAGAATCAGGGCTTCCAGGAAGTGCTGCCTGACAGGTCACCATTATTTCAGTGTCCCCAGACCCCTTATGGGTCCTCGAATGCCTAGTCCCATGATACCCCCCACTCACCCTCTACTCTTAGCCCCAGCACGCCCGTTGAGTTTTGCACTTCCCACCTGGTCCCTGTGGGACCCTCTACCTGAAGGCTCTCCGCCCATTTCTCAGCCAAATCCTGGCTTCGGCAGGCTTCTCCATGACCCTGCCCACTTTCCAGAAGGGAGTTTCCCCCCAAAGGGTCCAGAGAACACCCGGACCACCCTCCTAGTGTTGCCAACGGCCTCCCTGATGTTGCAGTGGTTCCTGGAGACGTCTCATTTCCTCATGACTCCTTAAGGACAGGGATCTTATCTCATATTCCTCTTCTGCATAGTTCTGGTACAGGCCCTAGTGGATGAGGCTGGCTCAAAAACGCATGTTAAATGGATACACTCAAGGGAGTACCTTCACCCGCAAAGATGTTAGGTCTCTTCTGAGCAAGGGTAATCCCAGGTGGAAATGGATCCCCCTCCTGAGGGGCCGACTCATCATCTGCTTGGGAAGAAAAACAGACACATAGATATCACTCTAAAATATTAAACCTTCAGTGCACAGGAGGACAGCTTTGACCCCCTGAGATGTCATCTCCACCCCAACCAATCAGCAGCAAGCACTTAGCCACACCCATCCCTTCCCCAAATCTGCCTTTGAAAAACCTCTAACCTGCGAACTTTGGAAGAGATGCTTTGAGTGCCAACTCCATCTCCCACATGGAATGGCTGGCCTTGTGTCTATTCAACTATTTTCTTACTGCAAACAAAATAAATACCACATGAATAAAAATAGGCAATCAAACAACATATACCCCAGATCACAAAGCTATATATTTGTCATATAGTGATAGATTATATATAATCATTTTACATTATATATATAAACATCAAAATGTTATTAGTGGTTGTTTTTAGAATTCTTGGTACTTCCCTCTATTCCTCACAATCCCTCCTTTTGTAATTAAGAAGGTAGTAATTGACAAGACAGCTCAGTGGCTACACCTGTGTGTGTTGGGGTAGACTTACACACTTGCGTAAATAAACCCTGCCAGGTCTGATTCGGTTCTTGGGGGCCCCTGCTGCCGGCTCTCTGAGCAGCCTGGCTCCGGCAGGTGGGTGTGCAGGGGTCCCCCCAGCTCTTCTCCTCTCCCCAGTGCAGATGGGGAGTTTGCAGTGACCCACATGACCAAGGCCCACCTCTTCTCCACGGGCACTGTGCACTGGGTGCCCCCGGCCATCTACAAGAGCTCCTGCAGCATCGACGTCACCTTCTTCCCCTTCGACCAGCAGAACTGCAAGATGAAGTTCGGCTCCTGGACCTACGACAAGGCCAAGATCGACCTGGAGCAGATGGAGCAGACAGTGGACCTGAAAGACTACTGGGAGAGTGGCGAGTGGGCCATCGTCAATGCCACAGGCACCTACAACAGCAAGAAGTATGACTGCTGCGCCGAGATCTACCCCGACGTCACCTATGCCTTTGTCATCCGGCGGTTGCCGCTCTTCTACACCATCAACCTCATCATCCCCTGCCTGCTCATCTCCTGCCTCACGGTGCTGGTCTTCTACCTGCCCTCCGACTGCGGCGAGAAGATCACACTGTGCATCTCCGTGCTGCTGTCGCTCACCGTCTTCTTGCTGCTCATCACCGAGATCATCCCGTCCACCTCGCTGGTCATCCCGCTCATTGGCGAGTACCTGCTGTTCACCATGATCTTCGTCACCCTGTCCATCGTCATCACTGTCTTCGTGCTGAACGTGCACCACCGCTCCCCCAGCACCCACACCATGCCCCGCTGGGTGAGGGGGGCCCTTCTGGGCTGTGTGCCCCGGTGGCTTCTGATGAACCGGCCCCCACAGCCCTTGGAGCTCTGCCACCCCCCAGGCCTGAAGCTCAGCCCTTCTTATCACTGGCTGGAGACCAATGTGGATGCGGAGGAGCAGGAGGTGGTGGTGGAAGAGGAGGACAGATGGTCGTGTGCAGGTCACATGGCCCCCTCCGTGGGCACCCTCTGCAGCCATGGCCACCTGCACTCCGGGGCCTCAGGTCCCAAGGCTGAGGCTCTGCTGCAGGAGGGTGAGCTGCTGCTGTCACCCCACATGCAGAAGGCACTGGAAGGTGTGCACTACATTGCTGACCACCTGCGGTCCGAGGATGCTGACTCTTCGGTGTGTTGGGGTTGGGAGGGGGGCCAGCCTGGGTGGCCCCATCAGCCTAGTAGGGAACCACCTCACCCCAGAGTGTGAGCTTGGGCAGCTCAGGTTCCTTCCGTGAGGACACGCTTTCCTGGTCACAGTCCTTAGAAACATGGAATAAGTGGAGAGAGAGCACGTGTAGCTGGCCACTCTGAGGACACTTATTGGCAGGTGGCAGGTTACACATCATGGGGTCAGGTATGAGCAGCTCAGTCTAACAGGAAGCCTGAGAGCTGGAGAGGGAGGACCCCAGATGCTGAATCCCGTGACTCCCTCCAGCTCCCACCATTGCCTTGGAGGTGGTGGGAGGTGGGGGGAACATTTCAGGAGAGACCCCAAAAGTCAGCTGTGCAGCAGCAGCCTTTGTCTTGTCTTGGATGGTCTCTTCCTCCACCTCCTTGTTCATGGGCTCTGGGCATTTTGCAAACTTCACTCCACCCCCGGGCCCCTGCCATGGCACTGGCCTCTCTCTGCCCCCTGCCCCAGCCCCCATCTGGCATTGCTATGTGAGCAGGCCCCTGCTCTAGCACAAAATTCTTATCAGCCTAGGGAAGGATGAGAGGCAGGGAGGTTATTACTGGGTGGCCTTGATGAATAGATCAGAAAATTAATCATGATGTAATCCAGGAGCAGTGGGGAATCCAGGCTTCCTTGCCTAGGCTGTGAGCCCAAATTCCACAAAGCCCCCCGCCCTACCCCCAGCCTGCCCAGGGTCCCAGCCACCTTCGCTCTTTCCCTCTCCCCAGCTCCAGCAGGTGGGTGAGGTGGCAACATATGGGCAGCTAAGTCTGGGGTTGCACTGATGTCGCTGCAGGCCCCTAGGAGGACTCGTGCCCCGGGGTGGTCCTGCTGCCCTTTGTGTCCCTCTAGCCTCCTTTACCTATAGCTGGGGAGCATACTATGGACAGGTTTGGATATGGAGGGGCTTCGATGCGAGCAGAATCACCAGGGGAGCTTGCTGGAGCCTTGAAACTGCTCATTGTCCCCTCCCCTCCAGTCACCCGGCTCCCTGCACTGACCTTTGCTCCCCTGGGTCTCTGTGGGGCAGTTGCTGCTGTCCCCATTGGCCATCCTTGCAGAGGCTGTGCATGGCGGGGGTGGGGGGGCGCTGCGTTTGCTTCCCAGGCCTGGCCCCTGTCACTGTGTGCTGTCTTCCTCGCAGGTGAAGGAGGACTGGAAGTACGTCGCCATGGTCATCGACAGGATCTTCCTCTGGCTGTTTATCATCGTCTGTTTCCTGGGGACCATTGGCCTCTTCCTGCCTCCGTTCCTAGCTGGAATGATCTGACCGCACCTCCCTCGAATTGGCTCCCAGGGCACCCCCGCTGACCATCTTTTGACCATCTCTGCTGCAGCTGCCTCTGGTGTCCCCTTTGGGGTCAGCAGGTGCCTCTCCATGGAGTCCTGACCCTGGTCCCAGCATCGCAGGCTTCCATCCAGCTTAACGAGATTGTACCAGGGCTGAGAGCCTGCTGGACAAGCCCTGTTTTGGATGCTGAGGAACTAGGGAAGCTCTGCAGAAAATCACAAGATGGTGGTGACCAAGTGGGGCAGAGTCAGATTCTCCTGGAGGAGCGGTGCAGACCCCAGTGACAGAACAGTCAACCTGGGGGACACTGGGGACAGGGTGACGAGGAAGGGAAGGCAGACCTCAAAGGACGGGTCTTGGGGCAAAGGGGAGGGTTTCTTGGGGTGGAAGGGCTCTGAACGATGTTTGGATTTGGGAATGAGCCCAAAGTGCCAGAACAGCCGGGTGAGGTGGGAGCATGGAGAGCCAGGTGGGGGTCTCTCTAAGCCAGGCTGGGGGTGAAGTTCAGAGTCTGTCCAAGTCTGCAGGGTTCTGAGCTGGATGGTCCAGCAGGGGAGTGATACAGGCTCTTCCGGAAGGGAGGAAGCAGGAGGCAGGGCCTGCGTGTGGGGTGGATCTTCCCTACAGGGGAGGGATGGATGGTTGGATACAGGTGACTGGGCTATTCCATCCACCTGGAAGCACCTTGGAGCCCCCAGGCTTCTCCTTGACGTCACTCTCCTCCCTTCCTTGCTGCAAAGTGGCTCTGCACCAGCAGCCCCCAGGAGGTCTGGCACAGCTGAGAGCCATGGCTTGCAGGGGCTCCGTATGTCCCTACACATGCAGCAGCCAAACAAGAAAGACCATCCTGAGCCACTCCTGACCCAACTCAGACTCGTCTTGTTTGCCCTGTCCTCCCTCCCTCCACCTCTCCACCCCTCCTCCCGTCACCCCCTCCCCAGGCACCCTGTTCCCTATGCCTGGCTCCATCGGAAGGAGGCCTCACTTGGGAGCTGAAGATCTTTACCTTTAGCTCCTTTGATTCTAAACTTCTCAAGGGCAGGGCCTCTGCCTGTTACTTTTCCCACCCCCAGCACCCAGCACAGCGCAGGGTGAGTACTGCGCTCTAGGCATTTGCTCTGAGCGGTTGAGGGGAGCAAGCTGGCTTGTTTGGGCCCCAAGACTTCTGTGCAGATGGCAAAAGCTGTGCTCCTGTCCCTTCCCAGCCTGTCCCATCTCCCCCAGAGCCCCGAGGTGTGTTGACCTGCCCCGAACCTTTCAGAGCAGCCTGTGTATGCACCTTGGAAAGCACCACCCCAAGGACCGAGTCTGCACCCGGGAGCCCAGGCCGAACGGCTGCTCCTGGGATTGGGCACCAGACCTCTCCCCAGCTCTGTGCAGACCCGAGAGTGGGACCTTGACAGCTAACAGCTATGGCCACTGGGTTCTTGAGACGGCGTGGAGACTCCAGGTAGGAAGCCGAGCAGGGGAAGCTTCCAGTTTTTCTGGTCCTACGGGTCCCCTCCTTCCAAACCCCGAAGTGTCTCTCCCTGACACCCCCAGGAGACACCTGCTTGCCTTTGACACCCTGGCCCAGGCCCCACCACACCTCGCTTCTTTCCCACAACCCCCTGCTCATGGCTCATCTGGTCTCTGGCTCCTGACTACTCTGTGCACGCAGCCCCCCGCCCCCCCCTCTCCTCCCACTTGTTCTTCGGAGGCCTCAGAGCTCTCAGGTCCAGGCTCCCAGACCCGCTGTCCTGGGACAGTGATGTTCGCTCCAGTTATCCACATCTCCCATCCATCTTGCATGTGATAAAGAGAGTAAATAAAGCTGCATCTACTGCTCGCTCAACTGTGTGGCACCCTCCCTGCCAGCCGCACCTCAGTACTGCCAGTGTCACCCAAGCCCCTCCAGAGACCGGGTGGTTTGGGGGCCCCACTGGGGGAGAAATGACATGGCATTCCTGATGTAGCCATAGAGGGTACCATCCTGGGTCCCTGGAAAGTCGCCCCCCACTGCCTCTGCAAGGGCAAAGGGGCCAGAGCACACCCCTGACCCAATGCCGGGTATCACTGTTCGCCCCTCCTCGGCCGATGCCCAGCACTGGAAAGCTCTGATCTCCAACCAGTGTGAACACCATCGGTTTCTTCCAGAGCTTGGCTCACAGTCCCCATTCTCCCCCAGTGGGCAGATCAAACAAACAAAACCAACCGCAAAGCAAATGGGACAATTTTAATTCAACCACAAGTCAAATAGAAAGAGGTTAAAAGAATGTTTATGCAAACACGAGAGAAAAGAAGGGTGCAGATGAGAACGGGAGGAGAAAAAAGAGGAGGAGTAAAAAGAGGGAAAAGGGAAAGAAAGGGAGAGTAAAGGGACAAAGAGAAAGGGGCAGGAAGAGAGAGGATTTGGCCCAAGGTCCTGTCCTGGCCCCATCTCTCTGCTCCTTCCCCCGATGCTTGGTTTGACAACACAGCGTCCCGTGCCCAGACTCCCAATTAGCTTGTTCCTGGACTATGTCCCAGGTCCTCTCTCAGGAGGGCACATGCTGTCAGTCCAGACCAAACTCACATTAAATAAATTCCAATATACACTGTACAAGAACACCAGGCCCATCCCTCTTCTCATTGGCTGCCTGACCCCCAAAACAAAGCTCCTCCTCAGCTTCTCTGTGCATCAGGGGACATCTGAGGGCCGAAGAGGAAGGGAAAGGAATAGCTTGGTTCCCAAATTGACCTGCCATGTCCATGTATAAAGCTAGGGGCATCACGTGACCCTCCCGCCCCCATGATCCCCCTGCATGGACTGGGTGGGGTAGGAAGGAGTGGCCAGGCAGCAGCAGTGCCCCCTCCGAGCCATCTTTGTCACCCTCACCCTGCGTCCATAGCCCAGAGTCCCCTCTGTCCAGCTGCAGCCTGAGCAGTACAGCCTGGGGTAGGGGTAGGGAGAGGGGGTCGTGCAAAGTGGCAAGGGAAAGTGACTCCCCTTGGCCTTCCCCCTGGAAGACCCACATGACCAACAGCAAGGCAGGGGAGGTACATGGCAGGCAGGGGCAGAAGACGCAGGCAGGTGGCTCCCACCCTCTGTCACTCTGCAGGCGGGTGGGCCAGATTGGCCAGAACCTTGGCCTGGTCAACGGCATCGAGCAGGTTCTTGGCGTCCACGGCCAGGGTGTGTGAGGCTGTCAGCATCTGCCTCTTGCACTCCTCACTCAGGGAGGTCACGGCATTCTGCTGTGCCAGCCTCATCTTGTTGATAAGCTCCGCCAGGTCTTTGTTGAGCAGTTTCTGGGTACCCTCGATCTGTAGGAAGATCACACAGGAGAGGCTAAGGGGGCCCCATCTATGCCTGGAGGATGGGGAAGCCACAGAGGTATCCGCCTGCATGCTGGCCAAGGCAGTCGAAGTCCCCTGGAAGCGAATCAGACCTAGGAGTGGGCTGAGTGCAATGCCCATGCAGGCTGGAGCCAAGTCTACAAGGACTGACACCACTGCCATCCCACCCCTGGCCCAGCCTGTGTAAGCCCAGCCTGACCCTCCCTTCATGACAACAGCCCCTCAGGCTTTCTAAAATGCAAATCTGATCATAGCACTGTTCTTTGTTTTTTTTTGTTTTTGTTTTTGTTTTTTGAGACAGAGTTTTGCTCTTGTCACCCAGGCTGGAGTGCAGTGGCATGATCTCAGCTCACTGCAACCTCCATCTCCCAGGTTCAAACAATTCCCCTGCCTCAGCCTCCTGAGTAGCTGGGATTATAGGCACCCGATACTACACCTGGCCAAGTTTTGTATTTTTAGTAGAGATGGGGTTTCACCATGTTGGCCAGGCTGGTCTCAAACTCCTAACCTCAGATGATTCTCCTGCCTGGGCCTCCCAAAGTGCTGGGATTATAGGTGTGAGCCACCATGCCTGGTCATCCACTGACGTCTTGAACCCCTCAAAATCATCCACAAGGATTGGAATCAACTTCTTCCAAACGGTTAATGATATTCTGACTTCTTCTCATGAATCACAAATGTTCCTAATGTTACCTAGGATGGTAAATCCTTTCCAAAATGTTTTCAATGGACTTTGCCCAGATCCGTAAGAGAAATCACTATATATGGCAGCTACAGCCTTAGAAATGTATTTCTTAAATAACAGAAATTGAAAGTAGAAATTACTCCTTGATCCATGGGCTGCAAAAGAGATGCAGCGAAAACAATCTCCTTCTGTATCTCCGTCTGATATCTTGAGTAGACACACTGTCAGTTAGTAATATTTTGAAATTTTTTTCTGAGTAGTAGACCTCAACAGTGGGCTTATGATATTCAGTAAAACATGCTGTAAACAGATGTGCAGTCATCCAAACTGCATTGTTACATTTACAGAGCACAGGCAGAGTAGATTTTGCCCGCCGCTCCCCGCTTTTTTTGGAGGAGTTTTGCTTTTGCTGCCCAGGCTGGAGTGCAATGGAGTGATCTTGGCTCACCACAACCTCCGCCTCCCAAGTTAAAGCGATTCTCCTGCCTCAGCCTCCCTAATAGCTGGGATTACAGGCATGCCCCATTACGTCCAGCTAACTTTGTATTTTTAGTAGAGATGGGGTTTCTCCATGTTGGTCAGGCTGCTCTTGAACTCTCCACCTCAGGTGATCCACCCACCTCGGCTCCCAAAGTGCTGGGATTACAGGCGTTAGCCACTGTGCCCAGCAGATTTAGCTTAATTCCTAAGGGCCCTGAGACTGTCAGAATGCCCAATAAGCATGGCTTGAACCGGTCGCTTTAGCCCCTAGCAAGAGTCAGTCTGTCGTTTGAAGTTTTGAAGCCAGGCATGAACATCTGCTCTAGCTATGAAAGGCCTAGATGGCATCTGCTTCCAACAGAAAGCTGTTCATCTACATTGAAAAACCCATGGTTTAGCGGAGTCACCTTCATCAGCGATCTGAGCCAGGTCTTCTGGAGAACCTGCTGCAGCTTCTCCATCAGCACGTGCTGTCTCACCTTGCCCTTTCATGTTACAGAGGTGGCTTCCATCCTTCAACCTCATGAACCAGCCTCTGCTAGCTTCCAGCTTTTCTTCTGCAACTTCCAGAACCTCTCAGCCTTCACAGAATTGAAGGCTTTGCTCTGGATTAGGCTTTGGCATAAAGGAATATTGTGGCTGGCTTGATCTCTATCCCGGGCACTTGAACTTCCTCCGTATCAGCAGTAAGGCGGCTTCACGTCATCATTCATGTGTTCACTGGAGTAACTCCTAATTTCCTTCAAGAACTTTTCCTTTGCATCCACAATGTGGCTAACTGGCAGAAGAGGCTGACTTTTGGCCTATCTTGGTTTTCAACATGCCTTCCTCACTCAGCTTAATTATTTCTAGCTTTTGATTTGAAGTGAGAGGTGGGCGACTCTTCCTTTTACTTAAACAGTCAGAGACCACTGTAGGGTTATTAATTGGCCTAATTTCAATATTGTTGTGGGCCAGGGAAAAGGGAGGCTCAAGGAGAGGATGAGGGGCAGTCGGAACGCACACAACATTCAATGCTAAGGCTTATGTGGGCACAGTTTATCGCCCCTCAAAAGGATGACCATACTAACACTGTTCATCACTGATCACCAATCACATAACGGATATCATAATGAAAAAGTCTGAAATATTGTGAGACTTGCCAAAATGTGACACAGACACAAAGTGAGCAGGTACTGTTGGAAAAATGGCACCAATAGGCTTTCTCAATGTAGGGTTACCACAAATGTTCAATTTGTAAAAAATGGAGTATCTGGGAGGTGTAGTTAAAGCAGAGTCCAATAAGGTGAGGTGTGCCTGCTCAGAGCTGGTACTCAAGAGGTATTTACAAATGAAGTGGATGGACGAATCAATGAATGAACTGGCATCCCAAGGGTAAGGAGCTCTCACATGAAACAAAGCAGCTCTGCCTGGGGCTCCTGTATGGGTTGTCACTGTCCCCCCAGAGAGAGGCTAGGAAACGGTCCAAACTCTCCTGCCTTCTCCTGTCTTGGGCAGCCAACGACAGTGGGAACAGCAGCAGGATGTGGTAGTCATCTGTGCCGCAGGGCTGGCCACTGGGAGGCAGGGGACCAAAGGGCTCTAGATGGACAACCAACAAACGTCTATGGCACTGTATCATGTGCCTATGGCTTTGGTAACAAATTACCAGAAATGTAGTGGCATAAAGCAACGCAGATTTATCTTCTTAAACTTCTGAAGGGCAGAAGTCTCAAATGGTCCCCACTGGGCTGAAGTCAAGGTGGCCATGGGCTGGTTTCCCTCTGGAGGTTCCAGGGGAGAACCTGTTCTTTGTCTTCTCCTGCTCTGAGAGGCTGCTGCCTTCCTCAGCCTGAGGCCTCCTTCCAGCTGTCACGTCCGTCACTCCGACCTTGTGTCTCTGGTCACACACTACCTCCCTCTTATTTTATTTATTGATTTATTTTGAGATAGGGTCTCTCTCTGTTGCACAGGCTGGAGTGCAGTGGCTCACAGCTCACCACAGCTCACCACAGCTTCACCTCCCAGGCTCAGTCAATCCTCCCACCTCAGCCTCCTGAGCAGCTAGGACTATAGGCACAGGCTACCGTGCCCAGCTAATTTTTGTATGGTTTTGCCATGTCGACCAGGCTAGTCTCAAACTCCCGAGCTCAAGCAATTCACCTACCTTGGCCTCCCGAAGTGTTGGCATGATAGACGTGAGCCGCCACACCTGCCAGTGTTGTCACAGAGATCCCTGTAAGACCAGAACCCCTGATCCTGGGATCCCCGTGACAACACTGGACCCACTCCAATAACAGCACCATCTCCTCATCTCAAGGTCCTTAACTTGATCACATATGCAAAGTCTCTTTTGCCATGGAAGGTGACATGTTTCCCAGTGCCAGAGTTTAGGATGTGGACATGTTTGGGGGCCCTGACTCTCCCCACTGCAGCCACCATCTCAAAGTGGACACCAAGACTCTTGTTTTGATTTTCAGTGAACGTTTTTCATTAATCAGATTAAATAATTAAAGAAAACTTACATACTATTTCTATGACACATCCACATTAATCTTCATACAGACAGTGACCAGAATAAAAGTAATAGGAGGGAGGAAAAGAAGGTGTGTCCCTTTTTGCATAACCCCAGTAAGAATTCACTGCCATCATCTAAGACCTGAATTAGGAAAGCCTCCCTAGCACCTGGCCGGTTCCTGGGTGTTCTCTGAGCCCTCTGGTGGTAGCTGATGGGATGAGCTGCATAGAACCCACTGGCTAGGGACTCAGTGGACCGACATGAAGTTGTCTAGGCAGCCGTCATGAGCCTCTGATGGAAGCGTTAAGTAGAAACAGGTGGGAGAGCAGGAGCAAAGCAACAGCCTATGGCACCATCTGGGATGGGACGCTCACCTCTGTCCGTGAAGATGACGGCAAGGAGGGCAGGAGATCGTCCACGCTCCCGATGAGCTTCCGCAGGGTCAGCCCCACGTTCTGGGGAGAGAAAGGGGCAGGATGGCCGCCTCTCCTGGCTACTGGAGAGAGCTCTCCCGAGGTGGTGCTTGCCCCCGCGAGTGGCCTGGGACTCAATTCCCCAGGCCAGCTTGCTCTAGGAGCATCTTCCCGGACAGCCAAATGGAAGCACACTCCTCCTTCCTTCCAGGCTGGAGTTGAGCTGCCTCCACCTCCCCAACCTGGCCCCGCTCTCACCTTCACCACCACCACATAGCCCTCGGGGGGCAGCTGACAGAGCTCATTCTTGAGGTCCAAAACGGCCCGCACCAGCGCCATGACATTGAGGTACACCAGGTCATCAGTCCGGTCCAGGTTGGCTGTGGGCTGGATGGACTGAGGAAAAGCAGGTGGCTGGTGAGTGGGGGAGGGACAGGGCATAGCATGATTCTCTCCTGGGGAGGTACTACTGGGGCCAATTCCACCACCAGCTCAATTCGAAAGGACTCTTCTCTAGAATGATAGTGCCCTGACCTGGGTTGATCGACCCTGTCCATGTCGGGGGCAGTTTCCAGCCAGGGAGGCTTAACAAAATACTAGTGGTGGTCTTGAAACAGACCAATAGAACCACCAGTGGGACATGGTTGAGAATCACTGTTCCAGAGGAAAGCAGCCAGCACCACCCCAGACAGCTGTAAAGACAATGGGTGCTGGAAACCAAGGGGGAGGCTCAGAAGACAGAGGGAGCCTACACCCCTTTCCCTTGGGCTGGATCAGGGAGCTCTGGGAGGGGTATGGAGGGTGGGAGAGTGGTTCTTCCTCTTGCTTTTTCATGAATTAGCTGTGTGGTCTTAGGCAAGGCACCCCCATCTCTGGGGCTCATCTGTGTAATGAGGCCTCTGAACTGGATTCTGTCTGAGACTGAAGCTTTCATACTCCGTGCTCTTCAGCCTCGTTCAACTCTCTCTGTTGTCATCAGTTTCAGCAGAGCCAACACATACCTGTGCGCCCAGCCTTGGAGGCTTCTGCGGGGGCCCCGTGAACTCCACTGCAATAAAGAGAACAGTGAGTGGGGGGCAGCTCTCAGCACTCCAACCCTTCCCTTGGTACCTGCTGACATCAAATGGGTGCCCTCCCTTTTACCACCAGGAGACTTCATGGAAGTTAACCCTGATTCCGGGAAGTGGGCAGTCTCCCTGGTTTTGCAGTAGTCCGGGACAGCACTGTTGTCTCTTTTTTTTTTTTTTTTTTTTTTTTTTGAGACAGACTCTCATTCTGGGCTGGAGTGCAGTGGTGCGATCTCAGCTCATTGCAACCTCCGCCTCCCAGATTCAAGCGATTCTCCTGCCTCAGCCTCCTGAGTAGCTGGGATTATAGGTGCCTGCCACTACACCCAGATAATTTTTTTATTTTTAGTAGAGACGGGCTTTTACCATGTTGGCCAGGCTGGTCTCGAACTTCTGATCTCCCAAAGTGCTGGGATTACAGGTGTGAGCCATCACACCTGGCCTTCTATTCTCACCTCTGCTATCAGAGAGCTTGTCACCACCCCGGGCAGGGGCAGCTCATGCTCCCAGGGCCTGAATTTTCATTTGTAAGGTAAGAGGGTAAGCTCAGAAGAGATCCCCAAGTCAGAAGGCTTGGGTTCAAATGTGAGCATTGCTAATTATTAGCTGTGTGATTTTGGATAAGTTACTTAACCACCCTGTGCCTCAGAGGATAATTAATGGTCCCAGGCCAGGTCTGACTTGTGTCCAGTTCTCTGTGACTGCTATCCTCCTCCTCAGCACTGCCCCTCCAGGCCCCAGGCTCACTGCTGGCTGTTCCCTCCCTGCCTTCAATAGGGGATTCCAGAGAGAGCCTGTGGGCTCAGCTGCCCCTCCTGCTTTCTCTTCTCTGTCCTCAGGCCTACAGAAGAAGAGTCTGAGCTGAGAAGCAGGTAGCATTGCTTAACTTGCCCACAGGAGCCTCTGACAGAGCAGGAAATCAAAAGGAAGAATTCCCAGCTCCTCCGAACAAATGCAGGAGGGGGATGACCTGAGGAGGGTCCTAAGGATGTGGCTGCTGAGAGAAAGGAGGCAGGGTGCCAGGCAGGGTGCCAGGCAGGGCAAGGGACGGGGCGGAGGGAGCCGAGGGGCAGTTGGCCCACCACACAGGCTCTGAATTAAATCACGGCTGATGAGGCAGGGAACGCAGACAGACTCTGCTGCTCCCTGCCCTGGGTGGTGGGCAAGGACGGTGGCTCTGCACAAGGTGCCAAGCGGAAACCCCCTGAAGAAGGGCAGGAACACTCACTGTAGCCGACCTCCTTCTCTGGAGTCTAGAGGAAGGAGGAAAGAGAACATCGATGTCACTCATGCCGCTCTGGAGACAACCCCCTCCCCTGTTACCCATTCCCCAGCCCTTCACTGTGTGTTTAGAGATTATTAAAGCCATGGGGTCAGGGGTGCTTCTAGGAGCAGCTTCTAATCCAAAGTGACCATTCTGGGAAGCTGAGGGGCTCTGTGGAGGGCCCCAGCCAGTGGTAAAGTCTCCATTACAGCAGAGTTGAGGAAAAGGGCTATGTAGAAGTTGGTAGAAAAGGAAGATACCCGCCCAACATGGAAAGTCACCAAGGAGGAGCTGGGCAGGCCTGGGGGTGGAAGCAAGCAGGGGTCCTATGGTGGATGGGGCCTTCCCAGGCCTTGGCACGGGGGTGGGAGCAAGCAGGGGTCCTATAGTGGATGGGGCCTTCCCAGGCCTTGGCACGAAGGAAGAGGCCTCTCCCGGCAACTCACCAATGGGGACTTATCATTCATATAAACCATGGGGTCCTGCAGAGGAAGAAACAAGAGGGAGGGACTTAGAATTCTGGAGCTGAAAGCACCAAGAATGCCCGGGAGCCTTTCCCCAGCCACCCGAGGAGGTGGAAGAGGACACAGATGGGCGCAGGGCATGGACATCCTGGGTGCTCACCAGGGACTTCTCCTCCTGCCTGAGCCACTGGTAGTCCTCCACCATCTGCTTCTGCTGCTTGTCCAGGATTTGCCGCATCTTGATCTTCTCGGCCTCCCACAGCTGCTGGGCCTCTTCTCGGCTGCTGGGTCGGATGAAGTCCTCCTCCTGGGAGGATGGCAGAGAGAAGGGAGAGATGCAATGAGTGCTGCTCTCAGACTCAGGGAGGGACAGTCCTCCGAAGAACCTCATGGCAGCCACGAGACTTGCTCCGAGCCGCTGCGTTTTTCTTGTAAGTTTGTTCTTAAACCCCCAGCCATATGTGCAGATAGTTACTGGGTATCAGCCCGAGCATGTGCCTGTGTTGCAATGTGATACCAAACCCAAGAACCCATTGCTCAACATGCACTGTATTCGAATGATCACACCGTCCGCTCACGATATTTTATCAAGTGACTGCCCTGCTGTTATTATCTCGGTGTTTATGACAGTTGTTGTCATTTAACAGATTTTAAAAAGAAAACCTATTAAAGTCAATTAAAATCTATTTTAAAATCTACTAAAAGCATCAAGAGGGCTTCCAAGGGGATGGCTTTGCTTCACTCGATAGCATCATGCCCTTTCGATCTATCTCCACCTAAGCACCAAGGTGGCAGGTCTGGAAGCTTCAGGAGACAGTGGTGCTCCCTCTTGCCTCACGGTGTGCTGTCCCGCCTGTGTCCATGAATGAGCAGAGCCTGAGAGCAGGAGCAGCAGCATGCACGCACCAATCGTGCCTTTGTATTAAGACATCCTCTTATTAAGATAATAGCTTGGGTTAGTTAACAAAATGTTAGGAGGAATGCATGAGCTAAGAGATAAAATAAAGAACAAAATTTCATGAAATACAGCTCTGTAGAGACAAGATAAATGCAATCATAGCTTGGTTATTTAACGATTAGAAGAAATCCATGAACAGATAAAAATAATAACAAAATTCAAAGAAATATAGCTCTATAGAAATAAGATAAATGCTTCCTCTCCCTAGATGTAGTAACCCAACTCTTGCTGTAACTTACCTCTAGGGCTTTGGACCCATTCATAGTTTTAGCTGCTAGTTCCTAAACAGAAAGTATTGCATGTCTTTCTATTTTCCTTCAATCTTCCCCCACGGTTCATTTGTATAATTATCTTCTCAGTGCCTGTAAACTATTTTGCTCTTCTTCTGCTGCACATGATAACCCTGCCTCCTGGACAGAGGGAGGAGGAAGACTACTGGCATCCTCTTGATCGTACAAAGCCCAGGAGTTCCTTTTGCTGGGTCAGGATCCTTCTGTGACATCTAAATGAGCAGGTCCCTCAGTTCCTTGCCTTTGAAGGGGCCATTTGCATACAAGCCACTTGCAGAAGATGCTAACAATGATCTCCATCTACTTTTAGCAATCAGTAATCCCTACCAAGCCTCTTAAAAGAGTTTCCTCACTAAGCCCTACAAAACACACTTGAATATTACAATATGGTTTAAAAATGGTTATGTTGGGATGTTTCTCTTAGTGCACATTGAGCTTCAATTACTGACCTCAATTTCCAATCACGTTTCCCCACAAATTAGGTTTCTTGCTGAAATAGTCTTTATTCATGAATCTGTTCAACGATTGTTTATTAAAAGCACTACTATGTGGCAGGGCTGGATGCTGGGAGGACACTGCTATTAAAATATATGATGATCTTATTCTCATGGGGTTAAGTAGATACTAATTAGACCAGGGATCCTCAACCTCAGGACTATTGACACTTGAAGCCAGATAAGTCTATTTCCAGGGCGATTTACCATACATTGCAATATGCTTCCCTGCAATACATGCCTATAGCACATCCTTAGTGGTAACAAAAATGCCTCCAGACACGGTCAAATGTCCTCTCAGAGGGAAAATAACTTTGCTGAGAACCACTGAGCTAGACCTCATTTTAGGTAAACAAAGTCCAGCATCTAAGAGTCTTTTATAATCATGGGATTGATAAAAATAAAATCGGTTTTATTGATCAGAGGCTGATACTCCAACATTAGGACATTTTAAGGGTATGAAAATCCCCAGTTAAATGTCAAGGCCTGAAGACACAATGACATGGTTGCCCCAAGCTGTTAACAAATAGTGATAAACAAGAACTAAGTGTCAAAAGTTCTAAATATAGAGTTAGGGATTCCTGGATGTGAGAAAAATGTTTGGGTTGAAGGAGACTATGGTAAGTACCAGCGGGATGAGTTACCAGAGTCAAGGAAGTTCTACAGGTATTTATAAGTATCTATAAATCTGTAAGCGTTGAGAGAAGATCCCATCACTAAAATACCTAGCATGCCCCAGGTCTGATTGTTCCACGTATCTTAACACACTCAGATTAGGAGGCTTATTCTGATGCCTTCCAATTTTGTAATAAAACTCAAGGAGAAAATGAACACTTAAAAAATGGAATCTTTAATAAATAAATAAATAAAAAGGACAGGTTGCAATTCTCACCTCTGATGGAATAGATTTTAAAGCAACAAAGATCAAAAGAGGACATAATGGTAAAAGGATCAACGCAACAAGAAGAGCTGACAATCCTGGATGTGTATGCACCCAATACAAGATACATAAGACTTGTAAAGAGACTGGGACTCCCACACAGTAGTAGTGGGAGATTTCAACATCTATTAGATAGATCAATGAGACAGAAAATTAACAAGGATATTCAGGATTTGAACTCAGATCCGGAACAAGTAAACTTAATAAATATTTATAGAGCTCTCCACTTTAAATACACAAGATATGCACTCTTATCAGTATCACATCACACCTACTCACAGGTTTAAATGAAATATTGGTTGGCCATTATTAAGCACAATTGATGGTATAAGGGAGGTTTTCAATACCCATTGAAAACTAGACTGCATTCTAGCCTGGGCAATTAAGCAACACTCCCGTTCTCTCTCCCTCATCCTCTTCCTCTTTTTTCCTCTTCTTCATTCCTTTTTCTTTCTTTCTTTCTTAGAAAAAAATGGAATCTATTTGGGGTTGGTTTTGCTGAAATTCACCTCCTATATTATTAGGTAATGGACACTTCCATTGCTAATTATATTCTATGCTGAAAAGGAATTGGGCACTCGTGGTGTTTTAAAATAACTCTCGTAAGTTATAGCACCTTCCATAATTTGGCTATGACCCGACTGTTGGCCTTATTTCCACCTCCACAAGTTCCTTTCCTGTTCTAGCCTAACAGGTCTTGCACTTGTCCTGTGGTTTCCCAACCTTCAGTCTTGGCTTCTACTGAAGCCTCTGCCTCTTCCATGCCCTGAATCTCAGTTTCCTCCTGTCCACACCTTTCCCATTTTTCAAGGTCCAGCTTTTAAATAGAAGCTGGAAGGGGTTATCCCCCTCTCTGGACTTCCACTCTGTTGTACCCACGACCTTCTGGCTTGCATTACAGGTAAGTGTGTACCCGGTCTGCTCCTTCTGGTCAACTGTAAGCTCTTTGAAGACAGAGCCTCCCCACTTCAGCACCGAGGACAGTGTCCAGTGATTAGAGCAACTCGTAGTGTTTCTTTAATTGTATTATTTTTACTTTATTTTATTTTATTTTTTGAGACAGAGTTTTGCTCTGTTGCCCAGGCTGGAGTACAGTGGCACAATCTTGGCTCACTACAATCTCTGCCTCCCAGGTTCAAGAGTTCTCCTGCCTTAGCCTCCCGAGTAGCTGGGATTACAGATGCATGCCGCCATGCCTGGCTATTTTTTGTCTTTTTAGTAGAGACTGGTTTTCACCATGATGGCCAGGCTGGTCTCAACCTTCTGACATCAAGTGATCCACCTGCCTCGGTCTCCCAAAATGCTGGGAATACAGGCACGAGCCACACGTCCAGCCTTGAATTATATTATTTTTAAAGCTCAATTGTGAGGTCTTCGAGAGAGAGAGATCGCGGCCATCCCAATGCTGGTATGGCATCCCACAGACTCCCTGATGAGTCAGGCAATGGAACCACACAGCAGAAAAACTCTTTTTCTGGGAAAACCACCTCTGAATTTCTGTTAAATGCTTCCAAATGCTTTGTGAAGAGCCTATTATACCTTCTCAGCATTCTACCTGAAAAAGACTTTCTCAGTGTTTCTGATCTGTGTCATAAAATGGAGCTTATATTTTTAACCTTTTGGGGTTTGTTTATTTAAAGACATGCTCATTATGTTCTTTTAGGCAGATTTTCCTTATGGCAATTACTTCTAAAGCCCTGACACAAAAGGTCTTTTTTCCTACTGCACAATCTCTTTCTGGAACTGGACAAGGTCCTGGTGGAGAAGCAGGAATTGGACAAAGGCAAGCTACCCCTCAAATGTGCAAAATGGCATCTTTCTAGAATAACGCAATTTAAAGCAAAACTCACTAAAACAATCAATCATGAATAGAGAGTCAAAGACAGGAGGGTGGGGAACTGAACACAGCCTAAATTATGGCACATGCTTGAAAATGAAGTTTTCTTATTCTTAAGCCCATGCAAAGACAGAATTGGTTAAATTAATATAAAAGAGAAAAATGAAGTAGGTCAGAGGAAATTTTATTTCACAATAAATCTTAATCTTAGTGCCTGGAATTCTAAGTTATCATGCTCATTTCAAAATTCTACTAACTTAAGAATAATGGCATGAAAGTAATATCAGCCTACTTGCCTACATCTTCCAAATATATTATGATAAACACCTAATTCTTTTCAAAAAAAATCTTTTTACATTTAGTGAGCCTGAAATACTATGCAGGTATGAAGAGTTAGAGCTAAAATAAGGGTTTTAGTCCATTTTAGTTGGCTTAATAAAATAGATCAAGTTCATTGCCCTAGTGGCAACTGACCACTAGGGACCATTTGTATGGAAGAAGGTGGTTGGTGACCAGTGGGCATCTGGTTATGAGCAAAAGTGTCTTTTCTACATAAGAACTGATAATCAGAAGCTGGCCATGAAGCACTTGGGGCTTCACCCACAGTTAACAAAACTCAGTGACAAACAGCTAATTAGGGAGGTGGCTTAGGCCCCTGCTCTAGCCAGTTAATGAGCTGGTATTCCCTAGCCCTGAACTCCTCATCCAGCAGCAGCCTGAAAAAAAGCTGAAGGGGAAGTAGCCATGAGGAAGTCTTTTCTTAGAGATTTCGCACCAAAAGCTGTCAGGTGGGAAGGATCCTTTACACTCCAGCACCACTAAGCTGCCGCACTCTGCCTAGGAGCCTTCATGCTGCCACAGATCCCCGTACCCCTGGGGCTCAGGAGAGGGAGAGATTTGTACCTCTCTAGCTATAACACCAGCATGGTCAAGGGCAGGTTAGGTCCAGCTAGTGGCTTGCCCCCTAGCCTCTGATGCATTTGCAAAGGGAAGGAAGTCACAGAGTCCCCCCCTTGGTGGCCTGACTGGTGCATGGGAGCACTGAGGGCCCTCTTGAGCTGAGGGCATGGGGTTCCCAATGTCCCTGGCCACCTCCCTCCAGCAGCCTCTTCAGTCTGGGCAGGGACCAGCATGCAGAGCCCTCTTACCCGCATGCTGTGGCGTTTGAAGACATTGTGCCGGTGGAGAGGTGGGGTGTGCAGTGAGTTAACAGGAGATGGATACTCCATAGGGCTGGTGAGCGTAGGAGAGCTGGCACACAGACCCTCGGGGACCTATTCAGGAAAAGCAAAGAAGCACAAGGCACGGGGCGAAGCAAGAAGGTGGACAATTAGCTGCTACAAACATGAGCACAAAGAAACCAAGCATGGGCACCATGGGGGATGGGGCTTGCTCTCCAGGAGTTAATAAAGGACGTGGGCCTTCCATTGTTCCAAGAGAGATGGTGGAGCAGAGTGGCCTCTCATTCATCCAACATCCCCCACCACAATGCTCTGCACACAGTGGGGTCCACGCTGGTTACTGACCCACTGAGACTGGGACTTCTCCCTCAGTACTCTTTAGAAAACAGTTATGTTTCAGTTGCATTACAAACTGACTGATGTGGTTAACCTAGAGATTTAGAGAAATATGTATGAATTATTTTTTTAAAATTCAGACAGGGTCTTGCTCTGCTGCCCAGGCTGGGATGCAGTGGCATGATCATAGCTCACTATAGCCTTAAACTCTTGGCCTCAAGCGATCTTCCTACCTCAGCCTCTCATGTAACTGGGACTATAGATTCATGCCACCATGCCTGACTTGAATTTTTTTCTTAAATTAAAAAATAATGTTATCACAATTTTATTTTATTACTCTTGGTTTTAGCGATGGGGGTCTACAGTATATTTCCCAGGCTGGTCTCAAATTCCTGAGCTCAATCAGTCTTCCCATCTCACCCTCCTTAGTAGCTGGGACTACAGGTGTGTGCCACCACCTAACCCCTTGTTTTAAATATCACATAAGGGTATATTTCTTTCTTTCTTTTATTCTTTTTTTTTTTTTTTTTGAGGCAGAGACTTGCTCTGTTGCCCAGGCTGGAGTGCAGTGGCGAGATCTTGGCTCACTGCAACCTCTGCCTCCCGAGTTCAAGTGGTTCTCCTGCCTCAGCCTCCTGAGCAACTGGGACTATGGGCACGCACCACCACACCCAGCTAATTTTTGTATTTTTAGTAGAGACAGGATTTTACCATGTTGGTCAGGCTGGTCTTGAACTCCTGATCTCATGATCCACCTGCCTTGGCCTCCCAAAGTGTTGGGATTACAGGTGTGAGCCACTGCGCCTGGCCTATTTCTTTAAGGAAAATGCTTTCACCTTCTGAATCAGGGTTTCGCTTCACATGGACAGGGTTTATCAGTCCTTGGATGGTCTTGTTTTGGTACTCAGGCATTTCCTTGATAACAAATATAGGACCAAGGAACGCCACCTTTCTATAAAGGGCACCAAAAAAAAAGGACATTATTTCTAGTGGCTGAGGGGCTCCATTTTTGAGCAGTGACTCTGAACTGGGAGATGCAAGAGAAGACAGAGGAGAAGACTAGACTCTCTCTTTCCTAGAGGCAAGAGAGACACAGAACTGGGCAAGAGACAAGAACTGTCAGTGACCCACAGCCTGGGCAAGAGTCATGGTTGGGGATAATGGAGCCGGCAGAAAGCACAGGTAAAATCCTGCTATCTCTTCAATGGCCACCCACGTTCTGGATGGGGCCTCTTTGGGGAGCCCCATGGAGTTACTCCATTTGCTGGGGAACATTCCCTGGGATTACTTCTGGGAAGGAGGCCAGGGAGGCCTTGGATGGGCAAGAGAGCAGCAGGCAGGCACACAGAGCAGCAGACACTGTAGACAGAGGGACGGGGCTTAAGGCAGGTCTTAGCTGAGCACAGCGTGGGAGAACTGCATTTTAGTTCTTGTGATCTGAGTCTACATTCTGTTCTGGGTACCAACGAAGAGGCAATCTAGGCCATCTCTATCGCCCAAATGGGTGACTGCTGCTCCTCTAAGGCATAGGAATGGAGTTTCAGGAAGGACCTGGATGAGAGGTAGACCCAAACTTCCCACCATCTTGTTCTATCTTTACCTGGAACTGCAGCTTTGGAGCCAGGAGGTTGGTTTGTGGAGGGGGCCTGTACTTAGGCCGGCTGGGCTGGAGAGAGAACACAGATGGGTCAGTCTCTGTCCCTCTCCTTGAGGGAACTCAGTTCACCAAGGGGAAGATCAGGCTGAAGACACCTCATGCTCATTCCAAAGGAAGGAAAGTTGAGGAACAAAGCTGTCCAGAAACTCATTTTGCATCCACTTTTTTTTCTTGAGATGGAGTTTTTCTCCGTCCCCCAGGCTGGAGTGCAGCAGCGCAAGCTTAGCTTGTTGCAACCTCCGCCTCCCAGGTTCAAGCAATTCTCTGCCCCAGTCTCCCAAGTAGCTGGGATTACAGGCACCTGCCACCACGCCCAGCTAATTTTTGTATTTTTAGTAGAGATGGGGTTTCACCACCTTGACCAGGCTGGTCTTGATCTCCTGACCTCAGGTGATCCACTGGCCTCAGCCTCCCAAAGTGCTGGGATTACAGGCGTGAGCCACTGCACCTGGCCTGCATCCATTTATTGAGCACCAATTACCTGCTGAGTGATGGAAGGTACAAAGATGCCACCTTGCACCCTCCTGGGGCTATTGGAGGGTTAATGATCAGTGCATGTGTGGCCTTCCTATACATGGGAGCACCCACCAAGTCAGAGCTGCAGAGCCACAGGCATGCAGAGGTGGCAGCTCACCTCACCAGGGGCTCAGGCACTCACGGAGATGAACACTAAGCCAGGCCCGAGGGGAAGGTTGGGACATGCCAGGCAAGAGGGACAAATGAGAAAAGGGCTATGGACTGAGTATTTGTCCCCCCTTTCAATGTGCACATTGAAGCCTGAACACCCAATGTGCTGGTATTTAGGAGGTACAGGCTTTGGGAGGTAATTAGGGCTAGATAAGGTTATGAAAATGGAGCCTATGATGGGATTAGTGCCCTTATAAGAAGAAAAAGACCACTCTGTGTCTGCCAGTTGAAAACATAGTGAGAAGGTGGATGTCTGCAAGCCAGAAAGAGAGCCCTCACCAGACACCAGCACCTTGATCTTGGACTTCCAGTCTCCAGAACTGTGAGAGATAAACATCTGTTGTTTAAGCCACTCAGTCTGTGGTCTCCTGCTGCAGCAACTCCAGTTGACTAAGACAGGCATGGCCTCTCAGACCCCCCCACCTAAAGGCAATGGGGCCTTGGCTCTGAGCTCAGGGTGGCTATGTGGGTGCTAGACCTAAAAGATCCAGAACACTCCCCATTTATGCGTCCTCAGGGGGATCTCATTTGTTCCTAAGAAAACTCCTAGAAGAGAATCCCAGCCTCTCATGGGATATTTTGAGGGATGATTCTTGACTCAGCTGTCCCACAAGGTGGCTGCTGCCTCAACGTCCACCTGCCAGGGCACTGATGTAACACACTGACAGTGTTGGTGGACTCTGGGTGAAGGACTGAGAGAGGGCTGCAGGGGGTATCCTGCCTGTGCAGTAAGTGGGGGCATGGATCAGACAGGGACCTGGCTCTGCTTTGACTCACAGGACCTACGAAGCCATGGCTTGGCTTACCTTGGGTGGGGGTTCCTGGAAGGCTGTGGGCTCCAAGATTTTGGGGGTTCGGTAGCGAGCATTCCTCTCTTGCTCCATTGCAATGTCCTTCTCCATCTGATAAATGTCACTGCAGGGAGTCAGGTCAGATAGGGAGAGAAACAAGGTCAAAGCCAGATGCTCCTTAGGGCTCCTCTCTGTACTGTGTGGAAGCCCAGAGAGGCCTAGGCAAGGCTGTTAGGTCCCATTTCCATTTCCATCCACCCTGCAGAGTGGCCTGGGGAGATCCCCATGAGACAGGCTTGGATTTGGGCCCTGAGGCCACACTGAGGTGGGGGATCACAGGAATGGATCCAAGGTGGAAAAGCATCCTTAGAGAACCAGTCCCAGCTTAAACACACAGCAGGAGCCTGACTGCAGCCTCACTCCCAGGCCTTGTGCCCTCCTTGGCTTGTGATTGGCACCAAATCCCTATGTAGATTTCCAAAGTCCCAGCCAACTTCATGGCCCTGGCCTAGAATCCACATCTCCTATACCTCATGAAACATCTCCCAGTGCATTCCTGCTGTGTGCTAACAAGGGTGTGGGTTCACTCTCAGGCTAGCCCTGTGATGCCTCTCACCTTTCTTACCCAATCCAGTGGTCCTAACCTGAGATCACACATCCCAGAGGACTCTGGAACTATTACCATCTATGAAGCCACACATTCATATGGGTACCAAGTATTGTATACTACTGAATATGCGATACTATGAGGCACTTGTTACTATATTTTCAAATGTGCATGCATTTTATTCTGTGTAATAAAAATGCATTATATAGCCCACTACATTTTGTTCAGCAGAAGATTTTAAAAATATAACTATTGTTAACACAGAGACACTCAAAATTTGACCTTGGAAGGGTCTTTCCTCCCCGGAACAATTAGGAAACACTGACCAAAGCCCTTCTGAACTCTAATGAGTAAGTGTCAGTGGTGGCCTGGAGAGGAACCTGGGGTCTTCTGAGTCTTTCAGGGTTTTTCTGATCACACTGGAAACCTGCTTCCATCTCCACTTGTGGTGGGGGAGCCTGGCCAGTGCTTCTGATGGGAACACCTCTCAGCCCAGGAGAGGTGCCTGCACAGCTCCCTGTGGCTCTCAAGTCCTCAGACTGAATGAGGACTCCCAGCCCCATCCCCCTCGAGCTTTCACCCTCCTAGATTCCATCTTTCAAATACTTTTATCCTGCAGCCCATTGGCTTCTCAAGTCTCTCATATGAGGGACCAACAGAGGAGTCTAGAATTAACTGGGAGGCTCACTGAAGGGATAGGCAGGAACAGGGAGGCCTTGTAAGCCAGAGGTTTTGCAGATGATGTTGAAGGCCCTGCCCTGTGTAAAACATGCTGGGTCACCCTGAGTGCCCCTGGCCTGGGCATTGCCAGCATTCCCCAGGGTATCTCCCCACAAGGCAGTTTTCAGGAGGTGCTTTCTTGTCCTAAAATCAAACAAGGCAACATGTTGACTACAGTATTTAAAATCACAGTATTTCAAGTCAAGTTCCAGACTCCCTAAAGCAGGGTTCAGCAAACAAGAGCTCACGGGGCAAATCTGGCCTTTCCTCTATTTTTACATGGCCCCCAGAGAAGAATGGTTTTTGCATTGTTTTAATGATTAAAAAAATTAAAAGAAGAAAAACATTTACAACACAAGAAAATTATGTGAAATTCAAGTTTCAGCGTTCACAAGTGGCGTTTCACTGGAGCCCAGCTACACCCATTCATCGAAGTATGGTCTATGGCTGTTTTGTCTCCTGTCTAAGCTAGGAGAGTTAGAAGTTTTGGCAGAGACTTGCATAAACTACAAAGCCCTAAATATTTACTATTTGGTCCTTTATAGAAAGGGCTGACTCCCATCACAGAGGAATTGTCTCGGGATGGGAGACTGAGTTCCCCAAGGAACTGACTCCCATCACGACGCATTGTCTCCTGTCTAAGCTAGGAGAGTTAGCAGTTTTGGCAGAGACTTGCATAAACTACAAAGCCCTAAATATTTTCTATTTGGCCCTTTATAGAAAGGGCTGACTCCCATCACAGAGGAAGCCAAAAGAATCAGATCTCCCACAGGACGGCTAATGGCAGGCTGGCCACCAAGAAAACTGGAGGACCCTGAACCTCCAAAACATACGACCCTCTTTCCCAGCAACCTTCCCAGCCCTAGGCAATGATGGCTCTTGGGCACTGACAGGCCCTCAGGTCCCTTGTCCCCCATTCAGAAGGGATAGGTGGCCCCTGGGTCACACTCTTGATAACAGGTCCAACATCACTCCCTTCCTTGTATCTGGGAGGAAAGATCAAAGTCAAGAGGAGAGGCGAGAGGAAGCGGGTGGCATCCCCAACACCATAAAGAGCACAGGCCCTTCAATGAGAGTCTGGTTCAGGCTTTTGATTTTAACCTAGAAAATATTTTCTAAGCACATCCTAGGAACAAGGCTCTGCGCTCCGTGTTGACAGATGCCTGGATGAGCCAGGCTTCCCCAGGGGTGCCTTATCTCTGAGCTCATATCTGACAGTGAACCTGGCTTCAGCCTCCTGTCCTTGACCCTGGCCTGTCTTGTTTAGGGAGATGCAGTGCAAACCTCTCTATGTGCAGCTGATCTTGTTCCCTGGTACCGCCCGGGGGAGGGGGCCAGCCCCCAGCCCACACTCCATGCTTACCTAAGGCTGCACACCAGCTCGGTGAATCGGGGCCGGTCGCTGGGGTCATAGTCCCAGCAGCGGGTCATGAGGGTATAAAGGATCGGTGGACAGAGGTCGGGCTTGGGCAGCCTGTCCCCTTTCTCCAGCACTCCGATGACGTCCTTGTTCTCCAGCCAGAAGAAGGGCTGCTTCCCAAAGCTCAGGATCTCCCACATGCACACAGCTAGGGTAGAAGAGAGTGTCAGGCCCCACCCTGGGGAAGACCAGTCCCACCCACCCGGGAGAGCACCATTGCCGTTACTGCTCAGTCTCAGCCAGAAGCGGCTCCTATGGTCCTGCCTCTCCATCCAGCACCCCGGGATCTGCCCACCATTGCAGCCCGCCTGAGGGATCAGTGACCTACATCTGCAGTTAGTGACCTAGGGCCTTGCTCCCTAGACCCCTGTCAGGGTGCTGCAGGATCAAGAGGTGACAGTCATGGCATATCATTGGGACCACGAGTGCCTTCTCTTAGATGGGAGGGGAGCCACTCCTTAGTGGAGTTGGAAGCCTCCCACCAACGCTTGGTGCCTGTGTGGCTGCGGGCAGGCTCCTGACTCATCTGAGCCTCAGTTTTCTTAACTAGAAAATGAGAGTAACAATAATATTTTATGGGGTTGGCTGTGGGAGAATGAAGTGAGATGGTCTTCAGAAGGTATTCTGGAAGGGGCTGCCTGTCTCACCTGCCTTTGCTCTCTCCCCTCCCTGCACCTCTCTCAGAACAAGTCACAGAGTTTCATCTCAGTTTCTGGGACTGGTAGGTGGAGCACACACCCCACAGAGCCTGTTCCAGGAAGATGAGCCTGCACAGTCCAGTCCAGCCCTTAGCCTGGACCACCCTCTTCCCCCACCCCCACTGGCCTACCCATCTGTGAGACTTTTCAGTGGCCAAAGCAAAATAGAACCCTGGGAACGAAGGGTGGGGGTCAGACCCCTGCTCCCTGAACCCACTCCCTTAGCCTGGTTTGGAGGTGAGAATCTGAACCCTTTTTCATGCCCTCCCTAATTAGCACTCACCAAACATCCAGACGTCACTGGCTGTAGTGAAGCGTCGGAAGTTAATGGACTCTGGGGACATCCATTTGATGGGGAGGCGAGTCACAGAGGCTTCAGGTGGGCAAAGAGGTTGATTTTTAGGGAACAAAGATTAGAATTATCCAGAAATACATGCTACTTTCTGGAGACCCTTAGCCTGGGCTGTCCAACCGTAGATTTCCTTTATCTGGAACTTTTGGCTTCAGCAACCCCTCCAAGGCCAAAGCAGAGGCCAGGAAGTCCCCCTCACCTTTGTAATAGTCCTCATCCTCAATGTACCGGGAAAGGCCGAAGTCCCCCAGCTTCACGCACTCGGGGGAGGCCACCAGGATGTTCCGGACAGCAATGTCCCTGGAGAAGGGCGCCAAGACCAGGGTGAGGCACTGCCCACCCCCATGGGGGCAGGGACACTTCAGAGAGACAGACAGATGGACAGAAAGACAAATAGTGCAGCCCAGGGACTCGGCCTCCAGAGCAGAATTGGGCAGCTCCTGCGGGTCACTGCCCCCGCTGAGTGGTCTTGCTGCAGCACAGCTCAGATGGGAGCCCAGCTGGCCCCTCTGCACCCCAACACACACAGGTGCACGGCCATCTCCTTCCCCCTTGCTGCTGGGCTCTGTCTCTGTCACCCCTTCTCACACATCTGCAGCTTGAAGCCTGGCTCAGGTCCCTGTGATCTGCTACCTTCCACTTCTGTGCTGTTGCCTACACTGTCCCCCCTGCCAGGGAGGCTGTCACCTGTTGATTCTTCAATAATAAACTCCAACTACTTCCGTGGACACAGTTATTATCTCTCATCTGCATTTCCATAGGACTGGTTAGGCCTTTGGAATAGCACGAGCAGCAGCAGCAGCAGCAGCAGCACAGCTAACTCTGATGGGGAACTGAGGATACCAGGATCACACAAGGGCTTCACATACCCTGAGTCATAACACACAGACCCTCAGACCTCCAGGTGTAGGGGAGGAGACCAGGCTCAGGGAGCTGAAGGAACTTGCCCAGCAGGTCACTGGTGGAAAAGGGTGTCGCCCAGGTAGGCTAGTCCAGGGCTGAGCTCTCGCTCCTCCCAGGAGACATTCTGCTGACTCAGTTTACCCTGTGTCCTTGCCATCACTCCCAACCCCAAACTAGTTTGCCTGCTTGCTTCTCACAGGCAGGCTCCACTCCCTGGCATTTGTTTTTATAGTTGAGATGACGACTTAAAAGCATGGCACCTTCAAATGAACAAACAAAATAAACAAATCTCTCATCCCATCACCTTTGTCCTGACAACTGATGTCTCCAGTGTGACCCTCATCCCAGAAGGTAAGCTTCCCAAGGAAAAAGATTTTTGCTTGTTTTCGTCACAACTTTGTCCCAGAGCCCAGGCCAGTGCCTGACACTGAGATGTGTTCCATATTTGTTGGATGGATGAATAAGTGAATGGATGGACGAATGAATGAATGCAGGATTTTATCCCCTGATGTGGCTTTGTACAGAATCAGACACAAGGCCATATAGCCAACGTCAGTGGCAAGTAATGGCCAACCACTGACTCCCCTGGGGGTCAGGTTCTCATGGCAAGGAATGAGCACAAAACCAGATAGGGCAGGGGCCAGCTCCACAGCCACAGGGAGGTTTGGACTCAGCAGCCAAGGGGCGAGGGTGGTGTCCAGGCCAGTACTCTGGGATCTTCCTGGCCCAGCTCCGGCCCAGTCCCTTCTTCCTGAATCACATGCTACCAAGCTGGTGAGCTGGAGGTGAGTGAGCTCTGAGCAAGGTTGGGGGCAATTTCCTGGCACTCACAGGGGAGGTGCTGGAAGGTCCTGAGCTCTAGACAGACACCTCAGACTTCAGAGTTACTCCTAACAACCCCATGAGGTACATACAGTGCCTGCAACTTTACAGATGAGGACAAAGGGTCAGAGAAGTTACTCAAGTGCTCGAAGTTGCCGGGACAGGCAGGGCCAATGCTGGGATCCCAATACTGCTCTGTCACACCCAGGCCCTGCTTCTACCCGGATGCCTTGAGGACCTGGTGAAGGCCTGGTTTCTGCGCTGCCGGCCGCCCCTCTGCCCTACCTGTGCACACAGTTGATGCTCTCCAGGTAGGCCATGGCTTTGCATATCTGCAGCGAGTACAGCACAAGGGTGAGCACCTTCAGGGAGTTCTTGTTCCGCTCCAGGTAGTGGCCCAGCTGTGGGAAAAGGGAGATGCCATCAAGACCCCTGGTTGGTCCCGGCATGGAGCCAGGGGGCTGGGTACTGGCAGCTCCCGAACCTTCCCTGGAGGCGACGAGAAGCAAACCCAAAGCTGGCAAAATGTTCCAGCAATTTCCTTGACAAATAGAGCCTCTGGCTTGCTCCAACTGAATACAGAAGACAGGAAGCTGGAAGGAGGGGGCTGTGCTCTAATGCCCCCCCTCCTCACTGCTCTGCGGCCAGTTGTCACCACAGGGTCCCTCTTCTGCCACCTCCAGCTCACCTCCCCATAGGGATACAATTCCATGATGATCCAGGTGGGCTCCTCTTCAATGATGCCAATCAGCTTCACAATGTGTGGGTGGTCCAGGTTCTTCATGATCACTGCAGTGGTGGGGGAGATGGGGGGGCAGGCAAGAGGGATGGGTGGAGCGGCTCAAAGGTCTAATTCAGCAAAGGCCTCTGTTCTTCCAGCTGGGGGAACGGGAGCCCTCCTCCAATGTGGGTCCCTGCACTGTTTCCCCATCTCTTCCTGGGCCCAAGCCCCTCCCATGTTGGAGGCCTGGTTGGTCCAAGGGGTCCCTACCTGCCTCACTCATAAACTTCTCCTTGTTGTCCAGAGTGCAGTCTTTCTTGCAGGTCTTGACAGCTACGTTGATATTCTCCCCTTTCTGCAACGACAGTGTGTTCAGAACCCCTTGGTCCAGCCCAGCGCTCTGCAGTGTCCCCCCTGGCCTCCCCACAGCCTCCTGCAAACATCCCTGCCAGCTGAGACCCCTTTCTCCTATGTCTCTCTTCTTCTCCTCTTTCTCTTCCTCTCCTCTCCTTCCCCACTCCCCTTCTTCTTGATCAGGGTCTGTTAGAAGTGAAAAGGACTTTAGTGGTCAAATGGTACAAGCCCCTGGCCATCTAGCTGAGGACACTGAGATTGAGGGGCTGTGTGACCTGCCCAAAGCCAGGGCCTCCTGCAGGTCATTATCACATGTGGGGGCTGGGCCTTTCTCTCTCTATCATTAGATTTTACATTCTTTCTGCCTCTTTCTTTCTGCTTGGCCTTTCCCCTGGGCCTGCTAGCAGCGTGGCCACAGCTGTAAGCCTTGCCCTGCCGCATCAGAGGCCTTGACAGTAATTCCAGATCCTGCCTTGCCTTTTCTCAGAACTGTCTTTATCCCGCCGCCTGCTTTGTGTTCTCCTACCAAGAATCAGTGACCCTTCTCCAGGTTCTGCCTGTATCTCCATCTCTGGTATTTTGCTACCCCTCTTGGAAATGACTCGTCTCCATTATCCTCTGAGTATTTAATAAATACTGCCACACCTTGTGGACAAGGGGCCCTAAGGGCTCCAAGTGGATGAAGGCTGCGCCAACTCCAACCTGCTCAGATTCGAGCTCTGGCTCACCCTACAGACACGTGGAAGAGTAGTGTCAGGGAAGAGCCTGGAACTCACGTGATTCGTGTAGACACCTTCATAGACCTCCCCAAAAAAGCCTTCCCCAAGAATACAATTCAGGACGACATCTTCACGGACAATGCCATAATGTGGACCTGCACAGATGGAGAAAACAGTCGCAGAGCAGAGACCAATGGCGTCCACTGGGGAACCCAAGTGTCTGCAGGCTGTAAAGCCAGGCGTCGCCAGACCAACACCACCTCAGCCAAGATCCAGGGGCTGGGCTGGGGAAACAGGGGTCTAGAATGTTCCATCATCTTAGACCCAGGGAGGAGCCATCACCCTGCTCCCTCTGAAGGCTGGGTCCCAGGTGCGAGTTATTAGAATCCCCATACACCTCCATGGGCACACAAAAGATCAATCAGTATAGGGAGAAAAAAAAAGCATCTCAGCTTTCAAATCCAAGGCGTCTCAGGTTTGCCACCATCTAAGCCTCACATGAAGGGAGGATTAAGGAGGAAAACAACATTCCCTGCGGTGATGTCACAGGGCCCTGACTGCGATCGCTGTCGGGGTGCGGGGGGTCAAGAACCTACCTCCAGTCCTTCGCAGGGTTTCGTCGGGAATCTCTGCATAGATGTCTGACTCTGGAATGGCAGGAAGAGGTCAAGCCATAGACAAGATGCTCTCAGTGAGCACCACCAGGAATCAGGTGTGGGACTCCCTGCTGGAGGCCAGTGGAGGCCAAGTGGGCAGGAGGAGAAGCCAGGCATGTCCTATCTCCCACCCCAGGTTTCAGAGTGGCCACAGAGACAAGGGCACCTTGGCTTAAGCCCCTGCTCTCTGCCGCCTGACTTGCATTATTTAGGGCAAGTTGGTTAATCTCCCTCGATCAGTTTCCCTTTCTGTGAAGTGCATCCTGGGGATGCTGTAAAGGTTGAATCAAATAACACCTGCTGCAATGTTTAATACCATTAGGGACTGGATGTTTGGGTACCGCCCAGATTCCTTTGTTGAAGCCCTAACTCCCAAGATGATGGGTGGAATTAAGAGGTGGGGCCTTTGGGAGGTGGTATGGTCATAAGGGTGGAGCCCCCATGATGGGATCCGTGCCCCTATAAGCAGAAGAAGAGAGACCAGTGCTCTCTCTCCATCACGGGAGCCCACAGTCAAAGGACAGCTATCTGCAAATGAGGATGAAAGCACTCACTGGATGCAGACTCTGCCAGCACCTTGATCTTGGATTTCCAGCCTCTAGACCTGTCAGCAATAAAGTCTTCTGGTTTTAAGTCACCCAGTCTATGGTATTTGGTTATGGTAGCCCAAGCCGCCTAAGATAAACATGGTGCCAGGTACTGACTACTCAATACACAGGAGCTATTACAATTCATGATATTTTAAAGCCATCATTGAGAAGCTATGGGGGAGAGTTGTTTTTCTGTAACTTGGAGGATGCCCTTGACAGTATCACGAGAGCCAGCAGATGGGAGGCAACTGGAGCAGGCTGAGGACACGGCGGGTGGCTCACCTATGCTGCAGCTCTCAGAGAGGTGGGACCGGCGGGCTTCCAGGTTTCTGTAGGAGGTGAGAAGGCAGAAGCCAGGTGAGCGCTCGGAGCCCTGCGATGCTCCCCTGGGCAGCCTCCGCCCACCCTCTCCTCCCACCCCCTGTGGAGAAGCAGTCTGTTCAGATTAGCAAGGACCTGGGAGCACGGCCCAGGTTGCCTGGGACTGGAGCTGGGGGAAAGCAGTGACCCCCCAGGATAACACCACGTGGCATGAAGGCACAGGAATATTCCTGCATGCATTTACTGAGAGGAAAAGATCATCCATTTTCAGGGTTCTCCTGGGCCCGAAAGCTAGAAACTGTGGAGGTAGGGACTCCCAGTTTGTTCTTCTTCCTCTCTGCAGCACTGGCTGAGCTGGGGGAAACCCACCATACTCACAACATGGGGATCTGGGGCAGGCTGTTCCGCTTCTCGCCATCTAGGAAGAGAGGAGGATGGAGGAGGTTGGTACTGGGGACACAGGGGCGTAGGCAGGTGACTGACCTCCTCAGTATTCCTACAAGGGACTCTCCTCCCACCCCACCCCCTAATTCCATTCTCTCCTATCCTGGGAGCTGGGGAGGCTTGGGCCAGAACTGAAATCCTCTTTGGAGGCTGCCTTGGGCCAGATTTCATGTGCTCCAGCAGGGACCCATACTTCCTGAATCTGACCCCAAGATGGAGACACGCACAGGCGGGACCAGCCTTGTTCTAGTAATGGCTTTGAGCCTGCTGGGGCTACATGCCTCTACTCCAGAAGCTGCCTTTATGTGGACCCTGACTAGCAGGGCTGCAGGCAGTGGACTGGCCAGGGCTTACAGCCCAAGATGAGCCCACTGGAAGCTTCCTGTGGGCTGTCAGGGAAGCCTCCTCATTCACTTATCTGTCAGTAGCTTAGCTCCTGCCCCTCTACCTCTGGGGACTTGGCTGTGCTGCCATGCATGGTCCAGTCACTTTACTTTTAAATGAAACCCACCTTTCCTAGGGTGGACGATGAGAGAGCCTTGGTGCTCCCCCTGCAGCCGGCAGTAGCCATCTATGAGGTCAGCCATGTTCTCAGCCTCTGCCAGGGATGAGGTTTTGATGGACAAGGCCTGCAGAACAGAGACCGGCCAAGGGTGAGATCCCAGAGCCCTGGCTAGAGACCACCCCCAGGGCTTGAGAAGAGACAGCAGGAACCTGCTGCAACCCTTGCCTGGATGCCAATGCTGTCTGGACCTCTCCCCTGGAGCCCTGCCCTAGAGTCCATGCTGACTCTATCATCCCTTTCACCTGTACGTCCACATTCTCCAAAGGCCAGTCCCCGGCTTCACTCATTTTAGCCTCTGAGTACATAGCATGATGCCTGGTAGATGCTCAATAAATGGAAGGAGAAACTGAGAAAATGGGAGGGGCTGGGCGCAGTGGCTCATGCCTCTAAACTCAGCACTTTGGGAGGCTGAGGTAGGCAGATCACCCGAGGTCAGGAGTTAGAGACAAGCCTGGCCAACATGGCAAAGCCCTGTCTCTACTAAAGCTACAAAAATTAGTTGGGCCTTGTGGCAGGCGCCTGTAATCCCAGCTACTCAGGATGCTGAGGCAGGAGAATCGCTTGAACTCAGGAGGCGGAAGTTACAGTAAGCCAAGATTGCGTCACTGCACTCCAGCCTGAGTGACAGAGTGAAACTTTGTCTCAAAAAAGAAAGAAAGAAAGAAGGAAAAAAAAAATCACAAAAGAAAAGGAAGGGGGAGGCGATGGGGCAGGGGTGCAGATGGACGAAGGGAGAGAGAGAGGAATGCCCTACAGACTGTTTTACTGCCAAAAACAAAACAACCAACCAAAAAAAACCAAACCATGTTTTTGATTTCTGCATCATTGTTCCCTTGGTAAAACCTAGGCCTGTGATTTATACCCGATTTCTGCTTACTTTGAACATCCCACCAGCTGAAAACCTTCCCAATTTCTTTCCTGACATTACAAAAGTTCTTTCCCAAATTTTCTTATAATTGATCACCATCCCGGTACCTTTTGTCCAAGAACTTGGTGCAGTTTTCTTAACACGACCCCCATAGCCGGGAAGCTCCTGGCCTCCTGTGTGCCATGGACTTTTGGCTTGATCGAGAGCTCCCAACCTGCTGTGAGAACCCCGGCAGAGCTGCCAGGTGCCCGGAGACACTCACCTGGGGGGCACCTTCAATGCCCAGCTGCAGCACTGCCTGGCTGTCTTCCAGCGGGAGGCACCTGATGGACTTAATCTGCTTGAACTCGGCCAGGCAGGTGGGCTGTGGGAAAAGAAGGGGGAGCTTCAGACCACGACACTACTAGGATTGGGCTGTGCAGATTGGTTAGTATAGGGGAGTTGCGGTGAGGAGGAACTGGGAGTTTCTCTGGTAGATGAAGAGAGAATCAAAGACTATTAAGCCTAGAAGGATCTTCTAGTTCAGGGCTGTCCAATCTTTTGGCTTCCCTGGGCCACGATGGAAGAAGAATTGTCTTGGGCCACACATAAAAGACACTAACACTAACAATAACTGATGAGTTTTAAAAAATTGCACAAAAAAATCTCATCATGTTTTAAGAAAGTTTACGAATTGGTGTTGGGCTGTATTCAAAGCTGTCCTGGGACCACAAGCTTTACCTAGACCTACCCCTCCCATGCCAAGGAGAAAATGAGGTCTAGTGAAAGCCAAGACTTGCTCAAGGTCATGTGTCAAGCTGGCGGTGGAGCCATAACTGGACCCAGGTCCCCTGACTTCCAGGGGTATCAGGTCCCATATTGTCACTGAAAGAGTGACACTGCTGAACTTGGAGAGTAATCATGGCAACCTTGTCTCCCCCTCCTGCCACCTCTGTGCAGATGACAGTCATGGGGATGTAAAGAGCCATCTGCCCAACGCTGCCATCTCTAAACGCTCTCCATGGCTGCTCACGCCAGGGCATGGCCTTAGGAGGACTCTACTCTCAGCAATGGGGGCAAGAAGACCAAAGGGGCAGACGGGGGAGGCAGCAGAGAGGGGAAGATCTCCCCGCCTGGAGCTGGGGGGAGCTTCCCGTGGTCTCTATACCTTTGCATCCTGGCTAGTCAGCTGGCGGATGCCTTTAGGGCCAATGACCAGGTCCACAGTAATGTTCCATCCTTGCTGGAATAGAAGAAGAGTGGACTGTTGTCCCAGAGCTGCCCTCCCCATTCTCCAGAAACTTGAAGAAAAGCTCCCTAAGCTAGACACAGGCCACTGTCTCCCAGGTCTCCAGCTCCTTCCCCCAAAACCCTGGCCATACTGATTTCCCCTTATGACGTCTTTCCTGTCCTGCCGGCCCCCCAGAGCTGGAGGCCAACATTTCGGCGCCTACTTCAGGCAAGGTGATGCCCGTGACTTCTGTGTCAGCAGGTTAGCCAGGCCCTGCTGCCTGAGAATGTGCAGCCACTGCAGCCTCTCCCTGCCCCCTCCTGGCCCCCTTTCCTGAGAGGCCTGGAATCCAGGTCAGGGAGAGGATCAAGAGAGCCTGCCATTACAATGAGTTCACAGCGGTAGGTCTCCTGGTCAATGTTGGCGAAGCCAGCGAGGGTGTTGAAGAACTTCATGACGCACTCCTCCTCCCGGAGAGAGGCATACTGCTGGAAGGTCTGCTGGATCATCTTCCGGAACTGTTTGGGCTGGGGGAGGGGATGGGCAGTGTGAGGGAGGCCCGCTTCTCCCAGCTCTCACTCTTTTCCTTAGGGTCTCACCAAGAGACTGCCCACTGCTTGCAAATGGTCCTCAGGGCCTTTGCCCCAAGAGCAGCTGTAATCTATGACCTAAAACACATACCCACTGTCTCAAGAGAGACTCCCTGTAACCGTATGAATGAGGTGTAGGGGGCAGGGCGTAGCAGCTTCCCAGCACTTAGGCCAAAGAGCTGATAAGGCCCCGATGCAGAATGGGAGCCCAGGCATGTCACAGCTGGATTCCCACCCAGAGAGAACCCCTGGGTGCATTTAGTGGTCCTGTGTCCAAATGCCCAAGGCTGTGCAGATGCCCTGGCTTCTCTGAGTATCTGCAGCCTCACCCTTCCACTCTAGTCTTGGGAAGCAGCACAAAGAGATCCTCACCCATTGGTTTTCTCACCTTTAAGTTCTCCTGCATCTGCTTTGGGAAAAACAAGTCCAGCCCCACTTCCTTTCTGCAAGAAGGAAGAAAAAGGTAGCATGTGACTCCCACTCACCCCCACGCCAGGACTGTGGGCCAATCAGGGACCTGGAGACAGCCCGTGTGGCTCTGGTCTGGGGAGGGGTAGAGGAGAGGGTGAGGAGGAAAAGAACACATGGAGGGACAGGAAGGGAGGGGAGGCGGGTGATCCCCGAACTTACTCTAGGAGCTCAAAATTGGACTTCTTGTCAAGGGCATTGTGGGGCATATCCTTGAAGAATCGCCTAGAGAAAGAGGTGGTGGAGAGGGGGCTGAGGGCTGGAGAATGAGGCAGTCAGACCTGGGCACCTCATGCAACTAGAAGCCCCTTTTCCCTGCCATATGTGGGGGTCCCCAGGAGAAAGAAAGTTAGGAGAGTCATAAAATTTGGTATTTTGACCTATGAGGAAAAGCAAACCCTACAAATTTCATTCCTAGAAAAGACTCCAGCCTCTCATCCTAGGAAGCCCACTCCAGGAATGGGCAGATACTAGGCTGACTAGGCTGAGGAGGAAGATGGTGGCTCCATCTGCGGCCTCTAAGAACAAAGACCCATGGCAGCTAATGTTGAATGATCAGCCTAGGAACACTGACCACCACCTGCAGGTCCTGGGGGGCTCTTGTGATTTCCTTTTCACTTATTTTCTATCTCTTAGATACCATATGTGTGTGTGTTTGTGTGTTCATTGTTAAATGTAGTGCTGTACATATAAAAACTTTAGCACTTAAAGAAGAAGAAAATAAAATTATTCATAGTTGTACCATTATTAACCATAGTTCATGTATTAACTAAAATATATTAATATTTTACTCATATTCTTTAAGTCTCATTTCCCCTAAAAATGTATGCTTTGATAAATATTTTTATGCAATTGTGGCTTAAGCTGAGACCAAATAGCTAATGTCCTCACATGTGCCAGCCTCACTTCCCTGTCTGTGTCACTGTCTAGTAATTTCATTGACTGCTGCAGATATTATCCTTCTCCTGGTCGTGTATTAGAGTCATTCAGTATTCCTTTAATTCAGGGATCCTTATAAATATGTGGGGAAAGTTTTGTGCAACTAATACTATAAGCAGAGTGAGGGAAGTAACTTATAATTCAAAAACAATGACTTTCAGACAGTTTACTGTGTTTAGAAAATAGGAAGGTTAGATCCTTACCACATACTCTGTCTAGAATATTTATTCTTATGCATTAAAAGATAGAGGTCAGTTAAAAACAAAACTGCTTTCAAACCAGAAAAAAAAATCTAGAAAAATATTTCCAAGTTATGGGATCAACAAGACCCCCAAGGCTGGGCGCAGTGGCTCATGCCTGTAATCCCAGCACTTTGAGAGGTCAAGGTGGGCAGATCACCTGAGGTCAGGAATTCGAGACCAGCCTGGCCAATATGGTTAAACTCCATCCCTACTAAAATTACAAAAATTAGCCCTGGTGGCGGGTGCCTGTTATCCCAGCTACTGGGAAGGTTGAGGCAGGAGAATTGCTTGAACCCAGGAGGTGGAGGTTGCAGTGAGCCAAAATCACACCATTGCACTCCAGCCTGGGTGATGAGTGAAACTCCATCTCAAAAAAATAAAAAGGAAAAACCTCAAGGCATAAAATCATACAGGAAATACCCAATAAAAAAGTAAAATGTAAAATGCTATATCCTTAATCACTTAAAATTAATGGTGTCTTTGAATACATTGTCAAGCAAAGTAGTTATCTCTTAACAAATACGGTCTCAATTTTACACTCTGTGCCCCAGCCTGAAACAAGGGGCAGTGTCTGGAGATAGTTCTGGCTATCACTTCCTAGTCGGAGTAGGAGGTTGGTGGTGCTACTAGCATCAAGTGGGTAGAGGCCAGGGATACTGCTAGACATCCTTCAACGCACAGAAAGCCCACCCCCACTCCCTGCTAACAGAGAAGTATCCAGCCCCACATGTTACTAGTAGTGGGGCTAGAAAACCCTGGGAATTTGATCCAAGAAGAGAACTTAGAAAACTAAGAAGATGGGCTCTTCCCTACCCTTACTTTTCTCTACTGGGTGTCTGACAGAGCAAGGTAAGCGATGGTGCCTCAGATGGGGAGTGCTTGCTGACCAAGGGCAGATGTGCAGAATTGGGAACCAGAAGACTGGGAGATAGGGATGACATTCAGGTATAGCAAAGGTCCTCAACCCCCAGGCCGTAGACCAGTACTGGTCTGTGGCCTGTTAGCAGTGGGTGAGTGACTGAAGGTTCATCTGTATTTACAGCTGTCCCCCATCACTTGCTATACTGCCTGAGCTCCATCTCCTGTCAGATCAGTGGCGACATTAGATTCTCATAGAAGCATAAACGCTATTGTGAACCATATGAGCGAGGGATCTAGGTTTCACCTTCCTTATGAGAATCTAATGCCTGATGACCTGTCACTGTCACCTGTCACATCCAGATGGACCATCTAGTTGCAGAAAAACAAGCTCAGGGCTCCCAGTGATGCCACGTTATGGTGAGGTGTACATTTATTTTATTACATATTATAATGTAATAATAGAAACAAAGTATACAATAAATGTAATGCTCTTGAATCATCCTGAAACCATCCCCCACTCCAAGGAAAAATTGTCTTCCATGAAACTGGTCCCTGGTGCCAAATAGGTTGGGGGCCACTGACGTATAGGACATGAGAAGTCTACCCAGGATTCTCCTCTGGATGGAAGCTCTGCCTCCTCTTCCTCCTCCCACTCAGGTGGGAGTCCCTGCAGTTAAGACCCCAAAGTTCCATATGATTGACCATGGCAGCTTTAGAAAACGTTTCAAGCCAGTGTTACCTGCTCAACATACACATTCATAAGAAAACTCAGGGTGACTATAGGCAGCCTGGTCATCTGCAGTGCCCCTGAGTTGAGTGAGTCATAAAATATACTCCCAGGTAACTGAACACATTGGCTTGCTATACCCAACTATTGAATTCTAATAGAATACATGTTGGCAAAGATCCATTGAGGAAGAGGATTTCAGTTCTTTCAGAGTTATCCATTCATTCAACTATGTATTGAGTCCTTATGTGCCAGGCAAAGGCAGCACCAATATTGACTCTAAGGATTTGATAGAATTTCACAATCTGGTGCATGGGGACATGTCATTGCCTCCCAGAGCTGGGTGCAAGGTGGTTTTGCAAAGGAGGCTGGAAGGGGTCAGGATAGCACAGAAAAGGCTTCAAGATGAAGAGACCCTCAGGCTGGCTTGGTGAGGAGAGCAGATGGTCACACTGCTTGCAATTGACACCTCAGAGGCTCATGCTGAGGTTTCCTACGTATGTAGAGGACAAGCAGGTAACACAGGCTCAGTACATTTTCTAAAGCTGCCAGAAGATAGAAGAGTTTACTAGGCTGAAAAGGGAAATGAGAAGAGTGTGCCAGGTAGGGGGAATGCACTGCCCACCCATGGGGTGAGATCTGCTTCCCAGCCACAAAGGAGAGTGGTCTCCTAAAGCCACTCCAGCCTTACAATCTGTTGCTGAGTGAATAAATGAACTTACAGACTTGTGAAGAAAGAATCTGGAAGACTGGGATACTTAAATATTAAATTTCTAGAAACAGGGTTAGCTAAATGAAAAGGTAAACACATTTTGAAATTAACACTGAGCAATTAAAGCGCATAAAAATAACAGCATTTTTACCATGATCAAGGAGGTAGTGAATGGAAAGATGTTTTATTAGGATAAAGGAAGCTCAGCTAGCACATCAAGATCATCCCAATCTCCTGGACCCAGCTTGCTTAACCCACTCCCTGTGTCACGGATGGCCCTTCTCTCAGGCATCGAAGATCATTTACATGGTTACCATGAACAAAAGTGTCCAATCACTCAGATGTGTCACAATCTGTGTGTTTCTAACATTTGGAGCAACTGAACTTCTTGGGAACGTATGGGAGAACTAGTAACCAACACTCAACGGAGACACTGTTCTCCCCAGCAAGTTAGCTTCCCAATCATCTCAGCTGCTCTCCAGGGGCACCCAGGTCTCCCAAATCTGCCCCAACCTCAGTCACTGAGCAAGGCTGCACCTATCTGGAGCGCCCACTAGTGCCTGGCTGGTCTCCCCAGCCCAAACCTGCAATTTTGAGTAGCTAACACCAGGTGGACCGCAGTGGTATCTATAATCAAATACAGGCCTACTAAAAATACAAAAAATTAGCTGGGCATGGTGGCGCGTGCCTGTAATCCCAGCTACTCAGGAGGCTGAGGCAGGAGAATTGCCTGAACCCAGGAGGCGGAGGTTGCGGTGAGCCGAGATTGCACCATTGCACTCCAGCCTGGGTAACAAGAGTGAAACTCCGTCTCAAAAAAAAAAAAAAAAAAAAAAACAGGCCTATGACTGATACCCAGGTAAGGGCAGCAGAAAATAAGGAAACAACTAAACCAACTAAACAACTGAATCCAGTTGGTTACTTTTTTCTTCTAAACATTAACAGAAATTAACTACAAGCCAAGATGCGTTTTGAAGCAAAGCAAGCTGTGTGTTCTTTCTCTACTACTTATTATCAGCTACTACTTAACTAATCTGGGGTTACACATTCACTCTGTTTGCATGTGTGTGCGCGTGTGCACGCTCTGCTGGGGGTGGGCAATGGTCCCAGGTGTCTGAGGTCAAGGGGGTAAAGTTATTTGGTTCCTCAAACTGGCCAGATACTGATTTCTAGCATAGGGGCATGAATTTCAGACTTTCATTTAGAGGTACTATTTAGAGAAAACATTTGACATTTACAAAGCATCTCCAATAAATGAATAAAATTAACTAGGTATTGTTTCAACTATATGACATTCTGGAAAAGGCAAACTATGGCAACAATAAAAAGATCAAGGGTTGCCAGGGTTAGAGGGAAGGAGGGATGGATAGGTAGAGTATGGAGAATTTCTTAGGGCAGTGAAACTTCTCTGTGCAATACTATATTGGTGGATATAAGTAATTATACATCTAGCCAAACTCCTGGAACATGCAACACCAAGAGTGAACCCTAATGTAAATTACAGGTTTTAGGCAATAATGATGTGTCAATGCAAGTTTATCAATTGTAACAAACGTGCCACTTGGTGGGGAATAGACAGTGAGGAGGCTGTGCATGTGGGGAAGAGGGTGCATAGAAATTCTGTACCTTCTGCTCAATTTTGCTGTGAACCTAAAACTTCTCTAAATAATAAAGTCTACTCAAAATAAACAAAAGAAGGGTAAAGAAAAAAATAAGTAAAATATAATAAGTAATTATTGAATATTTTGGTCCCCGCCATTGTTCTAAGTACTTTAAACACATTAACTCATATATTCTTTGTAACAACGCTGCAAGGTTTGTTATGTTACTGCTGTATAGTAACATAACATACATAGTATACAGTAGCATATATGTTATATAGTAGCACACATGCTCTATAGTAACATAACATACTGTTATATGTTATATAGCATAACAAACGTTATATAGTAACACAATGTTACTGTTATCATTCCTATTTTACAAATGAAGGAATCCAGGCGGAGAGATTAACTGACTTGCCCAGAGTAACACAGGAAACTCAGGACTCCACTGAAGATTCATTTCACGTATCTCATGTCTCAGGCATACATCGTACCTCTTTTGTAAGCTAGGAAATAATACAGTATTTTTTCCTGGAGATGCCATATATCTATAGGCAGGTGACATAACCAATGATGTTAGTAGTACAAGGGATTATTGCTCGTGATTTGTAGGTAACCCCAAACTCTGGGACGTTTTCAGGCCAGAGCCACAGCCCTAGAAAATTCTGCCCTATGCTCTGATTTTCCAAAATGTGTCCAAGTCTCTCTTGGTGAGAAATAGTTGTAACTTGACTTTAAAATAACTCATCATAACAAATAATTGCATTCAGCTTTAAAAATCATTAGACCTGCAGATCTTCTATTAGGTTCATAAAATAGGTGTTCTCCATATCCTCTCCCTAATATCATATACTCTGCACTTCAGCGGCCAACCAGCGAGAATAGGAACATCTCTGACTCTGTTCCTCACGCTCAGGAGATGTGAAACAGTATGTCTCTTGCACAAAACGAGTGTGGCTTTTAGAATCATCCTGCGTCGGTTAGATAGCAGATATATGCAGTCACACTCATGGCAATACTACCTACAGGAGTCACGTTGGATGCCTCGCCCCGTTCTCCAGTACATTAGTGCAGTGCCTGGCACTTAGGCCACCAGCAGTAATAGTTTGGGGGTTATTGAAGGATATAATAAAACAAAATAGAATGTTAATGGGTCTTTGTGGTGCTGTTTTACAACTAAGTGATGACTGCTTGGCAGGTGGCAAGTGATGGGTGTGTCAGAGTGATACTAGCATCCTGGGTGTGAGATCCACAGATAAAAAGGTAAAGATGAGTGTTTTAAACATGTCTAATTTTAGAGGGGAAGATGAAACTGTATAGGATGCAATGCAGCTCATAGGAGCCGAGCAGTCTGAGAAGGCATAAAAGGCACAGATAATAAACTTCACAGACTGCCCCTGGTCTGCCAGCACCGAGCTCCCAAGATTATTACTAATGGCAGCGAGCTGGGACGCCTTCTAAGCAGCTGCAGGGAATGCAGGCCTCCTCTGTACAGAAGCCTTGAATGCTCCCTTGCTCATTGAGAAAAAGTCATCAAATATGAAGACCTCAAAGCTGCTCTTGACCTACTCTGTCAGTAATGCCAACAGCCTCAGATGCTGCAATCGAAGTGGGCCCCTCCCCTTTCCATCCCACTGCCCCCACTGGGGTACCCCTCAGCATTCTCTCTGAGATTCATGATGGGGCCAGAATTCCCCAGTGCACCCCACACTGTAGAAGTGGCAGCAGAGTTCTATTCTCTATTAACCATGAGGTCACAGATAAGGCTCCAGAAATGCAGTTCCAGAAAACAGGAAGTAATCCTTGGCTAACGATTTCCCTGGCAGTCATCCTGAAAGTCCTCCCCTCAACCCATATGACTAATGGTATTCAAGTCCCCTAGGGTGGGGGAGGTAAAAAATGCCTAGGATAAGGTTCCACTCAGGTCTGCTAGATCAAATCTCCCAAGGGAAGGGGCAGGACACTTCTAGCTTATTAAGCTCCCAGGTGATTATGATTTGTAAGCAGATGCTGCAACCACTGCTCTAAGACAGAGAAGGGGTAGAGAGAAGCAGAGGAGAAGGTAGAATGGCAGGGCATGATGAAACCCAGTGGTGTTGCACTGGTCATGACAGGGTTACAGCACAGTTAGCCACATCACTCTCCTCAGTCCCAAATGGCAATGACCCCATGGCAGCCAAGGAGGCGGCCTAATTTTTTAGACTGTTGTTCTAATTATGTCATTCTAATGATACCACTGGACTGCCACTGGACCAATGTTGTCTCTCATCATCAGCCCCAACTTACCGCTCCAACTTCACGATTCTCCAGTCTATGCTTTTCCTTCTGCTGATTCCTGGGCCTAGAGTGTATCTCCCCTGACCCCTGTTCTCTGCTGGTTGAAACCTTTCTCCTCCTTCCAGCAGCAGTTCAGATACCCTCTGCTGATGCCCTTGGGCAGGATGAATGACTCCTACGTGATCAGTACCATCTGCATTCTGCCTCGTATTATGATTGATTGTATACACATCTGTCACCTCCCCAACATGGAAGTGTGAGGGCCTCTCTGGATGATGTACTGATCCCACACACATTGTTCAAGTGCTTACTGAAGTGGGGATATAGCAATGGGCAACACAGATAGACATCTCTAGGTTCAAATGTCCCCCAGATCCTAGCTTGCTGCTCAAGAAACATCTGCTGAATCGCTCGAACAGCAGCAGAGGTGATTGACAGATGGAAAAACCCAGAAGCCTGCAGGCAAGCGCAGTGGCAGCAAAGGAAGCCAGGAGAGTGCATCTAGGGAGGGGGCTGGCCTTCCCGCCCCTGTCATCCCGAGGACCAGACACCCAGCCCCTCAGAGCCTCACCTGCTGCTGGTCACCACCTTTCCCCCTCCTGACTCCCACATACTCATTACTGTTTCCCATCCTGGACATGGGGAAAGGCTGGGCCAGCCCAGAGCTCGGCCCAAAGCCCAGCACAGCACCCTCCCAGCAGAGGCCTTGAGGCCACATACCTGAGCTCCAGGCAGCCCAGCTGCAAGGCCATGCCTTCACTGACCTTGCTGGCATAGCGTTGCATGTAGTCGTTCCGGAGCTGGTGGGGAGAAACACCAAGCATCAGACTTGCACCCTCACCAGCCCCCCGCCAGCCCCCGTTTCCCTGAACAGAGGACCCAGAAGAGGAAGGGCCTGATTCTGCCTCCCTAAGCAACAGCTACCCACCCCACCACAAACAAACTTAGAGCAGGGATGGAGAGCATGAGGGAAGGGGTGCATGTGCTTCCACAGGCCGAGGCTGTGAGGTTTCTGAGATGCTTTTACAGGCATTCTCTCCCTGCTCCATAGGCAGGAAGTTCAGATTTGCCTCATCCCCCATTTTGTATAAAAGGAAACTGATTGGCCGGGTGCGGTGGCTCACGCCTGTAATCCCAGCACTTTGGGAGGCTGAGGCAGGTGGATCACGAGGTCAACAGATCGAGACCATCCTGGTCAACATGGTGAAACCCCGTCTCTACTAAAAATACAAAAATTAGCTGGGCATGGTGGCGCGTGCCTGTAATCCAGCTACTCGGGAGGCTGAGGCAGGAGAATTGCCTGAACCCAGGAGGCGGAGGTTGTGGTGAGCCGAGATCGCGCCATTGCACTCCAGCCTGGGTAACAAGAGCGAAACTCCATCTCAAAAAAAAAAAAAGAAAAAAAGGAAACTGATTTTGCAAGAAGTCCGTAATTTATCCAAAGCCCTGTTGGTAAATAGTGATAAATGTCATCCACAGGTCAAGAAAAGTCTAGCTCAGTCTCTAGCAAACCAAGAGGGACGTAAGACCAGACAGAAGACAACAATGACCGCTCCTATTGATGCTGTGCTTCGCTCTGCACCTGGTGCTGGGCTTGGCACTCCACACACATTCTGTCCGGAAGTCAGAGATGCTCAGAACAGCTGCTGAGAGCTGGTTGTTAAGTTTTCAGAAGTTTTGTGAGCAAGGAGATGTCCTACTGATAGCTTGAAATAGGCCACAGTGAAGGAGTATTCACACCACAGAAATCGTCAAGTCCCATAAAAAGGAATTAAATAATGGCATTTGCAGCCACCTGGATGGAGCTGGAGACCAGTATTGTAAGTGAAGTAACTCCAAAATGGAAAACCAACTTTGTATGTTCTCACCCTTAAGGGGGAGCTATCCATGATGATGCAAAGGCATAAGAATGAAACAATGGACTTTGGGGACTCGGGGGAAGGGTGAGAGGAGGTGAGGGATAAGACTATGCGTGGGGTACAGTGAACACTGCTTGGGTGGTGAGTGCACCAACATTTCAGAAATCACCACTAATGAAATTACTCATGTAACCAACACTACCTGTTCCCCCCAGAAATCTATTGAAATAAATAAATAGGCAAGTGCTAAACGTCAGGGAAGTTTTGTTTGGAGAGCCAATTTACCAGCCAATAATTCCATCTGGTCTCTACAACAACCCTATAAAGTATTATTATTATGATTCCCATAATAATTTTATAGCAGAGGAAACAACTTCATGTAGGTAAATGAGGTCCCCTGGGGCTTTCAGGTTAGTAAATGCCAGAGCTGGGTTAGTGGACGACAGTCTGCAGAGCTGTGCAGGAAGCACTGCAGGCTTCATCCTGGACCTGCTCTTCTGCTTCACTAGCCAGGTCTCCTGGGCCAAAAGAAAAGTCCAAGAGGAGCTGGGAGCACACCGGCAGTTTGCCCAGTCATTAAATACTGAGAGAGAAGTGGGGTTGGAGCCACTGACCACAGACCAAGAACCTTCTTCAAGAGAAGTTTCCTAGCTTGGGCCCTCCGGAATCTGGGCTTTTATCTTTCCATTTCCCTAGGAGAGGATGGTTCATGCTTGGCATTTAAGGTGCAATGGGAGCCTCGGGGCAGGAAGATAAAGTACTTTTTACCTGTTGGTAAAAATAGAGCAGTGTGGTCCTGTCCTCCTTCAGGCTCTCCATGAAGTCTTCCGGCAAGTAGCGGATTTGAAGGTCATACCTGCAACAGGACAGTCAGGCTCTGGTTGACACAGGGAAGCTGGAGCCTAAACAAAAGAGTGGGACCCCAAGGGCAGAAGCAACCCCACTGCAAAGGGAAGGGCTGCCCATGGGTCTCGTGGCCACCCATTCAGGGCTTTTCTCTTTCTCTCCTCTGTGGTTGGGCAAGGAACCATCAACAGGGAGGTGGCTGGCAGGTGATGTCACAGCTGGCCTTGACTTTCTACCTTTCTCCCTTGTGGCAGCTGTTTCCCATAGGTTCACAGGCCTGCCCTGGACCTGGGCTTTCCATCCTCCGCACCCTTCTGTCTCTCTTTTCCTCTAGCACTGTCAGCACCCCATTGAGGGTTACTTTTAGGGGTCTGCTCTGGGATGTGGATAGTCTGTGAGCCCAGATTAGCTTAGAAAATACATGCATTTGATGCTGGAGGAAGACTAAGCCTAGAATGCCACTCAGATTTGCTAGAAGATTCTGAGGTAGGAGAGTGCTCTAAGGGAGGAACTCCCAGGGCCTCCCCACCCTCCATTCCTCTCCTCCCCACTTTCAGAGCCCAGGAGTCCACTCCTACCTCCACTCGGCTTCCACGTGCAGGCACTCATACTTGTCCTGCACCTCACCCACCGTCATCTGCGGGTGCAGCCAGTGGATCTCATCTGACTTCATGTGCTTCAGCCTCAGCCCATAGCACTCAGCCAGCTGGATGTTGGGCCCAATCCGCCCACTCAGCAGGATGGAGGTGATGATCTCCTGCAGAGAAGAGAGGGGCATGACTTGGGGATGCCCTCCTCTGGGCTCCCAGAATTCTCACATGGACCTGAAAAGTGTAATTCTCTAGGGTAGGATTCTGTCTTTATGTTCGATTTGTCTCTGATTCTCTAGCACTTACAGAAAGATCTGTACACAATGGGCTCTACCTGATACATGAACAAATGGGTGAAATGAGACAGAGATGGAGGAACTGAGAGAGCAGAAGGGAGGAGAAAATGCAGAGAGGCAAAGAACACCGAAAATTTGCTTCTGCACCACATTATAACCTAACCAATCAATAATTACTGAACATCCACCATGTGAACAGCACCTTCTGAGTGGTTTGCAATTTAGCCAGCATCACTGAGCTCCTGCACCAGGCACTGCTAGGGCCTCTGCAGACACAATTTCATTGGCTCCACAACACAGAGAAGCAGGAGTTACCATCTCTGTGTGGCTGATGGAGACACTAATACAGGTCACACAAGCCATGAAATTAAACTGGGATTTGGAATCCTGGGCCACTAGACTGAGGACTTTTACTAGGACAAACTGATTCATGGAGTGGTGGGACTGGACAAGATAAGGCCAAGATTCACTTGGAAGGATTAAGTGCCACAATCCCCACACGAGCAGGGTCACAAGAAATGAGTGCTGGCAAGAAACCAGGTGCCCTGTTGTTTCCACATTCTTGTTAACCAGAGGTTAATAGACTGCCTGCCTCCCAGGCTGATGTCGCAGCTTCCTGGCCTAGAGTCAAAGGTGGATAACAGGTGTGCCTACCCGGCAGCTGCTTGGAAGTCCATCTGGAAGGTCCTGCCTAGTTCTGAAATCACTTTGGTGCCATTTTTTTTTTCTTGAGATGGCTTTTTGCTCTGTCACCCAGGCTGGAATGCAGTGGTGCTATCTCAGCTCACTGCAACCTCCACCTCCCAGGTTCAAGCCATTCTCCTGCCTCGGCCTCCTGAGTAGCTGGGACTACAGGCACATACCACCACACTTGAATACTTTTTTTTATTTTTAATAGAGATGGAGTTTTATCATGTTGGCTAATCTCGAACTCCTGACCTCCTCTGATTTGCCTGCCTTGGCTTCCCAAAATGCTGGGATTACAGGCGTGAGCACCACACTTGGACTTTGGTGCCACGTTAACTCAGGTTTCTCATGGAATTCCACCGAGTTGGTGAATTGAGCTCACTCCTGAGAGAGCAGAGAGTACTTTGGGATATAAATTTAAAAACCTGAAGGCACTGACCTATCTCTGTTGGATATGTCTGCAATGCGCATGCCACTAAGCCTAAATCAGTCTAAAGACTGAATAATGTATAACAGGTTGCTATCAGACCAAAAAGGGCGGGTGTGGGGGGGAACTGATTATTTAGATTTTCCTTTTTTTTTTTTTAACATGCCTCCCAAGACAGTTTCTAATTTAGTAAATCAACTGTAATCAGGTTTTTAATTGGAATGAAAAGAAGGAGGCATACTATTTTTCTCAGAAGGAAATCCATTTCTTTCTCTCTCCACTAGGAAAATATCGTGCTAATACTTAGAAAATCCTGGTTTGGAAGGAATGCCCAGTTATTTGCCTTCCAGAGCACCCATGTGTCTTGGGCCAGCTGCCTCTTGCTAGCCCTTCTGGACTCAGGGAGTTGTGAAGCTAGAAGACCCTCAACCTGAAAAATCCCTTCCCTATTAGGAAAGAAAATGCCCATTACAGAAGGTGATGACTGCTCTGTGAACTAGATGGGGAAACTGAGGCATGGAATGCACTTGTGAATAGTTGTAACTAACTAGTACAGCAATCAGAATTGAGGCCTTAGATGGGGAAGAAGACTGGGACCAGTGGCACTCCTACAGGGAGAGGTACATCTGGGTGGGGGAAAAGGTCAAGCCTGTGAAGTCAACCATTTTGTCATCCTCTCTACCCATTTCTCCTGTCGTCGACATTCTGCCCTGCTCTGTCCACTGTCATCCTGTCATATTACCCAGAGCCCCATGTTACTCCCAAGTCCTTCCTGGAGCCCCCATCTCTGCTGCTTTTAAACTTAGAGTCCTCTCCTGCTCCAGCTGAAATCTACTTGGCTAATATCTAATTTCCTCAGGGCTAGGACCCCTATGCTGTTTATTATCAAAAATCTCAAACATATACAAAGTAAATAAAGAGTATAATAAACCCCCACGTACACATCACCCAGCCTCAACTGATTACCAACCTTCTGCCTTCTTGCTTCATCGATCCCAACACCCGCTCCCCAACTGTGACTTTACAGTTCTTCTAATGTAAAATGTATATACATTAAAATGCATAAATTGTAGCTATACAATTTTGACACACGAATACAACTGTGTAACCCACATACCAATTAACGTATAGAAGTTTCCAGATCCGCAGAAAACTCCCCCATATCCCTTCTCAGTCCACCCTCATGGCCCACTCCCTCCTAACTCTCCAGCCACTTACCTTACCCCCACCACTGTCAACTGGTTTTGCCTGTTCGAGAACTTCATATAAATGAAATCATTTAGCATATCCTTTTTTGTGTCTGTCTTTTTTTACTCAGCATGATGTCTGAGATCCATCATGTTGTTGCATATATCAGTAATTAATTCCTATTTATTGATCAATAATGTTCTAGTTTGTAACAGAATCACAATATGTTGATTCAGTCCTTTGCTTCTGGATACACGGACTATTTCTATTTTTCAGCTATTGTGAATTAAACTACTATATGAACCTTAAGTTGTATAAGTATAAATACTTATACAAGTATTTCTGTGAATATATGTTGTCATTTCCTGTGGATAAATGCCTAGAAGAGGAATTACTGGGTCAAAGATAGATACATGTCTGACTATAACTGTCAGGATTATTCCTTTTTATATTTCTCTTGTGACATGACACTTCCATTACACCACATCTTCACTGACATTTGGTGTTGTCAGTCTTTTTAATATTAGCCATCTCAGTGGGTGTGTAGTGTCTCATTGTGCTTTTAATTTGCATCTCTCTGATGACTAATAATACTGAACATGTTTTCATGTGTTTGTAGGCCATTCATATACCTTCCTTTGTAAACTGGTTGTTTGAATCTTTTCCCCATTTTTTCTGTTGTGTTTTCATTTGCAGGAGGGTTGTAGGAGACTTTTATACATTCTAGATAAAAGCATTTTACATGCTGTATTTTATGAATATTTTCTCCAGGTCTGTAGCGTGCCTATTCTGCATTGCCCAATTAATGTCGTTTGATAGAGTCTAACTTGTCAAAATTTTCTTTTCTGATTAGTGCTTTCTGTATCCTAAGAAACCTTTGCCTGCCTCCAGGTCATGAAAATATTCTATGTTTTCTTTTATAAGCTTCATAGTTTTGACTTTTAGTTTTGTGATGTATCATGAATTAATTTTTGTATGTGGTATTCATTTTAAAAAATATAGATCTATGGCTGTTTGGCATTCATTGTTGACTATTCTTTCCCAAATGAATTACGTCTGTCAAAAATCATTTGGCCATCTAGGTTTAGGTCTATTTTTGAACTCTCATTTCTTTTCTATTGATCTTTGTCTATACTGTACCAATATCAACCACACTGCCTGCATTACCATAGCTTTACACAAGATCTTGAAGCCAAATAGCATGAAGTCTTCTATTGTTCCCCAGCCCCAGATTATTGGACTAGGTCTTTGCATGTCCACATAAATTTTAGAATCAGCTGGCCACTTTCTTTTTAAAAAGTCTGCTGCATTATGAATGGGACTGTGTTAAATCTATAGCTTAAGAGGAGAGAACTGGCATTTTTTTTAGTGTTTAATTTTTTTATAGAGTTTGGGTCTTGCTATGTTAACCAGGCTGGTCTTGAACTCTTGGCCCTCAAGTGATCTTCCCACCTTGGCTTCACAAAGTGTTGGGATTACAGACGTGAGCCACTGCACCTGGCCAGAACTGGCATCTTAACAGCATTGATTCCTCTAATCCATGAACATGGTATATCTCTCTATTTATTTAGGTCTTTTTCAGTTTCTCTTAGTAATGTTTTATCGTTCTCAACATATAGATTGTGCCAGTCTTTTGTTAAATTTATTCCTAATTAATTTATAAATTTAAAAAATTGCTTCTATAAATTATTTCTAAAAATTAATGTTTTATTTTGGGGCTTACTGTCTCCATGATTTTCTGCTAATCTTCTTGTTACTCTGGCAATCCCAGATTGTATCCTCTGGTACTTTCAGTTACTAAGGCTGCAGATTTTTGTCCCTGGAACCCTCTTCCAGACTGGAAATTTCTTTCAGGTAAAAAGGCACAAACTTGCAGATCTCATTCATCACAGATTAGCTCTCAAGAGCAGGTTTCCTTTTAGTTTATGCTTGCTATGGTCACTCACCAGTGCCTGCAGAGAGTTCACTTTTAAATTTTGCCCAGATTTCATCATTGTTATCTGGAGAAAGAGTACTCAAGCCAAGCTATCCTATCATTTTTGAAATCTTTGTGCTATTTTATTAACAAATCTGTTTCTGCAACTAGGAGAGGGTTGGGGAGCAGAGAACATCTTTTAAGTCATGGAGAACTGAAATGCAGACTAGCAATAGCCAGGAACACAAGCCCTGGTGCCAGACTGCAGCAATGCCTCTCTGCTCACCACCAGCACCCAGTTGGATGTTCTTGGGTACATACTGAAGTTCTCTGGATTCAGTTTTTTTCATCCAGAATATGGACAAAATAATAGTACCAATTTGGAATTGTTTTTGTGAGGATTAAATTAGATAAAACTCCATAGAATGATGCTTGGCTCAAGGTAAATACAAAAACAAAACAAAAATAGCCCTCCCCACCTGCAAACAACAAAATATTAGCCTTATTTTGACACAGCAGTCTCTTAAACAATCTGGTGCTCTGTAAACCAGATTGGGAAAACAAAGCAGAATTCATTCTATTTTTTCTCTTTCTTTACCTATCTACCTTTTTTCTTTTTCCTTCCTTTGGAGGTGGTGGGTCAGGGGTCAAAGG